AAAAAAAAAAAAAAAAAAGATAATGTATGATTTTCAGATTGCAAAGATACATTAGATTATGTTACAACCAAATCCAGCCAGTATGCTAAAAATAAAAGCCAGCATTGATGCTGATGATAGTTACATTTACCATTTATACAAGAACACCTGTCTTGTACTCACCACAGTGTTATGTATTTTATATAGAGAGTATTCAGAACAATCCTGTGAAGTAAGTACTGTCCTTTGCATTTACTGGAAACAGAAGCTGAGATCAGAGAGGTTGAATAATTTGCTCAAGATAATGAAGTTAAGGAATTGGCAGAACTGGGATAACAATGTTTGATGCCAAAGCTCATGGTTTTCCATTTCTCTACATTTCCTTGACATCTGGTTTACATCAGAGGTCAGGGCCTCTGTGTTAATAATTTTACTCCTACATACACAGATTTGATCCTCACAAAAAAATGACATGAAGTAGATGGTCTTATTGTTTTCATAGAGGGAAATTGAAATTTATTATGAATTGTAAGTTGAGTGCCTCCTGTATCCTCAGAACTGCATTTTCTTATTAAATCATCTTATTTAATCCTCCTAACAACACTAGTAAGATCTTCCTTATTTTATAGGCAAGAAAACTGAAACTAGAAACTTGACCCATCTGTCCCTGAAATAATAATGCTTTTTCCACCATATTGTGCCTCCTGTCAAGAAGACAGAGTAAAATCAAGAGGCTACAAATATGCAAGTAGGATTAACCAGAATTCTGGAGTCCAGAAGCCAAGAGAATTGCAAGAGATGAGGGAGAAAGCAACAAAACAAATTGAAAGCATCAATGAGAGTGAAAAAATTTTAATAACTGAAAAAGTCGGTTGTTACCTTTCAGGAACTTTTGTTTTGTTTAATTTTATGTGACAATGCCATTTACCCTGGGCCAACTTCCAGACATAACCCATCAAAAGTTTGTTGTAGAGAGTAATTGATGGTCTCTTGCTAGAGTGGAAAATAAGATGGCATGGAGAAGGTACCTGGATAGGGGAAAGTGAACTGAGAAAGAAAGGGTTTCTGTGGATGAAAATCATTAGAGGAAGGCATCATTAGAGGAAGGCATTAGAGAAAATCATTAGAGGAAGGCATTCTTCAATATTGTATAGAATTTGCTGCAGTTGCTGAAGTAGGAGCAGGAAGTTATTGAACAAATCTTTAAATTTGAAGAAAAGAGATGTAGTTTGGAGTCAGAACCATACCTGTGTAATCAGACAAATCATTGACTCTCATTGCCTTAGTTTTCTCATCTAAGAGATTTAAAGATAGATGGGTTTGGAATTTGCTGTGTAGTCAGATAACACCCAAGGTAAGATTTTACTCTTAAAAACTGTGGTAGAGCCGGGCGCGGTGGCTCAAGCCTGTAATCCCAGCACTTTGGGAGGCCGAGGCGGGTGGATCACGAGGTCAAGAGATCGAGACCATCCTGGTCAACATGGTGAAACCCCGTCTCTACTAAAAAAATACAAAAAAATTAGCTGGGCATGGTGGTGCGTGCCTGTAATCCCAGCTACTCAGGAGGCTGAGGCAGGAGAATTGCCTGTACCCAGGAGGCGGAGGTTGCGGTGAGCCGAGATCGCGCCATTGCACTCCAGCCTGGGTAGCATGAGTGAACCTCCGTCTAAAAAAAAAAAAAAAAAAACTGTGGTAGAAACAGTTATAAAGATGCCCTGGAAGCATATGTATTCCAACTATGCTGCAAGAAAATCTCTATAAATAAAACCTTGGTAAAGGTGAGTTTACATTCCCAAATTACAGAGCACATTAGGGTAGTATTCTATAAGCAAGAGTGAACAACAGAGAACTAAGATCCCCCCTGTCCCCACCACCAAGAACTTGAGATAATTAAATAATTGATACACACTATCAAGTCATTATGTTTAAAATTATTATTGGCATAAGAGAAGAAATATAGTATGTGAGAAAGAAATAAGACACTAAAAAATGGATAGACTTGGGGGAGGGAAAGGGAGATAAAAATCAATGAAATTTTTTTTTTTTTTTTTTTTTTTTTGGGGGGGGACGGAGGTGGGCGCTTGTTGCCCAGGCTGGAGTGCAATGGCGCGATCTCGGCTCACCGCAACCTCCGCCTCCTGGGTTCAGGCAATTCTCCTGCCTCAGCCTCCTGAGTAGCTGGGATTACAGGCACGCGCCACCATGCCCAGCCAATTTTTTGTATTTTTAGTAGAGACGGGGTTTCACCGTGTTGACCAGGATGGTCTCGATCTCTTGACCTCGTGATCCACCCGCCTCGGCCTCCCAAAGTGCTGGGATTACAGGCTTGAGCCACCGCGCCCGGCAAAAATCAATGAAATTTAAAAAATCGATTAGCAAAATAACATGTTAGATGCAGCTAAAGAGGGAATTAGTGAACTCAAAAATCTGAGGGAATTAACTAGAACATAGCAAAGAGAAGTAAAAATTGAAAAAGATGAAAGGAAAATAAGATATGTGGAGGCTAAAGTGGGAAAGCCTAATAGGAGTTTCAGAAGATTTTTTTTTTAAGTTTTGGAGATGGAGTCTTGCTCTGTTGCCCAGGTTGGAGTGCAGTGGCACAATCATGGCTTACTGCATTCTCAACCCCCTAGGCTCAAGTGATCCTCCTACCTCAGCCTCCTGAGTAGTTGGGACCACAGGTGTGCACCATCATACCTGGCTAGTTTATTTTAAATTTTTTGTAGAGATAAGGTCTCACTATGTTGCCCAGGCTGGTCTCAGACTCCTGGGCTGAAGCAGTCCACCAACTTTGGCCTCCCAAAGTGTTAGGATTACAGGTTTGAGCCACCACACCTGGCATCATTTTGTTTTAGAACTGATATTTGTCAGGTATTTTTGGCTTTTACTTTAAGAAGAGCCTTAGGTAAGGGAACATCCAGTGGTTTGGTGGTGATAATTATGTATGTTGGCAACCTTTGATATCTTTTTACTTGAAAGTGTAAGACTGTCATTCCCCAAAGCCATATTTTCTATATATAAATTTGTAACTGGTAGCAGTGACTGAGATTACAGGTAAATTTTTGAAGGATTCCAAGTTTGTTGTTTTTTGTTTTTTTGTTTTTTTGTTTTTTTTTTTTTTTTGAGACGGAGTTTCACTCATGTTACCCAGGCTGGAGTGCAATGGCGCGATCTCGGCTCACCGCAACCTCCGCCTCCTGGGTTCAGGCAATTCTCCTGCCTCAGCCTCCTGAGTAGCTGGGATTACAGGCACGCACCACCATGCCCAGCTAATTTTTTTGTATTTTTAGTAGAGACGGGGTTTCACCATGTTGACCAGGATGGTCTCGATCTCTTGACCTCGTGATCCACCCGCCTCAGCCTCCCAAAGTGCTGGGATTACAGGCTTGAGCCACCGCACCCGGCTTTTTGGTTTTTTTTTTGGAGACAGAGTCTAGCTCTGTCGGCCAGGTTGGAGTGCAGTGGCACACTGCTTCCTCTGCCTCCCAGGTTCAAGCGATTCTCCTGCCTTAGCCTCCTAAGTAGCTGGGATTGCAAGCATATGCCACCACAACCAGCTAATTATTATATTTTTAGTAGAGATGGGGTTTCACCAAATTGAGCACAGCTCCTGACCTCAAGTGATCCACCTGCCTTGGCCTCCCAAAGTGCTGGGATTACAGGCGTGAGCCACCACACCTGGTCAAGGATTCCAAGTTATAGAGATTTCCAAAATATTTTCAGAAAGTTTTAAATAATTATGCTTTTCTGGGTGACTTATACATTACAGTGAATGGTGGTAACTAATGAAATACTCTGTGCCTTTTACACTTTATAGCCAGTATCTTGAAAATTATCTCTGGATGAATTATTCTCCTGAGGTATCCAGCAAGGCATATTTAATGTCAATCTGCTGTATGGTGAATGAGAAGTTCAGAGAAAACGTGCCTGCATGGGAGGTAACTGTTTTTAATTACTTCATAGCTTTCATACTGTGCCCACTTAAGCCATTACAGAGTGGCAAAACTTTTATTGATGGTGGTGCTTTTAGGGCAGCACTTTACCCAGTATTAAAGCAGATACTGAGAAAAAGAATGGTTATGTGAAAGATACGTTTTCTTTTGCTTTCAACACTTTTTTCCAACAATAATAATTTACTATGAATTGAAAAATTATGAATGTGGAGTTATTTTTCTGCTTTGTGCTTGAAACAAAGAATGGTATATGTTATAATAATTTATATCAGGAGCTGGCAAAATGGAAGTTATATTCATAAGTACAAATAGGCTGAGTGCTGTCACTCATGCCCGTAATCCTGCACTTTGGGATGCTGAGGTGGAAGGATTGCTTGAAGCCAGGAGTTCAAGAACAGCCTGGGCAACAAAGCAAAAACCTGTCTCTTAAAAAAAAAAGTTTGTCAGGCATGGTGGTGTGTGTCTGTAGTCCCAGCTACTTGAGAGACTGAGGCAAGAGGACTGCTTGAGCCCAGGAATTCGAGGTTACAATGAACTGTGATTGCGCCATAGTTCTCCAGCCTGGGTAACAGAGCGAGACTGTCTCTAAGAGGAAGAGAAAAGCACAAGTATGTAATGTTCAAATGAGATATTTTTCAGCATCTTTTTTCACAAGAAGAGGTATATATTTGTAGTTTTATATGAATAAAAAAATGTTACCAAAACCCAGGCTGGAGTACAATGGTGCGATTTCGGCTCACTGCAACCTCTGCCTCCTGGGTTTAAGTAATTCTCCTGCCTCAGCTTCCCAAGTAGCTAGGATTACAGGCACCTGCCACCACACCCAGCTAATATAGTAGAGACTGGGCTTCACCATGTTAGCCAGTCTGATCTTGAACTCCTGACTTCAGGTGATCCACCTGCGTTGGCCTCCTAAAGTGCTTGGATTACAGGCATGAGTCACTGCACCCTGGGATGTATTTTTCCTTTTAGAAATTTCTTTTTTTTTTTTTTTTTGAGACAGAGTTTCGCTCTTGTTACCCAGGCTGGAGTGCAATGGCGCGAACTCGGCTCACCGCAACCTCCGTCTCCTGGGTTCAGGCAATTCTCCTGCCTCAGCCTCCTGAGCATCTGGGACTACAGGCACGCGCCACCATGCCCAGCTAATTTTTTGTATTTTTAGTAGAGACGGGGTTTCACCATGTTGACCAGGATGGTCTTGATCTCTTGACCTCGTGATCCACCCGCCTGGGCCTCCCACAGTGCTGGGATTACAGGCTTGAGCCACCGCGCCCGGCCTCCTTTTAGAAATTTCTAATGAACTGACTTTTCCTTTTTGTGTTGGTTCAACAGAGACTTAATCAGTAGAGATCCAAAACCTAGATTTTCTTTGCCCACCATAAAATAGTCCCCTCATCAAGAGTTTCTTCTCTTCTAGTCAGACTTTTTTAAATGAAAAAAAGAAGTGGATGCCTGTCATCTGTTGGGAGTAAATGGTCTCCGAAGTGAGAAGGTGATAGTGTCTTTAAGATAAAACCATGAATACTTATCTCAAATATTCATTAAATGACTACCATGTCAGGGCACATTAGAGCTCAAAATAAACTATGGGTTTTACGTCGATATCAAGAGAGCCTAGGGATTTCTTGAAATTGCTTCAGCTACTATAGAAAGGAAGAAAGAAAATTTTTTGAGCCAGGGAATAATCTGGTTAATTTGCCTATTACAAAGATCACTTTGATGATTAGGCCTTGAAATAGAGAAATGATAATACAGATTTAGATGATAAACACATATTTAGAAAGTAGAATTGATTGAATTTGATAATCAGTTGAAGTAGCATTAGGAAAGGGTGTTATTTTCAATAACCTTCCAGGCTTGGGCAAATTAATATAATAGATGATGTTGCCATTTAGTAAGGAATAATTTGGAGGATGGAAAACTGTTGAATTGAATTTGGACATATTCGGTTTAAATTGCCTTTGGAATATCTAGATTAAGAAAATGGAGGAATCTAAGGTTTGAGAGCTCAGAAGAGAAATCTGAACTGCAGATGTATATTTGGGATCATTGGTATTTGGTAGTTGAAGTAATGGGGAGAAGAATGAAACTAGAACCCTAGGAATATTGCTGTTTGGAAAACAGACAAAGGAAGAAGAGCTTTCAACATGGCAAAAAGGAGTTGAGGGTTAATAAGGGGTCCATAGGACTTGACAGCCATACAGCTTCAAGAGAGCTTGTCTTAGAGAAGTGAGTGAAAACAACTAGTAAAGACCACAGGTTTGGAGCACTTGTCTATGGCAGTAACTAGAATGGAGGTAGACCAAAGAGACTTGAATATATTTACATTATTTACAAGTTAAGAGGAAGGAGTTAATATAAAGCAGGAAAGGCTATCCTTCAGATTGATTCCGGGGTGTAAAGTAGATTTTTGCTAAAGATGTACTTTTTTTTTTTTTTTTAAATCAGATAAATTAAAACACTTCAGATCCTTAATAAGAAAACAAAGCCTAAGCTAAATACTGCCATAATCCACAGAGGAAGAACTAAAGGAATTAAAGCCATTATTTTATTAGCTAAAGATTTTTATAACTCCTAGTCCCGTTAGAAACCTATAGTTGACTTGCCATTAATTATAAGCAAGCACGTGATGTTGCCTTTTTTAATACAGATACAAATGACCTTGTAATTATTTGGTTTTTTTAATAGACTGCTAAAAAGCCTACTAGGATTTCTTTAAAAGAAGCTTAAGTGAGCAAGCCAATTCAAAATGAATTTTTATTCTTTTTCTTTTCAGATTTTTAAGAAGAAACCGGACCATTTCCCATTCTTTTTCAAACACATCTTGAAGGCGGCATTAGCTGAAACTGATGGTGAATTTTCACTTCATGAACAGACGGTCCTACTACTTTTTCTTGATCACTGCTTCAATAGTTTGGTACTTACACTTTAAATTTTCATTACATTTTCAAGTTTTCTTGTTCTTTTAGGTTGAGTTTATATGAGATTACCTCTGTAGCCAATTCTTTATCCATAATAGTGGGGAATAAGGATAATGCTAAAAGCTTGATTTCAGCCACTTATTAGTAAAACCATTTTATAAGATGTGTTCACTTTTTAGTAGGTTTGAACTTGATACTTACTTTTTTTCTATCTTGACTCTTAATGAAAATAATTGTAAGAACTGAAACTCCAAAGGGAGAGCACACAAATGAGAAGCAGCAAGAGACTGGTTAATACGGAATTTGAGTAATGAGATCCGTGCCACAAGCTGTGTATACATACGGAAATGTAGTTTCATTACTTTTCATCATGCTTCATGCACAGGCTGGGTAGTCAGCAGGAGAGTTATATTTTGAGTTGTGACTAATAAAGGCCGATTGTAGATGATCTTTGAAAATGTCTTGTGTGATACATTTTCATCCTTCATAAGATTATCTTCTTTTTTTTTTTTTTTGAGATGGAGTCTTACTGTGTTGCCCAGGCTGGAGTGCAGTGGCTCGATTTTGGCTCACCACAACCTCCGCATCCTGGGTTCAAGTGATTCTCTTGCCTCAGCCTCATGAGTTTCTGCGATTACAGATGTGCGCTACCACACCCAGCTAATTTTTGTATTTTCAGTAGGGACAGGGTTTTGTCATGTTGATGAGGCTAGTCCTGAACTCCTGACTTCATGATCCGCCTGCCTTGGCCTCCCAAAGTGCTGGGATTATAGGCGTGAGCCACTGCACCTGGCCCCATAAGATTATCTTCTAAAAAAATTAAATATTTTCAGTAATTAATATTTCATTTGAACTTTCCTACTGTGGTTATCTGATGGTACATACATATTTATCTAGTGGCTCTGCACTGATAATTTACTTACACCCATGCAGAAGAATGCATGGAGTTCTTTCTTATCCTGAAGACTGAGTATTAATGGATGGCTATTACCTGTTTCCATGTACTACCTCATATGGATCTTTTAAAGGCATAAAAAAAGACTTATGATGTCCACTGATATCTCTTTAACATTTATTAAACTAAACAGAACAAATAGAAATATAAATAGATGTGATTTTTTTGTCAGAAACTAAACAGAAAAAAGATTTTATTAGTATTAGTAATTTGATGATAGTTTTAACCAACTTGCCAAACTCGTTTATTATTGAAATGCTTTGTCTTTTAAGATACACAGTCAATTCTTATTTGAGGTAGTTATGTTCGTTTTATAAAGTAGCTATGAACACTGAATGAGCTAAAACTGAACCATTAGTCCTTGGGGAAATACAGGGTTAGGTTCCTGCAAGCTTTGGTCATGACATTTTTACAACCTGTTAATACGTAGCCTTATTTTATGTGTGTTTCACCACGTTGGCCAGGACGGTCTCAATCTCCTGACCTGCCACCTTGGCCTCCCAAAGAGCTGAGATTACAGGTGTGAGCCATCGCGCCTGGCCTCTTTTTTTTTTTTTTTGAGATGAAGTCTCGCTTTGTCGCCCAGGCTGGAGTGCAGTGGTGTGATCTCAGCAACTCCACCCCCCAGCCTCAGGTGTTTCCCTTTCCTGGAAAACTGCATCCTCCACCTCCTGGCTTCAAGCGTTTCGCATTCCTCTGCCTCCCCAGTAGCTGAGATTACAGGTGCCCACCGTGCCCGGCTGATTTTTATATTTGATTTTTGTATTTTTAGTAGAGACGGGGTTTCACCATGTTGGCCAGGCTGGACTTGTTTCTTATAGCATGAGAGCTGAGAGTTAAGCAGAGTATCACTTCAGTCTCACCTGAGAATGTACACATCAGGCAACTCAGAATTTTGTTTGTGCCATCTGAATGACTGTGAAAGCACATAAAGTATTGATTTTGAGATTACAAATACATTTTTGTTAGTATATGAATTTGCAAATGCAAAATCTGTAAATAATGAAGATGGAGTCTTTTTTTAAAGCATTGAACTTCTTAATATCAAAATATTAATTTGAAAACATTGGTGGCATGTTTTCCCTCCAGGTCTTAAAAAGGCAGTGTACTTCTTATGTAAAGACTTAGGTAGAAATGATGGTGTTTATTAACTTGTTTTCTTCATGCCTAAAACAGGAAGTAGACTTGATACGGAGTCAAGTACAGCAGCTTATCTCCCTCCCAATGTGGATGGGCTTACAGGCTGTAAGTCTCTAATTTCAGAATCTTATGAATGTATGTGTTATAAGTAGAAAATGTGGTTTTAGAGTCTATAGCCTTAATCTGGATATACAAGTGGTAGCTAAATACCCCTTTTCTTAGAAAAGCCATTATTCATTAACTTACCATAGATACAGTTTTTACAGTTGTAAAGTTTTTCTGTGCATTTGATGTTTAACTTAATGTTGGTATTATAAAATGAAATAAAGTGGTATTTGTTGAGCTTGTAGAGAAAGGGGGTTAATTTAGCAAAGTATGGATGAGACTAAATGTAGACTTGAATTTTTTTTTCCTTGATTAGAATATAGAGAGAGCTGTAGGAGAAGATCTGGATTGCACTTAATATTAATGGCTTCCATTTTCCATAAAGTCTTTAATGAGTAATATGTGCAGGTACCAAAGCCAAATTAATACATCTTAGGTAGTTTAGTTAAAACTATCAAATTTCAGTGTAATACTTTATTCAGAATTTCATTTCCTGCACATGTGTGTTTCTGCATATACCCAGATATGCAGACTTATTCATAAGCACCAGTTTATGGGAATGAAAACATAAGGCACATATAAATAATCGATCCTAAGTTAAAAAGTGGCAAGTGCCATAGGAGAGAATATGCTAATGAGGATATTTCCTTATTTACTTGTGGTAGCTGCTTTTTGTGCATTTAGACTTATATTTTTTAAACCTCAGTGATTGTGCTAAGTGTTGATCCATGTATTTTTCAGACTGAGCTTTTTGAGTTTTGAAATAAATATTAATTGATTATTGAGCTTACAATCTTGATTTGTATTTTTATTAACGAGCTAGAGTTGAATAATTTTTAAAAATATCATTAATCATTTCTTAATTTTTAGGGTTGTTATGTTGTTTTCAGGTTTTATGACATTGCTCTATTTTGTATTTATAGATTAGAAAACTAGCAAATAGTTGATCTAATCCTTATCCTTGTAAACTTTGCGGTTACTGGTGATTTAATAACATCTCTTCTTCAGGCACGATTGGAATTGGAATTAAAAAAGACACCTAAGCTAAGAAAATTTTGGAACTTGATTAAAAAGAATGATGAAAAGATGGATCCAGAAGCAAGAGAACAGTATGTTGGCAAAGCTTCATTTCACGTTGGCTTATTATGCTGGATTGTGGGCCTTAGATGATGTCGACTGGTTTGTTGTTTCCCTTTATATAGTGCTGAGCCCAATTAACTTATTAATAAGTGCTTTTACTTAGACTGTCATAAGAATAGTTTTCATAAAGGTCTAAAGCAGAAACTAGAACATCATGCTTTTCTTCTTTTCCTTCTTTCTGTACTGCTAAGTATATATAGTTGCCCAGCTGTTTTTGTCCCTATTTTCCGTGTCCCTCATGGATTGTTCTCAATTTTCTCCATAATCTTCAGGATATTAATATAACTTTTCTTTCTTTTTCTTACTCCTTCACTCTTAATAATGACTTTTACACACTCCAATCACCATTCATTTATTTAACAAATATTGCATGTTTATTATTTTACCAGGTACTGTTCTAGGCTTTAGGGATACAGCAGAGAACACAGTGGAGAGTAATTGCTGCTTTTGTGGAGCTTACATTCCAGTTGAGGAAGACAGCACTGAACACATAAATTGTACAGTATGTTAGATGTGATACATGCTAAAGAAAAGAATAAATCAAGTATAGAAATTAAAGGAGCAGATGGGGATGGCTCTTTTTTTTTTTTTTTTTTTGGAGACGGAGTTTTGCTCTGTTGCCCAGGCTGGAGTGGAGTGCAGCAGCATGATCTCGGCTCACTGCAACCTTCGATTCCTGGGTTTAAGTGATTCTCCTGCCTCAGCCTCCTGAGTAGCTGGGACTACAAGTGTGTGCCACCAAGCTTGGCTAATTTTTGTATTTTTTAGTAGAGACAGTATTTTACTATATTGTCCAGGCTGGTCTTGAATTCCTAACCTCGTTGTGATCTGCCTGCCTCGGCCTCCCAAAGTGTTGGAATTACAGGCGTCAACCGCTGCGCCTGGCCACTGGGTTCTTTCTAATAATAATGCTTATTAATTAAATAAAAGTCTGTGATAACTAGTATTTATTTCATGGAACAATGAACTAGTAGGACACAGGGGAAGGACTGGCATGCCCTCAGAGGTTTGTTTCCCTTTATCTCTTTGAGACTGACTTGTCTAACTATTTTCTTACCTCATTTACTCCCTGACTATTCCAGCAATAATATTTTTCCCCTTTATCTTTAATTCTTCTTTTCCACTACTTTTTTTCTCTGCATATATAAACCCACACAGACACACATGCACACGTATATTCTGAGGACATACTTCCTCTGGGTCTATGATAACTTCTTTTGGCACTGTCTTATTCTTTCTTCCTCGTAGAAGAGTATAAGTTAGTGTATACTTAACTTTTCTTCAAGCCTTGTAACTCCCACTTGAATTTTGGTTCTCCTTATCCTACTTTCACCTGAAATTGCTCTTTCTGATCTTACCAGTCAACTCTATCATCTGTCATTTTGAGGATTGTTTGTTTTTTGTGTCATTTCCTTTGGACCCTCATTTGATCCTGTTGATGATACTCCGTTTCTTATATGTCCCTCCTCCTTTCGCCTCCATAACGTCTCTAGCTTTTTCTCCGTTTGGATATTTTGTCTGTCTTTCCTGGCACCTACTTCCAGGGTATTGACACATCACAAGGCTTTATCTTTTATTGACTTAGTTCTACTTTCCCTTCCCTCCAGAGGTTTATGAGAAAACTCACATTCAGAGAAATAAAGTAGCTTGACTCAAAAGATAAAAATCTAGGATATGGCAGAATAGAATTTAGACCTAGTTCCTTCTGTCTACAAGCATTTTTCCCTTGACCACATTGCAAGTAAGAAGTTAGAATTTGATTTCCTGTATGATGGAGAGCTGCCAAGGGATTTTATCAATAAAGTGATATAAGACTTAAATTTTGGAATTATTTCTCTGGAAGCAAGCAGTAGATTGTAGGGATGGAAGGTAATTGTAATACTCAGGTAAGAGATAGTAAGAGCTTGAACTAACACAGCAGAATTGGAGGCAAAGAGATAGTGACACAATGTAGAGTTATTTAATGGATATCGGTAAACTGTTGACTCTGAGATTGACACTATCTCATAGTCAACAGTTTACCGATGTCCATTAAATGTCTCACTGTCATCCTGGCTAGATGACTGGATGATAGTGAGATATTCACCAAAATGGGGAATGTAAGAGGGAGGGTGTGTTTGGCAGTTAAGAGAATGATTTTCGTTTTGCCTTGCCAAGTTGAGATAGCTACCAGGAGATTGAGATTATGGGATATGTATTAAATGCCACATTTGTATAGGTACCTATGTAGATAATAATTGAAGCTATGAGTATGGGTGAGATTATTTAGTGAGGTAAATAAGCCATGAAAGTGGGATGAAGATAAAAGGAAATGAGGTAGTTTGTGAAAATAGGGAAGAACGAAAAAACTGCATGTCAGAGATGAGTTTGGGAGTGAGGGAAGGACAGTTTCAGGAAGAGAATATTACAATCAAAGCAGCAGTATCCCTTCTTTAATTTTCAGTTTCAATCCATCCCTTTCATAGTATCATTCTAACCAACAGCCTCTTGATTGGGCAAATCAAATGATATTTTTGCAATATTTGACTGCATTTTGGGGGAGGAGGTGGGTGGAATCTTCCTCTCATTACCTCAGTGTGGTTTCATCCTCAGCCTCTCTGGTCCTGACTTCTTCTGTGTCTTTCCACTATGTAACTGCTTCCTGTATACTTCTACTTGGACTCATTGTTACGAACTCATATTTGGTGTAACTAAATAATACTCATTGTTTTTTCTTCCCAAATTCACCCTTTTGTTCAGTTTCTCTTAATTCTCCCAGCCAGTTAGACTTGGAACGCTCCAGTTTTTTGACTAATTATATCCGGTCAGCCCGGTTGGATTCACCTTTTGTCCTTCCTGTCTTTTCTTGTCTAGTCACACTACTTTCATCAGAATTCAGGCCCTATAGCATCTTGACTAAACTACCATAGTAATTTCCCACTTGGTCTTTCTCCAGCTTTCCTACACCAATGTAGCCTCCCTAGCCTTGTTCATAGAATATTCCTACTTACAAGCTTTCAATCATTTCTTAGTTCCCACTGAATAAACTCTAAACTTCTTACAAGGCTTTCAGAAGCTTCCTGCTGTTTCTCACGACTCCTGCAAATCACTGGACTACTCTAGTCATTGTTTCTTAAACATTGCTTTCCTAAGTCCCTTTCCTCTTCACTCCACTTAATTGAGTATTAACCATATAAACACAATAAACACACTTCCAGACCAACTACTTTAGACCATAGTGCTTTCATCTGAATTCCTAGAACACTTGCTCTATGATTTTTTTTTTGCAACATCAGCTGTTTATGTAATGATTGGGATATGTATAGTTGTTTAGGATGTAGGTTCTACAGTCAGACTTACCTGGATTCCAGACTCACTTGCTGTGTGACTTTGGGCAAGTTACTTCACCTCTAAGCCTCATCATGAAATCTGGACAATAGTACCCATTTCCGAGGACTGTTACCAATCTTAAATGAGATGTGAAGTGTTTTTTTTTTTTTTGAGACGGAGTTTCGCTCTTGTTACCCAGGCTGGAGTGCAATGGCGCAATCTCGGCTCACCGCAACCTCCGCCTGCTGGGTTCAGGCAATTCTCCTGCCTCAGCCTCCTGAGTAGCTGGGATTACAGGCACGCGCCACCATGCCCAGCTAATTTTTTGTATTTTTAGTAGAGACGGGGTTTCACCATGTTGACCAGGATGGTCTTGATCTCTTGACCTCGTGATCCACCCGCCTCGGCCTCCCAAAGTGCTGGGATTACAGGCTTGAGCCACCGCGCCCGGCGAGATGTGAAGTGTTTAGCATAGCTCCGATCCTGGCACAGTGGATGTTTAATTAATGTCAGGCAGTTTTATTAATTGCATAGTGGCATGTATTACTAATTATGTTTATAGTATATGACTTGTTATTGCAAGTAGATTTTAGCCATTCTCCTTCTTTGTATTTCCAGCAGGACTGTTATAAGCACTTACAGCTATATAATACTTGATAAAAGTTTGTCCATTAATTGATGTATCTTAAAGAAGTAATGAATAGAAAATTATTTTTTAAACATTTGATTTTTAGCTATTGTAATACTGTATTATTTATACTTAATACTTGAATATTAAAATATAATATTGTTCATCTCATTTCAACTACATTAAATGTGAGGTTTTTAATGGGAAGGGCAGACTATAAATGGAATTTTGAAACTTCTTTCTCGGTCTGACTTGTAAATCACAAGTGAAAACGTTTGGCCTGGTGTAGTGGCTCACACCTGTGATCCCCAGCACTTTGGGAGGCAAAGGCGGATGAATCACAAGGTCAGGAGTTCAAGACCAGCCTGACCAAGATGGTGAAACCCCATCTCTACTAAAAATACTAAAATTAGCTGGGCATGGTGGTAGGCACCTGTAGTCCCAGCTTCTTGAGAGGCGCAGGAGAATCACTTGAACCTGGGAGGCAGAGGTTGCAGTAAGCTGAGATCGCACCACTGCACTTCAGCCTAGGCAACATAGTGAGACTCCATCTCAAAAAAAAAAAAAAGAAAGCGTTCACAGAGAGAAAAGGAGGTGCTCGCTTAGGTGGCTATTAAGTCAGTAATGTGACTCTTCTTTTCTTTATATAGCACTGTATTTACATAGAAAGAAGAAGCTGGGCATTCAAGTTATAGTTCCAGCTTCGCAGAGAGATGAACAGTTGAACAGTATAGGAAAGCCGTGGTCAACATTTAAAATTTACTTTTGAAATGACTATTTTTCAAAAATAATTGGTCAATGATCTTTCTGATTTTAGAGCCTATCAAGAGAGGAGATTTCTTTCACAACTCATCCAGAAGTTTATTTCTGTGCTGAAATCAGTCCCACTTTCTGGTAAATATCTTCTTTTTTGCTCAGTGCATTTGTGAAATTATCATATAGCTTCCTCTTTGCTATTTACTCATCTCTAAAACTGCTCTTGGAATGATTTTAATTTATATTGGCAAAGTGTATTTCCTCTCCTTTTTAAATGTATTACCAGTCTGAACATTGGGACTGCCTTTAAGGGTTATGTTATGTTATGTTATGCTATTTAGCTGAAACGGAGTCTTGCTCTGTCATCTAGGCTAGAGTGCAGTGTGGCATGATCTTGGTTCCCTGCAACCTCTGCCTCCTGGGTTCAAATGATTATCCTGCCTCAGCCTCCTGAGTAGCTGGGACTGTACATACAGGTGCACACCACCATGCCTGGCTAAGTTTTGTATTCTCAGTAGAGATTGGGTTTTGCCGTGTTGGCCAGGCTGGTATCGAACTCCTGACCTCAAGTGATCTGCTCACTTTGGCCTCCCAAAGTGCTAGGATTACGTGCCTGAGCCACCACACCTGGCCAGTAAACATCATTCTTAATCTTGAGTTTTTATCAAAAATTTTCAGCTTACTGGCAAAGGAACTAACAGGATAATGACAATAATGTGCCAGTTTAGAATGGGTATGAAGATAGATGGATTACATAGTTAGGAAAGAGAAGGCAAATTTTTCAAAGATTTTAAGAAGGATTGTAGTTTCCTTTTAAAACGGGGTCATTAAGGGTGGGCATGGTGGCTCGTACTTATAATCCCAGCACTTTGGGAAGTGCAGATGGGCAGATCACGAGGTCAGGAAATCGAGACCATCCTTGCCAACATGGTGAAAACCCTTGTCTACTAAAATACAAAAAATTAGCTGGGTGTGGTGGGCTCACCTGTAGTCCCAGCTGCTCAGGAGCCTGAGGCAGGAGAATTGCTTGAACCTGGGAGGCGGAGGTTGAAGTGAGCTGACAGATATCATGCCACTGCACTCCAGCCTGGTAACAGAGCAAGACTGCATCTCATACATACATACATACATACTTAAAATAAAATAGGGTCATTAAAAACAGCATGCCCAGATGAGTTGTTGGAAATCTGTGTAGGATAACATCTGTCTAGATGTTAAGATTGCTTTCAGAAGGGAAAAAAATTACAGTATACCTGAGAAAAATAAGAATATATTTGTGTTTGAAATTGGGATAACAAGGTTTCCACATTAGGCAACATGCCCAGAATGACTAGCTAACATAAAAACATGCAATTCTATTCACCAGAGCACAAAACTTGAGCACCATGCATTCTGATTTTAAATAGGCCATTGCCAGTAATTTCTCAAGACATAAATAAAGATACAGAATTCAGAATTTGCTCACTCTTTTAGTTTGGGAAAAAAATGTTTTCTTTGGCAGTTATAAGAACAAAAGATAGCAACAAAAGATTAGTTTGAATGGACTTAATTTAAAAATTGCTCTTTTAAATTTTTATTTTAAACAACTGTATATGTATGTTTCAGAAAACCTGGGTTCCAGTTCTAACCAGCCTTTATAGTTTTTTACATGTTTATCAGGTCATTTTCTCTAATCATGTTTTTCTTACCTGGGAAATGAAGATCTAGAACAGATGCTTTCAAAGGTTTTTTCCAGCTAATAAATTCTGTAATTCTATTATTTCAGGGTTTGGATTATGGGGATATGCTAGCTGAAAAAGTTCCAGTTAACATTTCTGTATATATTAATCACCAAAGTGTTTACATTTCTCGCTTTGCATTAAGCTTTCTGTTTTCCTGTACACTACAAATAAATGGATTTTCATTTAAGCAATTGTAGGATGCCTTCTATATGTCTGGCACTGGGTGTTAGTCAGTGCTGGAAGTCCTTAAACTAAGTAGCAACAGGGAACCTAAAATTATCTTTGTTTTAATTGGAACCAACTTGACAGGATGGTTTTAGTTGGTAAAATGGTAGACTGTTTCCTGACATTAGAAAAAAAGCTTGTACTGTGAAAGAATTTCATGCCCCAAGGTTGTAATTATTTTAAAACAAAAATAAATGTTTGTAAAAATAGTATATCATGCTCATAAATAGTATATAATAAGCTAGTTATTTAAAAGGTATTTTGTTCTTTGTGTCATTGGCATTCTAATATTAAAATAATACATGTACAGTGGAAAAAAGTCATAAAAATCACCTCTCAAATTAGTTTCAGTGTATTTTAAAGGGGCGTGTGTGTGTGTGTGTGTGTGTGTGTGTGTGTGTGTGTAGATATGCATATGTGTATGTGTTTATACATATGAGAAAACTCAGAAGTTTAGAATGTAAAGACAGGAAAGTGGAGCAAAAACTGATATAAAACTGCCTTCTAGTTTTTATCTCTGAGTTTTTTCAAATCTAATTAAATACAGATTTTTTAAAGTTAATACTTTTAAAATATCTTTGCAAACCTGATTTTTAAAATGTGCTTCTGACCCAAGCTAGATGTTTTATTTTCTCATATTTATAGAGCTAAGTGTCAGGGTAAGGCCTGGCTTAAAAAGAAATGTATGTGAGATCCTCATTCTAAATCATAGTCCCATTCTGATGAATAAGAGACAAATGACTTTATTAAATAACTGCCAGTTTTCAGAAACAGCATGCAAAATGGCCTAGTAAGAACATTCTAACATGCTTTCTCTTTTATGTCTAGAACCTGTCACTATGGACAAAGTTCATTACTGTGAAAGATTCATTGAACTTATGATTGATCTAGAGGTAAGAAATCTACAATCTACAGTGACTTTTTTGTTATGTAATCGTTAGGGGGTCTAAGATTAAGCATATGACTATATAAGAAGTATTCTTTTTCTTTTTTTTTTTTTTTTTTTTTTTCTTTTTTGGAGACAGGGTCTTGCTCTGCCATGAAGGCTAGAATGCAGTGGTGCCATCTTCTTAGCTCACTGCAACCTCTGCCTCTCAGGCCTCAACTGACCCTCCTGCCTCAGAGTCCTGAGTAGCTGAGACTACAGGAGTGTACCACTATGCCCGGCTAATTTTTGTATTTTTTGTAAAAACAGGGTTTCTCCATATTGCCCATGCTGTTCTAGAAATCTTGGGCTCAAGCGATTCTTTCACCTTGGCCTCCCAAGTATGAGGATCGCTTGGGATTTTAGGTGTGAGCTACCGTGCCTGGTCTATATGAAGTATTTCTTCATCACCTCAAACTGGTTTTACTTTGTACGTGTTTCAAGGTGTCACTTAGAGAAGGAAGTCACAAGTAGTTGGCCCTTGAGGTTTTCAAATGACTGACTCATCTACTGTGGGCTGTTAGTTGTAGAAGAAGCATGACAGTATAGTTATTAAACATGAGTCCAGCCGTGACAATTTATTTTGTGTCATACTCTATATGACACAAAATATGCCCCTCATATAGAGTTTTCTATAATGTCTGAAATCACAGGTTTCTAACTGTCTGTTTAAATAATCTTACTTTTCTAAATGCGTCCCAATGTTTGTGAAGAAAAATATAGATGCTGTGTGCAGTTTTTTAGAATGGAGATTCTCAAAAAAACAAAAAACAAGATTTCATGCTCAGGTACAGAATTTGTGGCAAATTCAGTTACAGAATTGGTATAGTTCAGATTGGATTGATTTCCTTTCCTTTCTCTTATTAATGTGGGATATCGAAAGAAAATTTGTTCCTTATCTGGAGAAGTAAGGTGGTTTCTTGACATGCGTATTAGCGTATTAGACTAGCAGTCATTCATGAGATCTTTCAAATTCTAGCTTTGCCAGTAACTAATTTATAACTTCTGAGGATCTCAATAACCTCATCTGTAAAATGATGATATTTGATTAGATTAGTGATTTTCAAGCTATGGTATAGGGGAACAAAGGAGAGGAAACAAAGACAGGATTCTCCACATAGGAACTTGTACTTCCTTTTTTCTCAGAGCAGCTCCACTTTTAAACTTACACACAGTACATATTGGGATTTTACGTAGGATTTTGTTGGAAGACTACTGGCCAAGACGATCTGATGATCTGTGAGATTCCTTTTAGTGCTAGATTTTTTATCTTTTTTTCTTTTTTTTTTGTTTTGGGACGGAATCTTGCTCTTTGGCCCAGGCTGGAGTGTAGTGGCACTAACTTGGCTTGCGGCAACCTCCGCCTCCTGGGTTCAAGCAATTCTTCCTGCCTCATCCTCCTGAGTAGCTGGGATTACAGTCGCCCATCCCCAAACCCAGCTAATTTTTGTATTCTTAGTAGAGACAGGGTTTTGCCATGTTGGCCAGGCTAGTCCCAAACACCTGACCTGAGGTAATCCTGCCATGGCCTCCCAAGGTGCTGGGATTATAGGCATGAGCCACTGTGCCCTCCCCTTATTTTCAGTTTCATCTTAAAAGTTCTTTTATCATTATTATTATTTTATTTATTTATTTATTTTTTTGAGGCAGAGTCTTACTCTGTCATCCAGGCTGGAGTGCAGTGGCGATCTTGGCTGACCGCAGCTTCTGCCTTCTGGGTTTAAGCGATTCTCCTGCGTCAGCCTCCCAAGTAACTGGGATTACAGGCGCCTATCACCATGCGTGGCTAATTTTTATATTTTTAGTAGAGACGGGGTTTCACCATGTTGGCCAGGCTGGTCTTAAACTCCTGACCTCAAGTGATCTGCCTTACTTGGCCTCCCAAAGTGCTGGGATTATAGGCATGAGCCACTGCCCCCAGCATTATTATTGTTTTTAAAACCAAAAACATTGCCACTGGGTTTATTTACAGGATGAAGGGACCTCTTGCATTGTGTACAGTATGTCGGAAGGTTGGAGGGTACTTTGTATGTTATTAATACTCAGGAGTTAAATATCAGTAGATTATACTTATAGCTGTGGAATTCTCTACATGTAAACTTACTGTTATGATGTTTGTTTTTCCCAGGCCCTGCTGCCCACAAGGCGCTGGTTTAATACTATCCTGGATGACTCTCACCTTCTGGTTCACTGTTACCTTTCCAATCTTGTTCGTAGAGAAGAGGATGGTCATCTTTTTTCCCAGGTGAGTATTTATGTATCTGAATGTATTTATTGTTTTACTTTCTAAATTTATCTTTTCTTTGCCACATAACTGGGATAACACAAACTACTAGTTATTTTAAAGTCAGGTCTTAACATGCAAAATGAATGTATTCTCATATAGGTTTCCTCTAGTAATTATATAACTTTTTGTTAATTATATGTGATTTTTATTATTGAACTAAATTATGATTTGGGGAATATAGTCACAGATGTTTACATGTTTTGATTTTTTGTGAAATATAGTAGCTGATGTGTATTAATTTTAAATGAACTATGTCCCAATCCTATGGCTCTGTTTTTCGGTTTTTTTTTTTTTTTTTTTTTGAGACAGTCTTGTTCTGTCACCCAGGCTAGAGTGCAGTGGCCCCATCTTGGTTCACTGAATCCTCCGCCTCCCAGGTTCAAGCAATTCTTCTGCCTCAGCCTCCCAAGTAGCTGAGATTATAGGCACCCACCACCGTGCCTGGCTAGTTTTTGTATTTTTTAGTAGAGACGTGGTTTCACCATCTTGGCCAGGCTAGTCTCGAACTCCTGACCTAGTGATCCGCCCTCCTCAGCCTCCCAAAGTGCTGGGATTACAGGCGTGAGCCCCTGCCTCCAGCCTGAAAGCATTTCATTTTGTTTTGTGTTGTTTTGTTTTGTTTATGGAGACAGTCTTGCTCTGCCACCCAGGCTGGAGTGCAGTGGTCATCCGGGCTGGAGTGCAGTGGCAGTGGCGTGATCTCAGCTTACTATAGCCTCTGCCTTCTGTGTTCAAGTGATTCTCCTGCCTCAACCTCTTCAGTAGCCGGGATAACAGGCATGCCCCACCATGCCTGGCTAATGTTTTGTATTTTTAGTAAAGACAGGGTCTCACCGGGTTACGCAGGTGGTCTCAAACTCCTAAGCTCAGGCAATCTGCCCACCTTGGCCTCCCAAAATGCTAGGATTACAGGCATGAGCCACCGCACCCAGCAGAAGAAAGCATTTCTAACAAACTTTTAATGCTCTCTTTCAATGAGATCTTAGTTGGAGATACATTTTTGGTATGTGTTTACATATCCCCTTTGTTCTTTTATATCTGTGAGCATTCCTCTTACTCTCTTTAAATTTCTGTCTAGTGATTTGTCACATGTATTAAAATACCTTAAAATCTTAATATCTGATCTACCATAGATTAGATCTAAAAATAATAAAGATTTAATTAAGCCAAAGGGCTTTGATGGCCATGGAGAAAAAAGAATAATTTAGCTTTCCCCATCTTACTGTTTTTCCTTAAGCACATAATGAATTCTAAAACCTGTATTTAGGATTTTAAATAAGAAACCCCAGGAGTTCCCTCTAGTGCTATAGTTTTATACATTTTCAGTGATGTAGATAAGATAGGCTTTGTTTGATTAAAGTGCTGGGCTTCTTTAGATGACCTCCTTAATGCCTCTTAAGTATTGGGATTGCAGTATAAGTTTTTCTTTGCAGAAATAGACCATGTATATAGACTGAACAATTTATTCACATACTTTATTTTCACATAATGAAAACATTTTTACTTGGATATGTTCTAAAATCTTTTTTGTAGTGTTTACATTCCTGAGTTTTTCAGCACCTCTAAGCTGCTATATGAACTTGTTTATTATTTTGAATAGTATTGTGCTTCTTCTTCCCCTTATGTTCTTATGATTTATTCATTTAAATTCATTTAAATTCATTTAAATGTGTTTTTTTTTTTTTTTTTAGCTTTTGGACATGCTTAAATTCTATACTGGTTTTGAAATTAATGACCAAACTGGAAATGCTTTGACAGAGAATGAGATGACCACAATTCACTACGATAGAATTACTTCTCTACAGGTAATTAAAATACATTATAGCCTTTGTGTATGTTTCATAAAATTGTGTCATCCTACAGTTTAGGTTTTGTGTAGGTACAGATGGAAAATGATGTTAATTTAATAGTGGTTTTATCTTCAACATTTTTAATGTTTCTTTTTCCAATGAATTCTTGAAAAATAGAACTTTCTTTTACAGCCTTTCTAAATCCTGTGAATCAATATACTGATATTTGCTACTTGGAAATACTAGTTACTTGGCCAGTTTGGTGTATTTAAATATTAACTCTGCTGTCAGATTTATTAAACAGTATTTCAGCATATGGCAGGATGTATGTAAGGATTTTGCACATTTTTAAGATGAACACATATGATGGGGCTAAAATTTACCAATGTAGTTCAGATAAGCCCAAAAAAGTACCTTCATTTGTTTTTTATTGCTGATCTTATCTTATTCTTGAGCTCAAATTTCTCTGGTGGCAGAAGGAAGTTTTGTCAGTTTAAAGTAATGCAGCTATTTCTGTTTTAAAGAGTCTTTTGATGGGGGGTAAAGATTCACTTCAAATCCTTTTGTAATCAAGTTGGCTATCTCTTAAGACATCTGTTCTGCGAAGCTGGAGGCATCATACTACCTGACTTCAAACTATATTACAAGGCTACAGCCACCAAAATAGCATGGTGCTGGTACCAAAACAGACATATAGACTAGTGGAACAGAATGGAGACCTCGGCAATAATACCACGCATCTACAGCCATCTGATCTTTGACAAACCTGACAAAAGCAAGCGATGGGGAAAGGATCTCCTATTCAGTAAATGGTGCTGGGAAAACTGGCTAGCCACATACAGAAAAGTGAAACTGGACCCCTTCCTTATACTTTATACAAAAATTAACTCAAGATGGATTAAAGACTTAAATGTAAAGCCCAAAACCATAAAAACCCTAGAAGAAAACCTGGGCAATACCATTCATGACATAGGCTTGGGCAAAGGCTTTGTGACAAAAACACCAAAAACAATTGCAACAAAAGCCAAAATTGACAAATGGGATCTAATTAAACTTAAGAGCTTCTGTACAGCAGAAGAAACTATCATCAGAGTGAACAGGCATCCTACAGAATGGGAGAAAATTTTTGCAATCTACCTATCTTGACAAAGGTCTAACATCCAGAATTTATAAGGAATTTAAACATATTTATAAGAAAAAAACAACCCCATCAAAAAGGGGACAAAGGACATGAACGGACACTTCTCAAAGGAAGACATTTATGCGGCCAACGAACATGAAAAAAAGCTCAACATCACTGGTCATCAGAGAAATGCAAATCAAAACCACAATGAGATACCATATCATCTCATGCCAGTCAGAATGGCAATTATTAAAAAACCTGGAAGCAATAGATGCTGGCAAGGCTGTGGAGAAATAGGAATGCTTTTACACTGTTGATGGGAATATAAATTAGTTCGACCATTGTAGAAGACAGTCTGGTGATTTCTCAAGGATCTAGAACCAAAAATATCATTTGATGCAGCAATCCCATTACTGGCTATATACCCAAAGGAATATAAATCTTTCTGCCATAAAGACACAAGCACACGTATGTTTATTGCAGCACTGTTTGCAATAGCAAAGGCATGAACCCAACCCAAATGTCCCTTAATGGTAGACTGGATAAAGAAAATGTGGCATATATACACCATGGAATACTATGCAGCCATAAAAAGGAATGAGATCATGTCCTTTGCAGGAGCATGGATGAAGCTGGAAGCTGTCATTTTCAGGAAACTAACACAGGAACAAAAAACCAAACACCGCATGTTGTCATTTCTAAGTAGGAGTTGACCATTGAGAAAGCATGGACACAGAGAGGGGAACAACACACACCAGGACCTGTTGGGGGTGGGGGGCTGAGGGGAGGGAACCTAGAAGACAGGTCAGTAGGTGCAGCGAACTACCATGGCACATGTATACCTATGTAACAGAACCTGCATGTTCTTCACATGTACCTTTTTTTTTTTTTTAAAGAGGAAATTTAAAAAAATAATAATGGTGTAAAAAGAAAAAATCTCTGTTCTCCTTCTTTCCTACTAGGTATGTAGAGACACTAAAATACCCTTATTGTTTTGGAAGAGGAGTTAATTCGGATGTCTTTTCTTGCTTCTTTTTTAGAGCATTAGTATTTTTTGTCCCGTCTCTGTCCTTGGAATGACCACAGCTGGTATGGCATGTGGTCTATTTTATTGACACAGGCAAGGCATCATGATTACTATTTCCCCTGTTGAGGAGGCCCCAACTTTGCTTGATGGTGCTAGCATTCTCCTGAGGGCTGACTCTTGTTTATTTCCTTGTTTTCTCATGCTTGGGTTGCAGAGTCATTTGCCATTGTGTGCAGTAATCGCATAATCCCATGGCAAGCTCACTCATGGCAACCTTGGCAACCTTCTGTGTCATCCACCTGGAACACATGAAAACTTCTGGATTTTTTCTGTGCTACATGGGCATCAAGGAAGACTAGGGACATTACCTAAGTCGCTCTCTTGTAATACTATTTCTGTTTTCTTGCAGCTTACCCTGTGTTGGTTTAGAGTGTTACCCTGTGATGTCTTCTCTTCCCAGGGTTCCAAACAAAAGCAAGGCATACGCATAATGTTTTCGGTCTCTCCTTCAAGTTCTCTCTGCAGCTGGAGTTTCCCTTGGGACTTTCTTTTAGTATTATTAGACCTGTTCTTGATAATCAAGTGTGTATTTGGTTTTTTCTCCTCTTCTATCAATGAAGCTAGCCTTTGTGGCTCTATTCGTATATATTGACAGTCCTTTTAGATGTCAAAACATGAACACCAACTTTATGTTTTTTACATTTCTGCTATGATAGTTGTAGTTTTTTTCTCTTTTTATTACATGCCGCTGTCTGATTAAGATAGAGGTCGCATAAAAGAAGCATGTAAGCAAGAGAAATGTGTTAATATTTTTAGAATATATTATTTTTGTCATTAAATAGTAGATGTGTATATGAATATGTAGACATTAATGATTGATATTTTTTGCTGTTTTCCAGAGAGCTGCTTTTGCACATTTCACTGAACTCTATGATTTTGCCCTCTCGAATGTGGCAGAAGTGGATACTCGGGAATCCTTGGTCAAGTTTTTTGGACCTCTTAGGTAAAACAACATGAAAAAACTATATATCCTTTTTTTGTATCATGCTCCCTCAATTTTACTTGTCTTTATTGCTTTTAATCATTTTACACTACTTTAGGTAATATTACTTATTATTTCACTCTTTACTGACGTCTACAACTAGTGCTTCTCTCTAGCAGTTTTGTGTCTTTGAGCCACTTAACTGTAATTATCCATATATTTTTGGTAAAGTTTCTATTTTTTATGATGTATACAGTTTTTCTAGATCTTAAATTTTTCTTAAAGTAGAACATAAAGCTGGTCAATCTCATCAGTCATAAACAACATACAACAAAAACCAATAAATATTAATATGTGTGATAGAGGTGTGACTTAGGGAAATTTTTGCATGTTTAAAATTTATAAAATTAGTAATTTCCTCTGGCACTTAGCTATCTGCTAATATGCCCTTTTGAAAATAGTAATAGTAATAGCATACGTTTATTTACTATGTGATAGAATTCTGTTAAGTATGTAAACAATTCTTAAGATACTCATGCTAGAAGTAGGTATCATTTTACATATAAGGTATCTGAGGCATAGAATAGTTAAGTAATTTGCCTAAGTTACACAGCAAGTAAGTGGCAGAGATACAGTTTAAACCTGGATAGTGTGATTTCCAAGCCCTAACTTACTTTTAACTACTATGCTGTATCATCTCCCAGCTCTTGGGAGAAATTATGTGTAGTTCTATGACTATTGAAAATGTGATAAACTGAGGTTGGTTTGGTTGTTCATTCTCATATGAGGATTTAATATAATTGATAACACATAGATTCATTTCAGTCTTTTAAATAACTACGTAGAGTTCCATTAAACAGGACCACCTTTTTTTTTTTTTATGATACGGAGTATTGCTCTTTAGCCTACGCTGGAGTGCAGTGGCGCCATCTCGGCTTACTGCAGCCTCTGCCTCCCGGGTTCAAGCATGTTTTCTGCCTTAGCCTCCCGAGTAGCTGGGACTAGAGGTGTGTGCCACCACACCTAGCTAAGTTTTCGTATATTTAGTAGAGATGGGGTTTCACCGTGTTAGTTAGGGATGGTCTCAATCTCCTGACCTTGTGATCCACCCGCCTCAGCCTCTCAAAGTGCTGTGATTACAGGCATGAACCACTGCGCCCAGACCCACCATACTATTTTTTTTTTTTTTGAAGTCAATCTGTTGTTGAATCTTTTTTTTTTTTTTTTGGAGACAGAGTCTCCCTCTGTTGGCCAGACCGGAGTGCAGTGGTATGATCTCAGCTTACTGCAACCTCTGCCTCCCAAGTTAAAGTGATTCTCCTGCCTCAGCCTCCCAAATAGCTGGAACTACAGGCATGCGCCACCACACCTGGCTAAGTTTTGCATTTTGAGGGCTTCACCATATTGGCCAGGTTGGTCTCAAACTTCTGACCTCAGGTGCCACTGCACTCCAGCCTGGGCAACAGAGTAAGGCTCCATCTCAAAAAAAAAAAAAAGAAGATTGACATCTATTATATGTTAGCATATGTATTGCTAATGAAAAATATATTTTCCAAAATGAAAAAAAAAATGCACAGTGAAAAGGGTGTCTTTGTTTTACATTTTTGTGAATCTCTTTAATGTCTGATTTAATTGAAGACAGATTTGCAGATGTGTTCCTGGATTCAGTTTGTTGTGAGATACTGTTTTGAAGTAAATTGAGAACATTTGGCCTTACACAGAGGGAAGTGTATTTTGATAAGCTTTATCAAATAATTGAGAATATTCTTCTTTGATACTGTACAAGAACTTGACAAGTGGTGGTTTCTTTAAAAATTAGTTTCACAGTAGAATCTGAAACCATGTCAAGGAAGTCTGTGCAATTAAAATGAATTAATTTGAAAAATTAGAAGCTAAGTCTTGCTTATGGATAAGAGGACTCAAGGTATGAATCCTTCCCAAATTAATCTACAGGTATAATTTAATTCCAGTCATAATTCTAGTAGGATATTTTATAGAAATTGACAAACTTACTTGAAAAATAACATGGAGAGGCAAAGGAACTATAACAACCCAAACCATTTTGTAACAGAACAAAGTTGGAAGATTTCAACTAATTTCAAGGCTTGCTGTAAAGGCCACTATAATCAAGACATCATGGTATTGATAAACATATATATATATGTTTATATTTATTTATAAATATATTTATTTATTTATAGACCAGTGGAATAGAATAGAGTCAGAAATACACCACACCTATATGGTTAGTTGAGTTTTGACTAATGTGTCCAGGCAACTCAATAAAGAAAGGATTTCAACAGTGGTGCTGAAACAATTAGATATTCATATGCAAAGTATGAACCTTGACCCATACTTTGTATCATTTACATAAATTAATTCAAAATGGATTATAGACCTAAATGTCAAAACCAAAACTTCTGGGGAATATTGGAGAAAATGTTTGTGATTGTGGTTTGTCCATGGACACCAAAGCACAATCCATAATGGGAAAAAAATGATAAATTGGACTTGATCAAAACTAAAAGACATTTGCTGTTTGAAAGACATTGATAAGAGATTGGAAAAAAAAAGCTACAAACTAGGAGAAAATATTGGCTAAATAGATATTTGATGAAGGAATATCTCAGAACTCAATACAGTAGTCCCCTCCCTCTCTGCAGGGCATGTGTTCCAAGAACCCCAGTGGATGCCTGAAACTGCATATTGTACTGAACCCTGTGTACACTGTGTTTTTACATGTATATGTAAAAACCTATGATAAAGCTATGAATTAGGCACAGTAAGACATTAACAACAGTAGTAATAAGAGAACAGTCAGAACAATATACTATAATAAAAGTTATGTGAATGTGGTATCTCTCTCAAGATATCTTATTGTACTATATTGAACTATTTCCAGACTGTGATCAGCCATGAGTAACTGAAATTATGGAAAGTGAAACCACAGATAAATGGGGACTCCTATAATAATAAAACAATTTACAGATGACAAAAGATTTGAACAGACATTTCACCAAAGTAGATAGATAGATGTCAGTCAGTCCATGGAAAGATGCTTAACATGTTTAGTCGTTGGGGAAATTCAAATTTAAACCATAACAAGATACTACATACCTATTATAATTTTTTTTATTTGTTTAAATGGATAAGGCCAGGCACAGTGGTTCATGTCTGCGATTCCAGTACTTTGGGAGGCTGAGGCAGGAAGATCACTTGTTTACTAAAAATCAAAACAATTAGCCAAGTGTGGTGGCACATGCTTGTAATCCCATCTACTCAGGAGGCTGAGACAAGAAGATTGCTTGAGCCCGGGAGACTGAGGCTGCACTGAGCTATGATCACGCCGCTGCACTTCAGCCTGGACGACAGAGCGGACCCTGTCTTAACAAAACAAACAAAAAACCCAAAATGGATAACATTGACTCTTGGCAGGGATGTGTAGCAGTTGGAATTCTCATACATTGCTGGTGGGAATTCAAAGTGGGATAGCCATTTTGGAAAAATATGACACTTTCTTGTAAAGATAAACATGAACTTACATCATGATCCAGTGTTTCCCGCTTACAGATGTATTCAAGAGAAGTGAAAACTTATGTTCACACAAAAATATATAGAAAAAGGAATATAGTTGCTTTATTCAAAATTGTCAAAAACTGAAATACACAAATATCCCTCAGCTGTTGAATAAATAAACATACTGTGATACAGCTGTATCATGAAATACTGTTCAGCAACGTAAAGGAACCAACTACAGATAAATAGTGCAGTGTGGGTAAATCTCAAATGCATTATGCTAAGTAAAAGCAGCCATTCAAAAGGCTACCTAAGACCAGCTGTGGTGGTTCACACCTGTAATCCCAGCAATTTGGGAGGCTGAGGCAGGATCACTTGAGCTTAGGAGTTTGAGACCAGCCTAGGCAATATGGTGAAACCTCATCTCTACCAACAATACAAAAATTTAGCCGGATGTGGTGGTGCACACTGGTGGTTCCACCTACTGGGGAGGCTGAGGTGGTAGGATTGCTTAAGCCCCAGATATGGAGGTTGCAGTGAGCTGACAACGTGCCACTGCCCTCCAGCCTGGGTGACAGAGTGAGACTCGTCTCAAAAAACAAGCAAGAAAAAAAGACTACCTAATGTATGATTTCATTTATTTGACCCAAAAAGACAAAATTACAAATAGAAAACTGATTATGGTTGCTGGATTGGGATGGAGAAGGGAGTTAGCTATAAATTAGCACAAGGGATTTTGGGGAGGCGATGAAGCCAATTAAATAGTGGAAGGCTGTGAAGCTCACGGCGAATACTGGTTTTCCAAAATTCGAAATTTTCACGTTCACGTGGAAGTTCAAATTTTATCATTGACAGCAAATACTGATAGTTGTTTTCCTTGAAATTATAGACTTATTTCATTGAAAAATTGAAATTTGAAAGAAAATTGCCATTTGTCCAAGGCTGTATAGTTTGTCATTTTTTGAAGTAAAAGTTGTGTGCAAAATACGTACTTCCCATTTTGTCACAGAATTAAAAAAAAAAAAAAGAACAACGATACTCGAGTCCAAATTTAATAGCATTAATTTTTTTTTGCTGCTTCATCAAGGACATTCTTAAATAAAACTGTGAAACAGACGATGTCTTAGTATAAATATTTAAAAGTGTTCTTGGGGACTGCCTAGAAGGATCGTGGGTACAATGAGAGGTTTGCAGAAAACATTTTGAGAACCCTGCACTGAAGGCTTAATTTTCATTGCTGGTTTTTGATATTTGCAGCCCATGTCATAGTATTGTATTTGTTTTTTTAAAGCTATTTGTAAAAATACATGTTTCCAAAGCGAAGTGAAGTAAGTTACTATGAATAAATTGTTCTCTATTCTGCAGTTCAAACACACTCCACCAGGTGGCATCATACCTCTGCTTGTTGCCAACTCTCCCTAAAAATGAAGACACAACTTTTGATAAAGAATTTCTTCTAGAATTGCTGGTAAATACTAATGTTCTCTGAATTTTGCATTTGGTTTTCCCTGCCTTTTTAAATCATTCTTAAAGATGTAGGTTCATATAGATATTTAGTGGGCCAAAGATTAAGTGGATAATTCCCATTTTGTTTTTGGAATTGTATTATCATTTGATTTTATGAGATTTGCTTTCTCATCTTTTGAATTTCTTTTCTCAAGTATTTTATCTCTTTAAACTACTTTCTGGATGAATCATTCTATTAGCAAGTATTTGTGTGCAAATCACTTTTCATTGTCTCTGTTTCAATTCCTAAAAATTCCTGTGCTATTTTATGGCCCTATAAATTCTCTCATGAGTCAGGTTTTGGGGATTAATAATAAATCTTTACAACAGAAAGAAATGAGGATTTTTTCAAGAATTCTTTTTGAGAGTCTCACTCCATCACTCAGGCTGGAGTGCAGTGGTGTAATCTCAGCTCACTGTAACCTCTGCCTCCCGGGTTCAAGTGATTCTTGTGCCTCAGCCTCCTGAGTAGCTGGTATTACAGGTGTGTGCCATGACTCCCGACTAAGTTTTGTATTTTTTGGTAGAAGATGGGGTTTCGCCACATTGGCCAGGCTGGTCTCGAACTCCTGGCCTTAAGTGATTCCCCTGCCTTGGCCTCCCAAAGTGTTGGGTTACAGGCATGATTCACTGTGCCCAGCCTTTTTTCAGGAATTCTTCTAATGGGCAACAGATTTGGGTATAACGTTGATCCTGTGCCTATTAAAGTCTTGTGGCCAGAATTTTTTTTCTAAAATTTAAATTGTTTCACCAAAAGACGATAATTTAAAAAAATATATAGTGCTACAACATTATGTTTTGTTTCCTCCCTTTCCTTTTTTTTTTTCTTTTTTTTCTTAATGGCAAGAACTGCAATTATGTTTCTTCCCTTTCCAAGGGAGGATTTGGATTTGGATTCTTCCTGTTTTGGATTCTTCAAATATTCAATTTATGATTAAAAATTTGAAATATGCATATTGTTCAGATATCATGATTTTTTTCTATAATTATATTGTCTTCACTGAACAGAATGTGTTATGTTATAAGAATGTATCATTTTAGCAATATTAAACACTTAATTTCACATTTGAGATAGATTGCTGTAATATTAATATTAAGGGTGCATAGAAGTCGTCATGGAAGAGAACTTAGAGAGAGAAGCCTAGGGTGATAGATTAATAAACTTGCCCAGTTGATATAGCTGGTTAGTATAAGAATGAAAACTATAGTCCAAAACTTAGAGCTCCTTTTTTTTCTTACGTTGATTAATGCTAAGTGTCATGGTTTTTAAACTCTTGACATGTGCCAGGGACTTTGGCACGGCTTTATAATATTTTGTTTTCTTAAGAAACTTGAGATGTGTGGCACTTTATCTGTTTCAGTGAAAAGGAAACTAAGGTCAGGAAGGTTAAAGTTAACGTGCCAGTTTTTACAGTACTCATAAATAGAAGAGCTAGGATTTGAACTCAGGTCTCTCTGTTTCCAAAGACCATCACCGTTGGTTCATTTGTCATCTTTGATCTATGGAGAAAGTAAGAAAAGAAAAAAAAAATCTCTTGTTGAACTGCTACAATGATATAGGCATGAAATAACTGATAGGCCTGAAACGTCTTCCATAAATTATTTTGATTGAAAAAAGATGCTTCTAACCTTCTGCATGAACTTGTTTCCTTTCTTTTAGGTATCTCGTCATGAACGTCGAATTTCTCAGATTCAGCAGTTGAACCAGATGCCTTTGTATCCTACTGAGAAAATTATATGGGATGAAAATATTGTCCCAACTGAGTACTATTCTGGAGAAGGTATGGTAAAGAAATATGGCTTCAGCTGTGCAATGAAACAGTCAGATTTCTCATGTGTAATTGGCAGTTATAGACAGTGTACTTCAGTCTATTCTGTACATTAGGATAATTTCCTGGTACCCAGAAGTTAACCTTATACGCTAGAAAAGATTTCGTATTTTGAATGCTTTAGCACTAAGGATTTTCTTTACATTTAACTATACACATTTCACCGTGTAAAAAATATAACCATAAAGCCCTAGGATTGTTTTAATTTTTTTGTTTGTATGAGACACGGTCTTGCTCTGTCACCTAGGCTGGAGTGCAGTGGCACAATCTCAGCTTATTGCAGCCTCTGACCCCGGGCTCAAGTGATCCTCCCACCATAGCCTGCTGAGTACCTGGGACCACAGGCATGCACCATGCCCACTTTTTTTTTTTTTTCTTTTTGTATTTTTAGTAGAGACAAGGTCTCCTTATGTTGCCCAGGCTGGTCTAGAACTCCTAAGCTCAAGCGATCTGTCCGCCTTAGCCTCCCAAAATGCTGGAATTACAGGTGTGAATCATTGCACGCGACCATAAGACTGTTTTCAAGGAGACTTGATAATGCATGAGCTTTAATTGTGTCACTGTGATAGGCTATGTTTGATAGAGCTTTTGTTTTTCAAAGCCTTTTTTAGGGGCTCTTTTGAATTCTATGTAAAGCCAGGTAATAAACACCAAAAAAAAAAAAAAAAAGACATTGTCATTAATTGATAGTAAACCCTTAGTGTTGATCCAAAATGGTATTGCCTAGTTTGTTCACTTTCCACTCATCCTCTGAGGATGAGAATTTGTCACAACTGAGTATATGCAAAAGTGTATTCAGATGTATTTTGATGACATATTTCTTCTTTTTCTTCTCTTTTTTTTTTAAGACTAAGTGTCACTCTTGTAGCCCAGGCTGGAGGGCAATTGTTGATCTTGGCTCACGGCAACTTCCACCTCCCGGGTTCAAGTGATTCTCCAGCCTCAGCCTCCCAAGTAGCTGGGACTGTAGGCGTGTGCCACTGCATCCGGCTAATTTTTTGTATCTTTAGTAGAGATGGGGTTTTGCTGTGTTCGGCAGGCTGGTCTCAAACTCCTGACCTTGTGATCCACCCGCCTTGGCCTCCCAAAGTGCTAGGATTACAGATGTGAGCCACTGCACCTGGTCTTGAAGGCATATTGCAACAGAAATTTCAGGACATTCTTTGAACAATGGTATTACTATTAGAAGAAATGTGACTGTTTTAAAGACATCACAAGTATAGGTATTGGTATATTTACTTAAAATGGTTACTCTATGGCATATCCTAGAGCCACAACCTCAGTAAACCCAGTGTGGTAATATTGTGCTAGGTTTCAGAACATTCCTTACAGTGGTTAATATGTTGATTTCTTATGTCTAGGGATGCACACCTGGGTGATAAAACTATAAAGAAATTAAGACAGTGATTGCTATAAAAGTCAGGAAATGGTTACTTTCAGGTGAAGGGAAGAAGATGTAACCGGAAAAGGGCATATAGGAGGATGCTGGGATAGCTGACAAGGTTTCATTAAAAAAAAAAGTCTTTTACTTTACTAGTACCCTCTGAACATCCCTTTCTTTCCTTTTTTTTTCTGCGGAAGAACCGAAGTTGTTTGATCTTAGAGTTTCCCACAGTCTAGATTTTTCTGCCTGAATACTCATGGCATATTGCAGCATATGTTCCTCAGTTTTTTAATTTTTCTTGCAAATTGATACAACCTTAGGCAGAGTCTCAGGTTAAGGTTCTCCTTGGCAAGATTCCTGGTAGTGGTATGTTCCTTTGTCAGGAGGCACATACTGTCTGCTTGTCTCTCTTTTTGTGCTGTTAGTAGCTATTGATACTTAACACCTAGATTTGTTAATTCATTGAGTGTTGCAAAGTGGTGACATTTTAATTGTCAGAGTTTTTAAAAATAAAAATGTGCTATTGAAAGAAATTGAGTTAGATTACTAGTCAGAGTTTACTAATATAAATAATGTTAAATTTTTATAGGTCAATGTTGTTACCTTTAAGTTTATTTATTTATTTTTTGGTAATATGGACAACAATGATGAGACTGTGATTCATCAGTAAAATGTGTTTTGGGATTTAAAAAATCCAAGTGGTTGGTCACTTCTTGTCCAGGAGAAATAGTGTTAAGTGAGAATAATGAAAAGAATATTGTTTATTCATAGTCAGAGAAGGAGGAGTCTGGAATAACATACAAGCAATGTTTTATCCTTAAAGTTTAGCCACAAGGCAAGTTCAGATCACAGTAATGATCATTGGAGATTGATTTATGCAATGTAACGTAATAATTCAGTGTTTATGCTAAATTTTGTCGTAGGCTAAATTTATGGTAACATGATTCACTTCAATATTTGCTAAAAATAAATTTGGTGATAAGGGAAGTTTTAAATTACTTGAGACTATTAGTACAAGTATCTTTAAATACTTTGAAGGAGTACTGTTTACGTATGAAACACTGATATGCAGATTACATGTATTAATAAAGCTCATCCTTCACCCCTAATAATTTTTTTTTTTTTGAGACTGAGTTTCACTCTTGTTGCCCGGGCTGGAATGCAATGGCATGATCTCTGCTCACTGTAACCTCTGCCCCCTGGGTTCAAGCGATTCTCCTGCCTTAGACTCCCGAGTATCTGGGATTGTAGGTGCCTGCCACCATGCCCAACTAATTTTTTGTATTTTTAGTAGAGACGGGGTTTCACTGTGTTGGCCAGGCTAATCTCCCAACTCCTGACCTCAGGCGATCCACCTGCCTCGACCTCCCAAAGTGCTGGAATTATAGGCATGAGTCACCATGCCCAGCTTCACCCCTAATTCTTTTTTTTTTTTTTTTTTTTTTTTTTTTTGAGACAGAGTTTCGCTCTTGTTACCTAGGCTGGAGTGCAATGGTGCAATGGCGCGATCTCGGCTCACCGCAACCTCCGCCTCCCGGGTTCAGGCAATTCTCCTGCCCCAGCCTCCTGAGTCGCTGGGATTACAGGCACGCGCCACTATGCCCAGCTAATTTTTTGTAGTTTTAGTAGAGACGGGGTTTCACCATGTTGACCAGGATGGTCTCGATCTCTTGACCTCGTGATCCACCCGCCTCGGCCTCCCACAGTGCTGGGGTTACAGGCTTGAGCCACCGTGCCCGGCCAACCCCTAATTCTTAATAACCAACATTTATTAATCTGGTTTTAACATCTGTGTGGAAACAAAAATAAGTTGTTATCAAATATGCTGCATTTCAGGCACTCATTATATTCTTAGTTTTGTGGTGCCAGTTTTTTTAACACAGAGAGCAAATGTCTGATTAGAAGAATAATTCAGATATGGATGATGTTTTCCTTTTCAGGTTGTCTAGCTCTTCCCAAATTGAATTTGCAGTTTTTGACTCTTCATGACTACCTGCTAAGGAACTTTAACCTCTTCCGCTTAGAGTCAACTTACGAAATTCGGCAGGACATCGAAGATAGTGTCAGCAGAATGAAGCCATGGTTAGTAAATTGGTTCCACCTGTAATGAAATGATGCAGACAGTGACTGATAAACTTCTGTCAGAAACCTTAGTATATTTAGAAATAATATACCTGGCACAAAGGTACCCTCTAAAATAGGAGATATTTACTCTTTGAGACATTTTAAAATGTGAATTAACATGTATCACAAGTGCTAAAATATAAACTACGTATCTGGGTACTTGGGAATGGGGATGGGAGACTGGGGATAGGGGAGAAGAAGTCATCGTGCTCAGGAAGGGAAGGGGGAACTGTAGAGGGTAGTAGGTTGGACCTTACTTAAAGCCTGATTGAAGGCTACGGGTTGGCCAGCAGGCCTGTGCTAGGGCAGGACAGTTTAAGTCATGGAAGAAGCGTATAATAAAGGGATGTTCCATTAATCCAGCTACTCTTGTCACTGTTGTCACAGTATTCTCAGTCTGCCTCTCTAGGGGAATGGATAGAGGATTAGGGCTGTTGCTGAGCACTGTATGGGGTGGTATGTTAGAAAGTATTCTGTCTCTCCACCCATAGATTCTGTGGAGGAGAGTAAATCACCAGGATTTACTTTTAGGGCCAGTTGAGTTGGTCTTGTTATTGAGGAATTCTTCTGCATAAACTCCACTCCCACCTGCTAGCTGATGTCTGGAATTCCTTTAGCTAAGAAAAGTCTTTCTTTCTGGTTATGGTAGCAGCTCTGCATTACAAGAATTTGTAAAGGGTTAATTTGGTTTTATGGATATGGCTGACTTTAGGCAAATGCTCTTTATTCACTATTTCATTCGAAGTATGAAACTGATAGATATGTTATACATCACACGTGATTATAAATGAGTAAAATACTGTGAGATGGATTTTTATTACATTATAGCACACCATGTATACATACATGATTATACTGCATTTTATGTGAAAAGCTGAACAGCTTTGGAATATGAACTGATTCAGGTATCTTCCAGGCTTCTCCTTACTAATTATAGAGAGCTACCACAGACACTGTGATTATGAGCTATTTTTTCACTTCCATGTTTTATTTCATACAGAGTTCTATTTTTTAATTAATTATTATGTGAGAAGTTATTCTGGGTGAGACTATAAAATACAACACAAAGCATTTTTTACTTAATAATCAGTTGAGTCAGTAGGCAGGAGAGCACTGTGAAATTTGTATATCCACTGGCTGATCATTTCTGCCCACAGCTTTGCTGAAATTGTTGCCCATTGTTTGGACCCTGGGGGAGTGCTTGATCAGAAAACTTCTTTACAATTTACCATTACCTTGAGTTTATATGCTCAGATTTTGGGCCTAATTTTGGCCATTTTGAAGTCTCTAGGGATTTATTAACTGGCAGTTCAACAAATAGAATTCATTTATATTTTACTTAAATGCCAAGTGCAACAAAAATACTTTGAGTTCTTTTGGTCTATTAATTTAAAAAATTATAATTTTTAATTATAACATTTTCTGGCAGGGGATGAAAATGTCACTTTTTGGAGTTAATTCATTCACCTTTGTAATAACAGATTTTTCAAAATTTACATTTTTAATGCCCATCATCGAAAATTATTAAAAATGTTGAAACCTAAAACAGGGCTAGGCTTCTTTCTGTTTCACGTATCTTGAAGATGGAAAACTAACAGAGGCATTTTGACTCATTATGTGGTTCCAGTGATCATGTTTTCAGGGTGCTGAAGCCCACTAACCAGCAGTAAAAGAGGATATGCTTAAAGGCCAGAAATCTATACTTTTTAATGCTTCAAATAGATTTTATAAGAAGAAAAAGGGGTCAGGGGAGTAGATTAGTGGTTGCTTGGGTTTGGTCACAGGGATTGACTGCAACTGGACAAGAGGGATCTTTTTTTTTTTTTTTTTTGAGATGGAGTCTTGCTCTGTAGTAGCCCAGGCTGGAGTGCAGTGGCGCAATTTTGGCTCACTGCAACCTCTGCCTCCTGGGTCCCGGTTCAAGCAATTCCCCTACCTCAACCTCCCAAGTAGCTGGGATTATAGCATGGATTACAAGCCACCATGCCCAGCTAATTTTTCTATTTTTAAGCAGAGACAGGGTTTTACCATGTTGCCCAGTCTGAACTTGAACTCCTGACCTTGTGATCCACCTGCCTCAGCCTCCCAAAGTACTGGGATTACAGGTGTGAGCCACCACACCCAGCCAGAGGGATCTTTTTAAAGACGATGGAAGTGTTCCACAACTGGATTTTGTAGTAATGCACAATTCTGTAAATTTACTGAGAACTATGGGCTTGTACATTTACAGTGGATAAATGTTATGGTATGTAAACTATACTGCATTAAAGCTGCAAAAAATGGAGGAGGTGAAAGGAAGTTGTTTCACAAGGGTTTAGACACTACGTAATTTCTTTTAGAGATTGTCCCAATACTAACCAAGCCATTGGTTTGCAGAACTTTAATTAGTTTCTCTTTTTGATGTTATGAAGTTCTACAATTTTTTGTTGTGACATTAAGTCTTTACATAGGAGGCAGTTTATCTTTGTAGGTATGTCATATTCTGCAGTACTTCCTAATTTTGGAGTGCTGCTTCAACTTTTACGTTACAGATTTCCCAAATACAACTATTTAATATAAAAACTAAAGCACTAGTTAGACTAACATAAGAAGAAAGAATAGACATTGGGATGTTAGTGGTTCTGGTTATTACAACTAGCTTGATTATTTTTTTCTCTAATCCATAGCAACATCTTTTAAATGATTTAAATATGCTCTAAAGGAAGTTTTTGCATTGATATTATTTATTTGCTTGTTTTAAATGTTTTTGAAATTATAGCTTGTCCTAAAATGTATTTGAAACAGCTTATACAAATACTTAAAATATAGAAAATAAAATATTAACAATTGAACCAGTCTTTATGAAGAGGATAAAAGGGTAACAGTATAAAATAAAACTTAGTAAAGAGGTCCTTCAGAAATGAAAGAGAAATAAAGACCAAAAAACAAAACAGAACAAACACCAAGAGAGTTTATCACCACTAGACCTACCTTACAGTAAATACCAAGGGAAGTTCTCCAAGCTGAAATAAAAAGATGCCAATTAGTAACATGAAGAGACCTGAATAGCTAAAGCAATCTTGATCAAGAAGAACGAAGCTGAAGACATCATACTTTCTGATTTCAAATTATATTACAAAGCTACATTAGTCAAAACATTATGATACTGGCATAAAAACACATAGACCAACAAAAGAGAACAGAAAACTCAGAATTAAGCCTGCGCTTATACAGTCATCTAATCTTTGATGCATGTACCAAGAACATACAATGGGAAAAAGAGAATGGTCTTGGGAAAACTGGATATCTACTTGTAAAACAATGAAAGGGGATCCCTATCTTATATGATACACAGAAGTTAACTGAAGATAGACTGAAGATTTAAACATAAGACCTAAGCCCATGAAACTCCTCAAAGAAAACTTAGGGGAAAATCTGCATAACATTGGTCTTGCAATGATTTTTGGGTGACACCAAAAGCATGGGGAACAAAAGCAAAAATAAGTAAGTGGGGACCACATCAAACCTAAAAGTTTTTGCACAACAAAGGTAACAATCAACAAAATGAAAAGGCAGCCTTACAGAATGGGAGAAAATATTTTCTTTTTTTTTTTTTTTTTGAGACAATCTTGCACTGTTGCTTGGGCTGGAGTGCAATAGTGCAATCTTGGCTCACCGCAACCTCCACTGGGAGAAAATATTTTCAAACCATGCATCTAATTAGAAGTCAATATCCAAAATATGTAAGGAACTCATATTACTCAATAGCCTAAGACCATACAGCCCAATAAAAAATGAAGGACCTGAATAACATGTCATTTGTAAGAAGACATACAAATGACAAACAGATAGATGAAAAGGTGTTCAATATCACTAATCATCAGGTGAATGCATATCAAAACCACAGTGAGGTATTCAAATATCATAATTGTTTGCAATGGCGATTATCAAAAGTCAGAAGATAACAAGTGTTTGCAAGGAGGTGAAGAAAAGGTAACCCTTACACACTGTTGGTGGGAATGTCAATTGGTACACCATTATGGAAAGCAGTATGAGGTTCCTCAAAAAAATTAAAAAACAGAGCTATCATATGATCCAGGAAACCCACTTTTGAATGTTTATCTAAAGGAAATAAAATCACTATCCCAAAGACGTATCTGCACTATTGTGGTTATTGATAACAGCATTATTCACAATAACCAAAATGTGGAAACAACTTAAGGGATGATTGGATAAAGAAAATGTGGTGGTGTATGTGTACATATATAAAAACATATAATGGAATATGATTTGGCTTTTAAAAAAAAGGAAATCTTGTTTTTGACAACATGGATAAACCTGGAGTACATTATGCTAAATGTGTTAAGCCAGATATAGATCGACAAAAACTGATGATCTCACTTTCCATATGGAATCTAAAGAAGGCAAACTCATAGAAGCAGTAGAAGGGCAGTTACCAGGTTGTAGGTGGGGGAAATGGGCACATGTTGGTCAAAGGGTCTAAACTTTCAGTTATAGGATACATTAAGTTTGGAGATCTAATGTAAAGCATAGTGGCTATAATTAATGTTTTATGTACTTAAAACTTGCCAGGATAGATCTTAAGTATTCTTACCACACACACAAAAAATGATAACTGTGTTGGTAATAATATCACAGTGTATACATAGTTTGAAACATCACATTGTATTCATTAACGATATACAATTTTTATTTGTCAAGTATACCTCGGTAAAGCTGAAGTAAAACTAAGTGTGCTAGATTCTTTATTTCTTTGATACAGTGGCTCAGCCCCAGAATGTTCTTATGCACATAGGATTAGCTTTTTTCTTAAGTTGAGGAGGAGATATTCCTCCACTTTTGTTTCTTTTCTGGACCATATTATCTGTTTCATACTATCATATGAATACTTTCTATACATTGAGAGTATAGAATATGATAGTATACTTTCATACTATCATATTCATACTATACATTGAGAGTATAGAATATAGTATACTTTCATGCTCTCATACTCATACTATCATATGAATACTTTCATATTTTCTATACATTGAGAGGTAAAGGTTTTTTTAATTATTATTTTTTTAAGTTTAGAAATAAGGGTTACTAATTTAGGTCTTAAATACTAGCTAAACAGTATTCCGCTTACTAGTTTTACCTGTCTAAAAGTTGGGGATAAATTATTTCTTGTTTGAGTAATCATCCATTTCTTTGGTTTCAGGCAGTCTGAGTATGGCGGTGTAGTATTTGGTGGTTGGGCGAGAATGGCCCAGCCCATCGTGGCTTTCACTGTAGTTGAAGTTGCCAAACCCAACATAGGAGAAAACTGGCCAACCCGAGTTCGTGCAGATGTTACCATAAATCTGAATGTCAGAGATCACATCAAAGATGAATGGGAAGGTAATTTTATGTTTCAAAAAGTGACGTTACCTTTTGCCTTGTTACGAACTTTCACTTAGAGCAGTAACAAAGTACTTCTCCTAAATGTTATCCTTTTAAGCTTTTATTAAACTTTATCCTTGAAATTTGATTTAAAGAATAGCAATTTTCTTTCTAATTATTAGTTTAAAAAATACCAGGTATCCCTCCCAGTCTCCCCACCCCCTGTTACCTCTCCCCTAGGCCCCCATCTCCCAACAGACTCCAGTGTGTGACGTTCCCCTCCTGTGTCCATGTGTTCTCATTGTTCAACATCCACTTATAAATGAGAACATGTGGTGTTTGGTTTTCTGTTCTTTTATCAGTTTGCTGAGAATGATGGTTTCCAGATTCATCCATGCCCCTGCAAAGGACATGAACTCATCCTTTTTTATGGCTGCATAATATTCCATGGTGTATATGTGCCACATTTTCTTTATCCAGTCTGTCATTGTCAGGCATTTGGGTTGGTTCCAGGTCTTTGCTATTGTAAACAATGCCACGTGAACATACATGTGCATGTGTCTTTATAATAGAACAATTTACATTCCTTTGGATATATACCCAGTAATGGGATTGCTGGGTCAAATGGCACCTCTGTTTCTTGATCTTTGAGGAATTGCCACACCGTCTTCCTTAATGGTTGCACTAATTTACACTCCCACCAACAGTGTAAAAGTGTTCTTATTTCTCCACATCCTCTCCAGCCTCTGTTTTCTCCAGATTTTTTTTTTTTTTGGGACTGAGTTTCGCTCTTGTTACCCAGGCTGGAGTGCAATGGCGCGATCTCGGCTCACCGCAACCTCCGCCTCCTGGGTTCAGGCAATTCTCCTGCCTCAGCCTCCTGAGTAGCTGGGATTATAGGCACGCGCCACCATGCCCAGCTAATTTTTTGTATTTTTAGTAGAGACGAGGTTTCACCGTGTTGACCAGGATGGTCTCGATCTCTTGACCTCGTGATCCACCCGCCTCGGCCTCCCAAAGTGCTGGGATTACAGGCTTGAGCCACCACGCCCGGCCTAATTTTAAAGATTTTTAAATACCATAAAACATTCCGCTTGTCCCTTTGAAAAGGCGTGAACCTCAAGCCCTTATCTTCGGTATTCTCATTTAAAGTTAAGGAAACAGAATTAATGAAATGGAAATGCTGCAGAAAGCACAGCTAGGATTAGGTGGATACAAATGGTTATAAGGAGAGAGAGAGTTGAGCTCATTGTAATACAGGATTTTAAAAAATGTAGATCTAAGATGTCACAGAGTAAAGTGGTTTGCTTTAGGGAGGAGCAGGAAGTCATTCCTCAGTAATGCCAAAAAGTAACTCCTATCTTGGTAGAGGATCAGTGACTTCTCGGGACTCCTTCTTTGGCTTTTAGACTTAGAAGTTTTTTTTTTTTGTTGTTGTTGTTGTTTTGAGATGGAGTTTCACTCTGTCACCCAGGCTGGAGGGCAGTGGCGTGGTCTTGGCTCACTGCAACCTCCCCATCCTGGGTTCGAGCGATTCTCCTGCCTCAGCCTCCCAAGTAGCTGGGATTACAGATGCCCGCCACTATGCCCAGCTAATTTTTGTATATTTAGTAGAGACAGGATTTCACCATGTTGACCCAGCTGGTCTTGAACTCCTGACCTCAGGTGATCCACCCACCTCAGCCTCCCAAAGTGCCGAGATTACAGGCGTGAGCCACCGTGGCTGGCCTAGACTTAGAAGTTTTAATGAGTTATGCAGATCAGACATCATGCAAGTAGTACAACTCAGATAGTAGAACGATTCCTGGTTCATTCTCATTACTTCTCTTGCTGCTTTGCATAGAATTTATTGGGAAATAATTAAGTCAGTATTATGAATAGAGTTATTATTTCTACCTTTACCCACACCCTAACCAGTCCCCCAATTAAAACAAACCAAAATATTTTCAGTACTATTAGCCATACACCCACATTGCTGATTTGATTTCGTTGTGTTTGTTGTTAATAAGATTATGAGCAAGCAGACTATTTACATTTACATTTATGTCATATAATGGCTAACAAAAACATCAGAAATGGAGTGAAGATTAAGTGGTGTAGCATTACATGTTGTATGGTCTAATTTTATAATCCTTGTCTTCCAGTTTCTCTACTTTTAATGGAGCTGGGAAGCCATTTGAGTCCATTATTGGGTCTAGCGGCTGAGAAGCTATGGACTTTGGCACAAGCCTCCTGTTTCTTGACATTCATTTATAAAAATTCCCTTAATGGATTTGTTTTCAGAAATTATTTGCCAACTGAAACTGTGTATATTCAACCAGCTTTCTCAAGATCATATCTGTAAACATACTTTTTTGCCCTGATGAATTATTCTAGAGTTGACCTGTTTTAGTGAAATACAATTAGGCTGTCTTTGGAAGAACACTGATAGAAAGTTTAAACTGATATTAAAAACCTGCTAAATATGATATAGATGGATTGTATGCCAACCGTATTTTTGGTTACTTATTAAGAATGTTAAAAATAAAAATGATGACGAGCATCCAATTTTGGAGCTGTAGCATGACTTTTCAGTAATGTATTCCTGGCATGAATGTTTCTAATTTTAATATAAAGAGGTTTTCATTTCAATTAATGCTATGAAATATTGAGTATTAAAGATTATAGAAAAGCCCATAGTTGTGTTACAGTGCAGTAATAATCACTGGTCACTTGTGATATCTCTCTACCAAAGATAAGTGGTAGAGAGACAAATTAGAATTTGCCTACAAAAGACTGAAAACAATGAAATTCTAATAAATGAAAATGTCTTCATATCTTACCAGGTCTTCGTAAGCATGATGTATGCTTTTTAATTACTGTACGTCCCACAAAACCTTATGGCACTAAGTTTGACCGAAGGAGACCTTTTATTGAGCAGGTTGGCCTGGTTTATGTCAGAGGCTGTGAAATTCAGGGCATGCTGGATGATAAAGGACGTGTCATTGAAGATGGTATGGTGACATATTTTTGAAAGAGTATATGTATTGAACGTCTTTGCCTATTTTGCTTCTTAAGTAATATTTTTTAGTTGTATTATCTACTAAATTGACACAAAGGGTTTGCTTTTGTTGTCCTGACTTCCTTTATAATACTTATTATTATTAAATTATAACTGCATACATGGCTAGTGCTTATTTTACAATTTGGTTGTTAAACTTCTTTTGAAACTTGAATCACTTTCTATCATCTGTGGTTTAGAGATTATATCATTGCTAAACTTCTGATGACTAGGTTTTCTGTCTCTAGAATAAAAGAAAATAGGAGAAAGGAATTGGAATATGGATAGAATAAGCATAAGGCCACATAATGGAACGAAAGTTGGAGGTCTAAGACCCCCTACCCCCCGCCAAAAGAGGAGATATGTCAGAGAGGAAAGAAAGGCTCTGGTCTTGCAACCATTAGTATCCCACATTTCTGTGTATGTGAAATTTCCTTTCATGCTGGTTATACTAGGTATGGAATGTGGAAGGATGTGAAAAGTGATGAACCTCTGTCAAATTAAGGAATAGAAAACTATGCCTTAAATTCTAAAATACATATATTTAATTAGAAAATATTTATTGAGTACTTACTATATGTAAGGCAGTAGTAGGAGCTAAGAGTGTCAAAAGTAAAGATACGTTGTTTGACATCCAAGTGCTCCTATTTTAGTTGAATGCGTGTACAAATTATTGCAAATCATGGTGTTGCATTGTAGACATTACATGTCTGCTCTGGAAGGAAATAGTAAGAATTTAGAGAAAGAAGAAAATACTTTCAGCTTCTTAGAATTTGAAATGGGTAAGTGGAGGGCATTCTAATTTGGGAAGAATGATTGGAGTTAAGCCAGAACCATTTACTCATCATTTCTAAACAAGAAATACTGTTAACTTACTTAGATATTTGAAAAATATATATTTTATTTAACAAACTTTTTCAAATTCCTCAGGACCTGAACCCAGACCCAATCTTAGAGGAGAGTCAAGGACATTTAGAGTGTTTTTGGATCCAAACCAGTATCAACAAGATATGACCAATACTATACAAAATGGAGCAGAGGATGTGTATGAAACTTTTAATATAATAATGAGAAGAAAACCAAAGGAAAATAACTTTAAGGTAATTTGGGTGCTATGTAACTAAAAGTACTATGTGATAATTTAAGTGACTTCTATGACATAAATACAAAGATATTTGGTTAGAGGAAGATTTGTTGAGAAAATAATTACTGCTTATATTTTTATTATAAGCAATCCTCTTAAACTTTTAACATTGATGAAATATAAAAATTTAAAGAAATTCATTCGTTAAATCTATTTTGTCTTTTGAGGAGTTAAAAACTTAAAATATAGATGAATCCAGGTGTTATTCTAAAGGTCCACCTCCTTTTTTGCTCTTTGTATGTTAAGTACTCAGTTAGTGTCCTATTATGAGGTGAAGAAAACTTGCTTACTTGTTTACTGGGGCTTCTTTTTTTAAATCAAAAGTAGATATACTTTCAAGTCACTTTAAAAATAAAGATATGGAACCTTAAGGCTCTGAAGTACTATATGATATATTTTTACTTTACTAATTAGTGGGAAAGAGAGGTTTGGTGGCTCAAAATTTTACTTTTAGAATAATTGTGGGGAGAAGAATTTTAGTAAAGGTCAGTTTTTTAAAACCATTATTTGAAACTGTATTGTAAAATTTAAACATTGAACAGTTCTAGCATTTGATAATATGTAGCTTTTGCAGAAAGAGTGCCTTTCTTTTCTCTTTATCCCAAAGTGCAGCACTTCTTAGACATTCCTATCATTTTATTACTTTTATGTAACCCTTTTGTTGTGATTGAAAAAAGAAGACATTTCAAACCGCAGAGCTTGTTCTTCATCTCCCCCGGTTGTTGTACACAAATGGAGATATCCCTGATTTCTTTTTGTCTCATACTCTTCCTCTAATCCATCAGTAAGTCTAATTAGCTCATCACCTTTATCTCTTATATTCCTGCCTCCTTTCTTGTCTGTTCCTCCCCTTACACATATCCACATAATGGCCAAATAATCCTTTTAAAATGTGAAGTTTACCTTGATACCCCCATTTAACATTCTTTAATGGCTTCCTATCACATTAGAAAGTTCTTACCATAATCCAAAAGGCCCTATCATTATCTGTCTTTTGGCTACCTCTCCAACATCATTTTCTAACACTTTTTCCCTATTCACTCCATGTCAGTCATACTGCCCTTTTTGCCGTTTTTTTTAAATAATCCAAGACTTTTCACATGGTGTTCCTTCTACCTAGACAATTATCTCCAGGTATTTACATGGTTCATTTCCTCACCTGACATGGGCAACTCTGTTTCAATGTCACCTCCTAAGAGAAGCCTTCCCTGGCAACCTTACCTAAAGTAGCATCTCATGATTCTCTACTGTATTCCCCTTATTTTTCCCCAGAGCTGTTATCATAACTGATGATTATACATTTGTTACATATCTGAATTCTTCATTAGAAAGCAATGAAGAAGCAAGTTTATGAGGACAGGATCTTTGTTTTGTTTGCCAGTGTATCCTTAGCACATAGAACTGTACCTGTTATATAGTATGTTCTTAATAAACATTTATTGAGGGAATGAAGGTTAGAGAAATTGAAGAATTTCCAAGCTTTCTATAACTGTCACAGTTGGTCAGTTTTCAGTAAATAAATCTCAGTTATTTTACTGAAAAGTGAAAAAATCCTTTCTTATATTTGTTTGACTATTTTATTTAGTACCTACTGTAAATCTGATACTGTGCTGAGATGAATCTTATGAAGATGAATCAGACACAGCTGATACCTTTAGAGAAGTTAGAAATATAGACAAATACCTACCATGACAGTTAGAAGGTGCCCAACGCCATAAAAAGGCTCTAGATAAAAGCGTCCTGAAAGTTCAAAGGAGGCATTTAGTTTCTGATCCAAGAAAGAAGGAGAATGATTAATTTGCCTATGTTTAGGAAAAAACTGCTCTTTATGTGTTTTTGGTGTTTCATTATGTGCCTGTGTAGCATCCCTTATTTATTGCCTTTTCTCTTTTCCAGTGTATACAAGCTGTCCTCATCTGGATACTTTATTTTTTGTCTAGACAGTTATAGAAGCCTCTTCTTTGTCTACCCTTGAGTCTCCTCATAGCCAGTCACCTGTTTTCCATGTTTCCTCCTACTGTGTGACACTGATCACTTTACTCTCCTTCTCAGAACATTTCTTTGACTTTCTATTCTTGGTGAAGTAAATCAAAGCTCCATCACAAATCTTTTACTTGAGTTCAATAAAAATGCCATTTTCCTTCGTGAAACCTTTCCTAATGTTAAGTGTCCCCTGCATCCATCTCTCTCATTCACTGTGAACTGTATTCCCATTGTATTTTGTAACATTCTTTACTATTTACCACATTTGCTGCTCTGTTACAGTTAGGACATATTTTATCTTGCTACTAAAACTGTAATTTCCTTAGAAGGCAGATCCCTGATCTTATTCATCACTGTTATGTGAATATACTCATTTGGGTATTCCTTCATTCACCCATTCCATATTTAAACTGTTCCTAGATCCCTACTTTTGTGGGAATTATATTGGTAGGATTTAAACAAATGGTATTAGGGATAGTAGGGATAAAACAAATAACCGAATACCTGAACAAGAGAATTTCAGGTAGTGACAAGTGTAAAAGCAAGGCAATGTGATTAAGGGTGTGATGAACATATACTATCTTATCATTTTCAAAAGTTGTATAGCACTTATGATTTAAAAATTGTCGGTTTGGTTATTTTATTCCTTGAAATTAATAGCCTACCCTCTAGATTTCTTTATGTGAGATAGATCACTTTGTTGAAATGATTTTTGGAAAGTCTAAGATTTGCTTTGGCTTTTTGTAATTACGTTTGACAGCATATATGCTGTCTACTTCAATGACCTTTTATTATAGTCCTGATTCTTTCCTTCTGAAATATAATTGATATTTTCTTTATTTTTATCATTTTGTTCACTTTTTTATTTCTTCTCACAGTGCTAATTTTAACATTTTTAAATTGTGACGTTACATCACAGTTGAAGCATACTTTTTTTTTTTTTTTTTTTTTTTTTTGAGGCGGAGTTTCGCTCTTGTTACCCAGGCTGGAGTGCAATGGCGCGATCTCAGCTCACCACAACCTCCGCCTCATGGGTTCAGGCAATTCCACCTCAGCCTCCTGAGTAGCTGGGATTACAGGCACGCGCCACCATGCCCAGCTAATTTCTTGTATTTTTAGTAGAGATGGAGTTTCACCATGTTGACCAGGATGGTCTCGATCTCTTGACCCTGTGATCCACCTGCCTCGGCCTCCCAAAATGCTGGGATTACAGGCATGAGCCACCGCGCTCGGCCCTGAAGCGTACATTCGTGTACTTCTGGTTGTGCGTGATTTTAGCATTAAAGAACTATGGAATATAAAGAGGAAAAAACTCCAGGAGTTTCTGAGAGGATGTATTTTCTTTAAAGCTTTGTTCTAGATTGTTTTCTTACTGTTGTGTTGACCTGAGTCTGGTTTTCATCCTACTCAATAGGAGTCAAATGGTAAATTAATTTATGTCATTCTGTCTAAGTGAACTCTTAACGGATAAAGTGTTCTTGCTAAGTTTGGTCTTTTGTTTAACCCAGTGTATGGTATCAGCTGAAAATATAGCTGTTGATTCAGTCTAGCCAAGCACCTGTCAGCCAGCGGAAAATAGCTTCTTGCTCAGAAACACTTGGGAATTCTGGATTAGTACAGTCGGCTTTGCATTCCAGTAAGTGCAAATGTTTGAGATGTCTTATTGACACCATCTTTTTCTGTCCTTTTACTGACAGGCTGTGCTGGAAACTATTCGGAACCTGATGAATACTGATTGTGTGGTACCTGACTGGCTGCATGATATCATTTTAGGTTATGGGGACCCAAGTAGCGCACATTACTCAAAAATGCCCAATCAGATTGCCACCCTTGATTTCAATGATACATTTCTCTCCATTGAGCATTTAAAAGCCAGCTTCCCTGGTCATAATGTTAAAGTAACTGTGGAAGACCCTGCTCTACAAATACCCCCTTTCAGGTAAAGTCAGAACTGGGTATGTTCCTTTCCAGCATTCTGTAGTCAGTGTGCGTTATGGCATCGGGATTGTTAGCTAAAGTGAGTTTTGAGTACTATATTTGGATTTTGTTTTTTTGTTTGTTTTTCTCCTTCAATGAACTTTCAAGTTGTACCATGGATTTTGTTTTAGCAATTCCTACCTTCACCAAATAATCGCAGGGATAACTTTATTATGCTTGAGTCTAAGTGCAGAAGCTGTTTTAAGACCACAGTAAAAGTAGCCTAATGCCTAATAAGGGATCAATAAATGCTTATTGTCTGAAGAGAAATGTATAAATATATTTATAGCATTTGACTAAATGTCATTGCATTTATGCATAGTCTACTATGTCTCCCAACTAATACAGCCATGTGATGTTGAATTTTGTTTTTAGGGAAAAAAAAATCTTTTTTTCTTTTAACTTTGCTTGCTTTCACAAATTTGGAATGTTCAAATTTGTGTATAGCTAGGCACAATGGCTCATGCATGTAATCCCAGTGACTCAGGAGGCTAAGGCAGGACTGCTTGAGGCCAGGAATTCGAAACCAGCCTGGGCATCATAGCAAGGTGCCATCTCTAAAAAAATTCAAAAAGTAGCTGGGCGTGATGCCACACACCTGTAATTTCAGCAACTTAGGAGGCTGAGGCAGGAGGATTGCTTGAATCCAGGAGTTTAAGGCTGCAGTAAGCTATGATTGTGCCACTGCACTCCAGCCTGGGTGACAGAGGAAGACCTCTTCTCTAAATAAATAAAATAAATACTTAGAATATAGTCATATTTAATGTTAAATTAGTTCCGGTCCTAAAAATTAAGTGAACATAAAACAAAGTACCTGAAATAATTGGTTATTATTCCCTGAATTCCTTCATATGGATTAGTGTTAAGGCACTGAGTATACCTATGGGTGGTAGCCTACAGATTACTTTCTTAGCTCGAAATTAGAAAACACATAGCTTTCAATTGATTGCTCTGTGTGTGTGTGTGTGTGTGTGTGTGTGTGTGTGTGTGTAATAATTCTAGGCCAGGTGTGGTGCCTTATGCTTGTAATCCCAATACTTTGGGAGGCAAAGTTGGGAGGATTGCTTTATGCCAGGAATTGTAGACCAGCCTGGGCAACTAAGACTTCATGTCTATTAAAAAAAAAATTAGCAAGATTTGGTGTGTGCCTACAGGCCCAGCTACTCAGGAAGCTGAGGTGGGAGGATCACTTGAGCTCAGGAGAGTGAGGCTGCAGTGAGCTATGATCACACCACTGCACTCTAGCCTGGGGGACAGTGAGACTCTATCTCAAAATAATAACTAATTCTACATGTTAAATAAACATATCCTTTATACACCCAAACCTAGTCTTCCTCCATACTTTCCTAATCCTATTTATGGCAAAGACATTTTTCTACTCCTCTGTCTTGAAATCTCAGCATTTTTTTTTTTTTTTTTTGAATCTTTTTACTCTCGTAAAACTCCTGCTATATCTCAGAGATTTTGCCTTGAGGATAGTTTTTTCATGTGCCACTTCCTTTTTAGACCTTCAGCAGTCTTTGTAGTAGCAAATTATTTCCTCCCTGTCTTTCCTCACTTGAATCCATAGCTATTCACTGCCTAGCTAAAAAGCTGATTGCTCCTATTTCTTACCAAAATAAGTGCTGACCTCTTGGCCTCTTTGGCTCTTAGTATTTTTTGGTGTTATCTATTTTTTTAGAATGTGAAAGAAGACTGGAAAAAGTACACATAGAAAATTAATTTTGTAGTTCAATCTTAGGGGGTTCATTGACTTCCCTGAGGTATCTGTGGGGAGTTACCTCCTAACTCCAGGTTATAACCCTCTGCCTTAAATGCTTCATGTTCTGGAAATGTCATAACAAGGCTCCTGTCATAACAAGGCTCCTGTGTCTTCAACCTATTTTTCTCTACCCTATTCTCAGGCAAAATAGGCTGCTTGTAGTTGGCCTCTGCTGTTGCCTCTTTCCAGGAATGTCTTTTCTTCCCATCTTTGAATGTCTAAATTCTTTGAGAGTCATCTTAGATACCACCTGTCCCATGAAATTGTTTCTGATTAAATGAAGGACAATGAATAAAACACTTTCCAGTGCACCTGACATAGTATTTAATGTTTCTTTAAATTCTCCCTTAATTCTCTGTTAACTGAGTGACTTTTTTAAATGTGAAAACTCTTAACACCCATGTTAGTGCTTGTAACTCCACGGTTTTCAGAGTTTACATAAAGATAGTGAGTTCCCTTAAGCCAGAAATGTTTCTTATTCCTCTGATTATCCTGCGTACACTGTCATGCACCAGATAGGCACTCAGTAAATCCTTGTTAATTGTGAAAATGAACAAAAGTTTTGGTATTGTAGGATAACTTTTCCAGTTAGAAGTGGAAAAGGGAAGAAAAGGAAAGATGCGGATGTGGAAGATGAAGACACTGAGGAGGCAAAAACCTTAATTGTTGAGCCCCATGTTATTCCTAATAGGGGTCCTTATCCTTACAATCAACCCAAACGGTAATTTTACTACCTATTCTAATTGTAATAATGAATAATAGTTTGCTATTTCAACTGAATTTGGAATGTTTTTAAATTTTCTATTTCTTTTAAAACTCTGTAAAACTTCTGTTTTGGAACCCTCTCTCTTTCTGTTCTGTCACTCAGCTCAATAACTGAATTTTAGGCCATCCTGTAGTCATAATATTTCAAAAAGAAACATTTTCAGGCACTATGAGAAGTAAGTTTTACGGGGCTACCTTAATTTGAGCAAAGCATTCTTACTTCTTGACTCTATGTTACATATAGCAGTAGTCCTAATGCATGTGTGCCATAACTAGTAAATTGGCATTATATTTAGTATTAGAATGGGAACTAGAACTTTGGCACTCCATGTGAGGTCTGGGATGGGTTAAATATTGAAAAATAACTATAATTCCATTTTAATTTTCTGTGTTGGGGGTAGAGGTGAAGGGAGTCATTCAGAAGAGATTGAAGAGAACTGTAGTAAATACAGAGCAGATATTTAGATCACTGGTAATTGTTGTCTAAATTTGTATTACACTATGTGTCATTTATCCATACCAACTTTTTATTTACTCTTTTTGCAGTAATACGATTCAGTTCACTCATACACAGATAGAAGCCATCCGTGCTGGAATGCAGCCTGGACTGACTATGGTAAGAGAATTGTTAAACCTGTTTTTTGTCCACCCACCCTACCCCTGACACAGTTTTGCTCTTGTTGCCCAGGCTGGAGTGTAGTGGTGTGATCTCAATTCACTGCAACCTCCACCTCCCAGGTTCAAGTGATTCTCTTGCCTCAACTTCCCGAGAAGCTGAGATCACAGGCCCCCACCCCTTGAGCCGGCTAATTTTTTGTATTTTTAGTAGAGACAGGGTTTCACAATGTTGTCCAGTCTGGTCTTGATCTCCTAGCCTGAGGTGATCCACCTGCCTCAGCCTCCCAAAGTGCTGGGATTACAGGTGTGAGCCACCACACCCAGCCACACCTGTTTTTGACATAGATTTAGAAGTAACAGAATTTAGAATGTGTTCTATTTGAAGGACAGCAACCCAGCTGAATTTAAGTATTTATAAGTAAGTGTAGGTTCTTACGTATTTAGAGATCTTGCTGCTCATTTCAGTGTTATATTATAAAGTTTTATTAGAATATGACTGTGCCCATTTTTTCTTTTTTTATTAAAAAAAGTTTTATTTATTTTTTTTTTATTTTATTTGAGATGGAGTTTCGCTCTTGTTGCCCAGGCTGGAGTGCAATGGCGCAATCTCGGCTCACTGCAGCCTCTGCCTTCTGGGTTTGAGTGATTCTCCTGCCTCAGCCTCCCAAATAGCTGGGATTACAGGCATGTGCCACCATGCCCAGCTAATTTCGTGTTTTTAGTAGAGATGGGATTTCTCCTTGTTTGTCAGGTTGCTCTCGAATGCCTGACCTCAGTTGATCTGCCCACCTCAGCCTCCCAAAGTACTGGGATTACAGGTGTGAGCCACCGTGCCTGGCTTAAAGTTTTGTTTCATTTTTAATTGACATGATTGTACATATTTATGGAGTATGATGTGATGTTTTGATGACTGTATACATTGTGTAATGATCAAATCAGTGTAATTAGCACATCTATCATCCACTTGTTTCTGTATTGCCTATGGCCACTTTTGTGCTACAATAGCAGAGGTAATTACTTGCAACAGGGATTTCTTAGCCTGCAAAGCCGAAAATGCTTCCTCTTTGGCTCTTTACAGAAAATGTCTGCTGACAACTGATTTAGAAGTGTGTTTAATTTCTAAATATTTGGAGTTTTCCTTGTTATCTTCCAATTATTGATTTCTGGTCAAAGTCCATTATGGTCAGAGAACATATTGTATGATTTTAATTTTTTGGTTTTTGCTTTTTAAATTTCTTAAAATTTGTTTTATGGCCCAGCATATACTATTCTGTTGTTTTATGGCCCAGCGTGTAGTATTCTGTTGTTTGGGAATGGACTGTCCTATAAATGTCAATTCGATTTATTTCATTGATGTTATTTAATTTTTCTCTATTATTGCTGATTTTCTGTCTGTTTTGTTGATTACTGAAAGCAGACTGTTGAAGTCTCCCATTATAATTATGAATTCTTCTGTTTCTCCTTTAGTTCTGTCAGTTTTTGCTTAATGTATTTTGAAGCTTCATGGATGAGTGCTTTATACCCTTAGGGTTGTTATGTTGTCTTGGTAAATTGGCCCCATTTAGTATTATATAATGTCTGTCCTCATTGCTGGAAGTTTTTTTTGCTCTGAAGTTACTTTATCCATTCTGAGAGTCTCTGTCTTTCAGCTTGTGTGTTTAGACTATTCACATTTAATGCAAATTAATTGACATGTTTGGATTTAGTCCTATCAATTTTTATTGACTTTCTATTTGTTCCCTTTATTTTGTATTCTTCCATTTCCCCTTTGCTGGCTTCTGTTGTGTTATTTGAATAGCTTTTATGTTTTTATTTATTCTATTTTTTTTTTTTTTTTTGAGACAGTCTCACTTCTCAGGCTGAGGTGTAGTGGTGTCATCTTAGCTCACTGCAACCTCTGCTTTCCCAGGTTCAAGTGATTCTTGTGCCTCAGCCACCCAAGTAGTCGGGATTACAGGTGTGCTGATTTTTTTGTATTTTGAGTAGAGAATGGTGTTTCACCATATTGGCCAGGCTGGTCTTGAACTCCTGGTCTCAAGTGATTTGCTGCCTTAGCCTCCTAAAGTGCTGAGAATACAGGTATGAGCCAATGTGCCTGGCCTATCATACTTTTATTATATTTTATTATATTCTGGGTGTAGTGTTTTCTTAGTGGCTATTCTAGGGATTTGCAATATACTTTTCGTAGCCTACTTAACAATCAGTATTTTGTCACCTCAGGTTTAATGACAAATAGTTACTCCCATACAGATTCCTTTGCCTTCCTTCCTCTTTTATATTGTAGTTGCTTTACGTGTTACATCTAAATACATTAAGATACTATCAGGTAGTATTAGAATTTTTGCTTTCTATTGTATATTTATTTTAAAGAACTCTAGAGGAAAAAATAGCCTTTTATTGCATTTGCCATTTATTCCTTATTCTAAATATTCGAAGTGTCTTCTGGTGGCATTTTCTTTCTGTCTGAAGAACTTTTTTTTTTTTAAAACCATTTTTTTATAACATGTCTACTAGATATAAGTTAGTTTTATTTTTCTTCATGGAAGAATGCCTCTGATACATCTTCTCAAAAGATACTTTACCTGGACATAGAATTGTGGGTTGCTAGTTCTTCCTTTTAGCACTTAAAATGTTGCCACACTTCCTTCTGACTTCCATGTTTTCTGATAACAAATCCAAAGTCATTATAAACATTTTTTTGTTATATGTAGTATATCATTTTTCTCTGGTTGCTATGAGGATTTTTTTCTTTGCTTTTTGTTTTTAACCATTCAGTTGTGGTGTATCTGGGCTTGGATTTCTTTAGGGTTATTTTCTTGGGGTTCACTGAGCTGCTTGAATCTGTAGATTTATATATTTTGCCATATTTAGGAAATTTTCAGCCATAATTTTTCGAAAATTTTTTCTATGCCATACTCTTTTTCCCCTTCTTCTTAGAATTTATTGACGTGAGTGTTAAATGTTTTAATGCTGTTCTGTAGATTCACGAGTCTCTAATTTTTTTTCAGTCTTTTTCTGTTATTCAGGTTGTGTAGCTTACTGATCTATCTCCAAGTTCACCAACTCTTGCTCTGTCCTGTTCATTCTGTTATTGGGCCCCTCTATGGAAGTTGTTAATTTTATCTTTCAGTTCTGTACTTCACAGTTTCTAACAGTATGTGATAATTCAGTAGTTTGCTATGTATTCATTTTCTTTTTAGGTTGTGGGCCCACCTGGTACAGGAAAAACAGATGTGGCCGTTCAGATCATATCCAACATCTACCACAATTTCCCAGAACAGAGGACTCTAATTGTTACTCATTCCAATCAGGTAAATGACTCTGCGTGTGTGTGTGTGTGTGTGTGTGTGTGTGTGTGTGTGTGCGCGCGCATGCCTGTGTGTATGTGCACATGTGCAGTTGTGTAGCTTAGGGGTTGAGGGGGAGGTAAAGAAGGAGCAGGGGATTAATGAAATGAATGTATTGATAGATGATTTCTCCTTGTATTGAAGTCTGATCATAGGTACCACAGAATACCAGGAAAGGCTAATTGATACAGATGGTCCCTGACTTTCGATTTGACTTATTCTCACCTATAATGTTTGACTTTATGATGTGTGAAAGCAATATGAATTCAGCAGAAATTGTACTTCAAGTACCCATACAGCTATTCTGTTTTTCACTCTTATTTTGGTATTCAATACAAAACATTTCACTATAAAACAGGCATATTGTGTTAGATGATTTTGCCCAGGTATAGGCTAATATATGTGTTCTGATCATGTTTTACGTAGGCTAGGTTAAGCTGTGGTGTTCAGTAGGTTAGGTGTGTTAAATGTATTTTCAACTTAGGATATTTTCAATTTATGATAGGTTTATTGGAATGTAACCCCGTTGTAAGTTGAGGAGTATCTCAATAGTATTTGCTGTTGAGCTATCTTGGATTATCACTGCTTATAATGAGACTACATTGAGGGATACATAAAACCAATCTTTTATTTCTACTGGAGAGGTTAATAATGTGAAAAAGCTAAGCATATTTGAAAGTATTGTCAGATATTTGATTAAATTAAATCGCCATTTTTTTTTCCCCCCCTTCTATTCTAAACTAGAACTTTTACTTTGAGATTATAAGCATTAACCCTTACTAGGAGCATTTTTCTTCATTTAATAGAATGTATATTACTAAAAGACTGAGGTCTAAAGTGTGCTGATACTGGATTAAATTTCAAATCCATGTGAAATGTATACCTAATATTACATGAGCGGACTGTATGCTATGTTAGTCATTCTGAAGCTGTAAGAAATGAGGGAAGAACAAGTAACATTTATTAGATCTGGTATAAGATGAGACAGGCAACTCTGAGAACACCCTGAAGCACATTATGAAATTCGCGTGGTAGTCGAAACCTCTAAAAGTTTTTTCTCAGAGTGGTGACTTCAGTTGACCAGTCTTAAAAAGAGTTGGTATACAAAGAAGCATTGGGTTTTTGGAAGCTCAAATATCAGTTATTCGAGTGATCATTAACTTTTAATTTGTAAGGTTTTAAAAATAATACTTTTTAGTTCATTTGCCTGTCATATTTTTATATATTTTGAAGTTTATAAGTAATAAACTTATCCAGTTTACTGGATTTATGTAATATGTATAATTATATAATAATATATTGTATGTGATATATCCAATATACTGAATTTGTGGGAGTTGAAAGGGGATCAATTTAGACTTCGTCTTGATAAAAGAAACAAATTATGAAAAGAATTTTTTCTTTTTTTTTTTTTAACTTTTTTTTTTTTTTTTTTTTCTTTTGTTTGCTACCTGGGAGAAAACTCTTTTTTTTTTTTTGAGATGGAGTTTCGCTCTTGTTACCCGGGCTGGAGTGCAATGGCGCGATCTCGGCTCACCGCAACCTCCGCCTCCTGGGTTCAGGCAATTCTCCTGCCTCAGCCTTCTGAGTAGCTGGGATTACAGGCACGCGCCACCATGCCCAGCTGATTTTTTGTATTTTTAGTAGAGACGGGGTTTCACCATGTTGACCAGCATGGTCTCGATCTCTTGACCTCGTGATCCACCCGCCTCGGCCTCCCACAGTGCTGGGATTACAGGCGTGAGCCACCGCGCCCGGCCAGAATTTTTTCTTTTATTTAGTAAAATTTATTCTGTACTATGTCTATTGTAAATTCTTAGAATGAACAGAATAATTCATGTATTATTTTAACATATTTTTACTATTTTGTCATACCTTGATATGACTTTCTACAGTTATCCTCTACTTTATGATTGATTTGTATAGCACAATCATTGAAAAGATTAATTTGCAAAAGTAGACACATAATTCAAGGCTCGCTAAACACCTGCCTTGTTGTTTTGAAATTCAAATAATTTCCCTTGATGCCCATCAAATTGATTGTTTTCCTTCAGTTAACTGTTTTGTTTGCCAGATCTTCATTTGCATGTATAATTCAAGTAGTTCTCCAAAATCACTTTAATTAACAATGGAATAATGTAATTTTTTCTGAGATTATAGTGTGCAAGTTTGTGGGGTTTTTGTTTTTTGTTTTTGCTTTTACTCTAAATGTATGTGCTTCTTAAGTTTAAATAGTGAAGATTTGGATAGTGAGTAACATCATATAATCTGCTTTGTTGGGTCCTGAGTTTTGGATGATGAGTATCAAGAGTGTGGATAGTGGGGGATTTTTCTGAAAATTTATGTTAAATGTCTTGAGTTTCAGAGCTCACATTGCTAGAATTTTGATGGTAAAGGATATCTGTACCTACGTTACATAGCCTAGGTGTTTATAAGACTGGATGTTGACTTCGCAGGCAGGGCTGGATTAGTGATAAATGAGGAGAGACGTTTGAATGGGGGCTCATTTTAAAATAATAACTTTATTAGTGAGTCTCTCCATACTATGAAACTTTTGCCTTTCTGTAAAACCTTAAAACTGCAGAGGTTCAGATAATGAATACCAGGGTTCAAGGGAACTTTAATTATGAACATTTCATAGATAGAAAATAGTGACTTTTAAATGACCTTCATCAGAATAGTTTGCAATAAATGAGTGCTCTTTTCTTTATTATATAGAGAACATTAGACTTCCATACTAAGATTTGAAAGATGCAATTTATGTTTCCACCCTCTGATCTTCTTAATGTATTCTACCTACACACTCACTGCCTTCTTGTTGTCTTTCTCCAACTGCAAAAGCTTTTCCAGTTCTCTGCAACCAAGGAAATGTTGTCGAATGAAATGAAACTCAGTATGGTTGTTTATTTTAGGAATTGTTACAACTTGGAAGAAATAGCATCTGAGCCAGTGCCTTTCTCCTTTCATAAATTAAAAGCTAACTTTTAATGGGTGGGTAGTTTTATGGTTTCTAGTTATTCATACAGCCAAACATACAGAGAAGGCAATATCGGAAGTCGACAAATACTATTTGATTGTATTATAAGTGGCCTAGTTAAGGCCGATTTCCTTCCGTTTCAACTTTGATTCTTTTTAAATGTTAGTTTTTGCTGTGTTTAAAGGTGCCTGCTGATTCTTTAAAACACACCATCACCCTTCTTGCTTTATTCTCTAGGCCCTAAACCAGTTGTTTGAGAAAATCATGGCATTAGACATTGATGAGCGCCACCTACTGCGTCTTGGTCATGGAGAAGAAGAGCTGGAGACGGAGAAAGATTTCAGCAGGTGAGCAAATGGGAGTGAGTAACAGCGTAAAAAAAGATTTTTTATTTCCTCTTCATTTCTTTTACTAAAGAAATACCAGAAGAAAGGAGGAATGAATACTCAAACTTAATTCTGAAAGTTTTTAATATAACTTACTAAGACTGTATGTTGACCTAGAAATCTGGTCATGATGTCCCTCAGTTCCTGTTGTGTATAGTTATGCCATTTTGCCTTCAAATATACAATTATTTTAATAAAAAGAATGATCTTGTTAATCTTTTTAAAATTGCAGATTGCCTTTTGCTATTTCTTGAGGTAATTTTTAATGTTGCCAATTCAAAACTGTACAACTTTAAATGATTCCTTTTCACATCTTATTCAGACATTTAATTTGCATTTATTTTAGGCATCAGTCAAGAGGTTAATTTATTTATTGAAATACAAATTATGGGAGGCTGAGGCAGGAGAATCACTTGAACCTGGCAGGCAGAGGTTGCAGTGAGCTGAGATCACACCACTACACTCCAGCCTGGTGACAGAGCAACACTCCTTCTCAAAAATTAAAAAAAAGAAAAGAAAAGAAACATAAATTAATGATTAATGATAATATAAGCTTTGGGGTTATAACTTCAGATACTTATTGCTAGTTTGGCTGGACTTTATGTTTGATATTACATACTGTAAATTGACTAAAACTTTGTAAGTCGGATTTCTTCTGCCATTAGTATTTTAATTTTTTTCCTTAAAAGTTGCTTTATAATGTTTTATTTATATTTAAATCCATTTTCAAAGTCCAGTTTTAGATAATAAGCACAATCAACAGCTGGCATATTTAATGCAGCCTTTGTCTGTTAGACATGATCTTTGACTAATTGACTAAAGACATTAAAAGAGTTTTAAATTATTACGTCCATCTATTTTGAGTTCTCGTATTACACAGCTTATAATATAATTATGTAATATGATTACGTGCATCTATTTCGAGTTCTTGTATTACTCAGTGACTTTTTAGCTTCTGCAAAGTCACTATGTTGCAAAGGGCAAAGAACAACATGCTGTAAGTTATTTAGGGTTCTATATTCTTTTTTTTTTTTAATCTTTAAATACTTTGAAGGAGTACTGTTTATATACAAATCACTGATATGCAGATTACATGTATTAATAAAACTCATCCTTCACCCCTAGTTCTTTTTTTTTTTTTTGAGATGGAGTTTCGCTCTTGTTGCCCAGGTTTGAGTGCAATGGCGCCATCTCTGCTCACTGCAACCTCTACCTCCCGGGTTCAAGCAATTCTCCTGCCTCAGCCTTCCAACTGGCTGGGATTACAGGCACATGCCACCATGCCCAGCTAATTTTTGTATTTTTAATAGAGGCCAGGATGGTCGCAATCTTTTGACCTCATAATCCGCCCACCTTAGCCTTCCAAAGTACTGAGATTACAGGCATGAGCCACCGCGCCCAGCAGGGCTCTGTATTCTTTTTTTTTTTTTTTGAGACTCAGTTTCACTCTTGTTACCCAGGCTGGAGTGCAATGGCGCGATCTCGGCTCACCGCAACCTCTGCCTCCCGGGTTCAGGCAATTCTGCTGCCTCAACCTCCTGAGTAGCTGGGATTACAGGCACGCGCCACCATGCCCAGCTAATGTTTTGTATTTTTAGTAGAGACGGGGTTTCACCATGCTGACCAGGATGGTCTCGATCTCTTGACCTCGTGATCCACCTGCCTCGTCCTCCCAAAGTGCTGGGATTACAGGCTTGAGCCACCGCCCCCGGCAGGGCTCTGTATTCTTAATTTCGGATCAGCCAGTGATACTTTTGAATTCATCCCATAAGTACTTCATTTTAAAGCCAACTCACAAATGTAGGTTAGATTCTAAAATCTAATAACTCAGAATTCAATGAACATGAAGGTGATAATAGAATGTCTGACTATAATTACAATTATATTGAAGTAGAATTTGTAGTTTTTAAAGAATATTAGAACAGAGGTAGAATTTTTATGATGGTTTCAGGTACCACCAAATTTCTTAGAAAAAAATGTACTTTTGTCTTCTGACACGTAAACTAGATCTTATTAGTTTGCATATTTGATTGGACATATTCTTTCTCTCTTAAAATTAAAAAGAAAAATCATGACTATTGTTTCACAATAAAAGTAATATCACTTTCCCTGAAGAAAAAGTTATAAAATCTGGTGAAGTTGTAGAAAAGAAATGGTTATCCATAATTACACTATCCTAAAACAACTTTTGCTCGTCTTTTTCTGTAATGCTGTTATTTGTAATTTTTAAGTTGCTTTTTAAAAATAATTAATAGTCTTTATCTTTTAAGTGTAATAATGTACTAATTGAGCAGATAGTATATAGAGTTTAATTGTACTGTATATTCCTTTTTTGTTTTGTTTTGTTTTGAGATGGAGTCTCACTCTGTCACCCAGGCTGGAGCGCAGTGGTGTGATCTCGGCTCACTGCAACCTCTGCCTCCTGGGTTCAAGTGATTCTCGTGCCTCAGCCTCCCAAGTAGCTGGGATTACAGACACCTGCCACCACACCTGCCTAATTTTTGTATTTTTAGTAGAGATGGGGTTTTGCCATGTTGGCCAGGCTGGTCTCAAACTCTGGACCTCAAGTGATCTGCCTGCCTCAGCCTCCCAAACTGGGATTACAGGTGTTAGCCATCATGCCTGGCAGGTATATTGCTTTTTAAGTTTAACATTATGCCACAAGAATTTTGGCATTTTATTAACAGAGTCTTTATAAGCATTTCTAATTTTTTTCTCATTAACTAAGTATTCATTATAGATAAAAATTTAAACTATAAATAAACAAGCCGAAAAAAAGGTATCTGCCATAATGTTTATATCCTTCCAAGTTGAAAAATTCTTCAAAACATACATCATGTTTTATATCTCTTTTTTATTCTTAGTCATCCCTTAATGCCTCAAATATGAATCTCTGAACTACAGAACAGCTAGAAACGTGACTTCTTCTTTTGTTGAGTCTTTAAACATGTGAACAACAGTGACTGATTAAATTATTTTAGTCTTATTTTAAGCATCAAAGGATTGTAGGAGACCCTTTGTTGTTGTGGAAAGAACGTGATTAAATTATTTTAGTCTTATTTTAAGCATCAAAGGGTTGCAGGAGACCCTTTGTTGTTGTGGAAAGAACGTTCATAGAAATTGGGATCTAATTATGGTTCTACTACTTTCTTCCTTAACTGTGTGTTTTTGGACAAGGTACTCTCCAAACTTCAGTTTTCTTACTCATTCAGCAAACATTATAAACCTGCTAGGTTAGGGTGCCAAGCTATGTATTGAGATTTGTAGATGACTGAGATAATGAAATATATTTAAAAATTACTTTTCAAAGCCTTTAGATCGAATCTACTTTTATAATAGTGTAAAACACTTTGTTTGAAGCAGCCAGTCTGTGAACTTACATGTTCTTGGTCTGTGATGAAATCAACTAGCACCAGAATGCACTGTCCTGTTTTCTTCTTTGTGAAAGTGTGTTATTATGAGAAAAAAGATTGAGATCTGAATAAATGATGTATTTAGTGATGTAGTTGGTTTTCCTTCCTCATAAACCAGTAACACCCTTGTGGATCAGTGCTGGTCCATAGAGTATTCCCTAAGTAGCTTTTGTGTAAAGTAACCCAGGAACTATCACCAATAGTTAAATAGAAGCCATATCTTCTAGTATTTTTCCCCTTTCTTTGGCAATTGCTTTATAATTTTCTTGAATTTTGCTGATTGTTTCCTTCAAAGTTTCTTTATTACAGTTTTGCCATTTTGCCTGATTGAAATGTCTAGGTATGGAAGAGTTAATTATGTCCTGGCTCGAAGAATAGAACTTTTAGAAGAAGTCAAACGATTGCAAAAGAGTCTAGGGGTTCCAGGAGATGCCTCATATACCTGTGAAACTGCAGGCTATTTCTTCTTATACCAGGTAAGATATTAAGCGTTTTTGAATCATACTTCATCATAATATGAACCCCAGTTGGAAGCTTAATGAGTTCTTATGATCCTTCTTGCAAGCTTATTTTTTGAGTAGATTAAAATATATGGTATTACAAAGCTATATTTATGAATGTTAAGTATATTTTGTGTTATCTTCAATTTTCTTTGCTAAATAGCTTTGCCTGATGACTCATTCTGTGCAAGGCCAATCTTGCACTTTTTACATTTTTTTTCTTTCTTTCTATTGACAAAGTTCTAGTCACTCTTTTTTCTTTTTTTACTATAGAAATATAACTAAGTAAATATTCTAGCTACCCAGTGGCAACAAAGTACAGTTAACTTATATTGTATACATTAATCAACTAATGAAGGAAAACATTCTTAAATTTCCAGAAGTAAATTATGTTAGAATTAAATTAAATTATAACTAATTGTACAGTGAGTCTTAAAGTCTTTTGACTTCAATATAAAGGTGTACTTTTGCTTTTGTTCCTGTTAATTTTGGGAATATGAAAACCCATGAGAAATAGCCAAATAAAGTAAGTAAAACTAAACTTTAATAATCAGTTGGATTACTAATAATTTTAAATGGACTAGGATATAATCAGATAATGAAGATTTTTGTATAACTTTATTTGTTCTTTGTTCTAATGCCAATTATATATTTTAGATATAAATTATAATATTGTAAGCTCATTGTGAGCGGATATCACAGACCAGTTAAGTCCATTCAAAATGAGCAGCTTTCATGGTTTCTTGTGAAGCAGAGAAAATACACAATATAGTCTACATTAGATTCAAGACTGTTTAGGACTTGAATAAAGGAGTAAAGATCATGCTTAAATACTTTCTTGACATGGAAAATTACTTGGCTTTCAGTGAAAACAATGTTTAAAATGGGGAAACATAATCTATAAATTTGGAGGTTTATGTAATAAATTTGGAAAAAATGAACATGAGGCTTCACAGTGTAAATTGACCTTTTTCAACATTTAAGAATCATATTGGGAAAGTTTTTCACAAGTTAAATTCCCTAGCCCTTGTTCCTGTAGCTTCTCATTCAATAGAGGTGGAATTCAGGAATCCACATTTTTTATTTAGCTCCGCAAATATTTTGCCTAAGGACTACACTTTTGAGAAACACTGAGATTATAACAGAAAAAGACCTGAAAGAACTACAGAAATTGAAGTTACATAGTAGTAACTGCCTGGTAGAGGCGTAGCTAACATTATACAAAGCAATTGAACTATAATCACAAAAGTCATAACATGAGCTTTCAAATATATACTCGCCTTCAGCAGACATTCTTTATAAACGTTCTAAAAATCTGGGAGAAGGTTTGACAAGTGCCAAATTGATTAAAAAGGTGCTAAAGCTGAATTTACCATATATGGAGAGAAACAGAGATGAAAAAATGGGAAATGTCTTTTTCCAGAGAACTTTCTTTCCTTTACATTCTTTTTAAGCATTAGTAATAAACTATCTTGAGATATGTGGAGAATCTGAAATGTCCGAGATAGAGTTCCATAAGATGACATTAAGGTTCTTTCTAGTTTGTAGAAATTTGTTATTAAAGAGCCTTTTTTCTCCAAAGACAAGCTTACCTTTTATAACAGAAGAGCAATCTGTTAGTTACAGGAAATGAGGAATAGTTATATTGGATCAAAGATTAAATTTCTTTTTTTTTCCATTTCATCTAACAGTTCTTGTTTTTATAAATTTTAATCCTTTAAAACATCATAATTAGGTGGTAGTTAACCTCAAGTTCTTATTTCTACAGGTAATGTCTCGTTGGGAAGAGTATATCAGCAAAGTGAAAAATAAAGGTAGTGCCTTGCCAGATGTTACGGAAGTCTCCACTTTCTTCCCTTTCCATGAATACTTTGCAAATGCTCCTCAACCCATTTTTAAAGGAAGATCTTACGAAGAAGACATGGAAATTGCTGAAGGATGTTTTAGGCATATTAAGAAAATCTTTACTCAGCTTGAGGTAAGGTATTCTCAAGTTCTTTGAACTTGACTTTAATGGTTTTTAATTTAGTGTTTTTTTTTTTTTAAATGAAGTAAATGTGAAATATTCAAATCTTTTTTTTTTTTAGAGACCGAGTCTCACCCTGTTGCCCAGACTGGAGTGCAGTGGCACGATCTTAGCTCACTGCAACCTCTGCCTTCCAGGTTCAGGCAGTTATCCTGCCTTAGCCTCCTGAGCAGCTGGGATTACAGGCGCACACCACCACACCCAGCTAATTTTTGTATTTTTAGTAGAGACAGGGTTTCACCATGTTGGCCAGGCTGGTCTCAAACTCCTGATCTCAAATGGTCTGCCCACCTAAGCCTCCCAATGTGCTGGGATTACAAGTGTGAGCCACCGCACCTGGCTGGAAGTATTCAAATCTTATAAATTAGATTGTTAAATTTAAGTAAGATATAAATTGGATCCTTATTCTGGCTTGCCTGATGTAAAGGTCTTAGTATTTTTAAGGAAGGAATGCTTCCATCAGAAATTCAATAATGGTACTTTGAACTGGAATTTGAGACTGCCGTGTGGCCATTCTAAGTCCTTTATGCCTCTTAATCAGTAAAATATTGGGGTTGCTGTGGTAGCCAGGATGACTGATTCTGATTATTAAAGTGAAATAAGAGTCATAGCTACACAGTGGGAGTAGAGACTATGTCTGGAACCCAGCTTCCCCTGGAGATGTCTTCTAGTTTCTGCCACCTCATTGCAGAATCATCATTGCAAAAATATATAGCAAACATCATTGAAAAACTACAGTGGTCTATAAAGGGATCACATTCAGACTCAGATTCCTCAGCAGGAACATTTAGGATCACTGCAGGTAGAAATGTCAGGGACGTTGTCGTTTGTCTTTGTTCTTTTAGATGAGATTATGTACCCACTTCCTAGAACAGTGTCAGACATGTAGTATACGTTCAGTAAATACTGAAAAGTATATGGTTAGGTGGTTGGATGGTAGGTACAGAATAATAAATGTAAAGTATTATGTTTATGGTTACATAAACACAAAGTAAAAGTATAAAAATGTACTCAATTCATCATAATACTGCCTTGGGAGGGAGTAGGCAAAAGGTTATACAGCATACCTCACCTATGTTTGTAATATTTTAATTATTAGAAAACAAAACAGAAACTTTAAGTTTTAAAAAAAGTATTGGTAAGGCTCAGATTTTATAAAACTTGACACTGGCAATGCTGCTTTGCCTTGTTTGCCCCTCATATCCCGCTATTGTCCGTGCCCTTTTCTGCTCTGTTGGGGATCCTTTGCCATGGTTGATGTTCTGGCTTATCCTTGCAGGTTTAATTTCCCAGCTTCCAATGTCAGCTGACTTCTTGTTTAGTATAGCCAATGAGAGAGTGCCAAGGTATTTTTTCATCACTTCCCTCTGCCTTGGGCCTCATCTCTTCCATGACTCCAGTTTCTGCTGGAAAAACTTGTGGTTCCAGCTTTTTTGTGTGACTACAGTCCCAAGGCTCTGATAATATCACTTCCTACCTTTATTCTTTCTAACCTAGGGATGATGGTGACTGCTGCTGTCTCTAATCTCTGTGTTACTTTACCTTTGTAATTGCTCCATCACTTTTATAACCAGTTGCTTGCTTAAATTTCCTTTGATATGAATACTTGAAATTGTTTCTATTTTCCTGGAGGGACGTTGAATAATACAGGTACAGTGATAATTGAATTTTATTCAGTATTCTTGTTTATATTGTAAATATTTTACCTTACGTACAAAACAGTTTGAATTATAACTTTTGTGTCAGCTATTATATGAACTCAATTAGTACCCAAATAATAATGAACAGAATTATAATTCATTAGGCTTAGTTTATAATATATTTAATTTCTAAGGAACTAAGTCTGATTCAATTGTATGGTTATGTGCATAAACTCTGTTTTCCTAAAATTATCTTTCATTGCTCCTCATTGCTCCTCATTTCCATAGGAATTCAGAGCCTCTGAATTGCTTCGAAGTGGACTGGACAGATCTAAATACCTTTTAGTGAAAGAAGCCAAAATTATTGCTATGACCTGTACTCATGCTGCCTTAAAACGACATGACTTGGTCAAGTTAGGTTTCAAGGTAAAGACTTATTTTGGTAGTTCTGTTTTTTGTTTTTGTTTTGTTTTGTTTTGAATATTACCTAGGCCATTTGTTTCTCTTGGAGGTTGACTCACTTCTTATTGAACTTTGCATTTATAATTACCTTAAAATATCTCTTTTAAAAGTAGGTGATAATATCCCATGTTTACGTGATTAGTGAACTCTGAATCTACTTTTTAAAAATCTAGTTATCAGTAATATGTCCATTAGGTAACATTATAACCATATGGTTGTCTGACCAAATTCTCATACTTGTTAAGGATTTTTACTGAGTATCACTTATTTAAAAATCCCTAAATAAAAGTTATGAAAAACACCTAAAATTCACCTAATTAAAAAAACAGTCATAATAAAAAATCTCCAATCAGAAATAACAGCTATAAAAAGAACATTTCAAAATGGGTTTCAGCTGGGCATGGTGGCTCACTCTGTAATCCCAGCACTTTGGGAGGCCAAGGTGAGCAGATCACTTGAGGTCAGGAGTTCTAGACCAGCCTGGCCAGCATGGTGAATACAAAAAATACTAAAAATACAAAAATTAACTGATACTAAAATGGTTTCATCATATGATAAAGATGGGAGAGGATGTGATAGCCTGTTAGCCTGTAAGTCATTTGAAATCGAATGTAATGATTGAGCAGTAAATTTAAATTGGCAAATTTTTTGTAACTTTGCTAATGATACTGATCTGAACTTAGATTTTAATACAGTTATTTAAGCTTCCTTCAATTGGTTTATCTGTTGTTTAAAACATAGTTCTGTATATGGGTTTGAATTAAAAATTCGTAATTCATCTGTTGATTAACTGACAATTTTAAAATGTTATGAGCTCACTGAAAGATAGGCGCTAAATAAATTCAAGGTGATAAAATTGTTGTTATCTTGGATGCAAGGTTCCTCAGCTGCAAGATAGGACAAATAAGACAATTTATTAAAAGGTAGTGTGAACATACCCTAGTGGTGTGAACTTACGCTTTTGCAAACTATTAGTGAGAATTTTTCACCTAAATATTTTGTTCTTGGGGCTGATGTATAAAATATACTTTGAATTTGATATTAAATCATAGCTTAATAACAAGGGAAATAATGTAATGATAATTAACATTTTATGGTTTCATGCAGATTTTACATGTGTTCTAAAAATACTTATCAACTTTTCAGTAGTCATTTTCTGTATTTAAATTATGGTATACATCTAAGGGTAGTTGGCATGAGTGTTAATAGGTTTTCTATATTTTTGATTTTGAAGTTTTATTTTTATCACACTTAAGAGTTTTAAAAACCTTGTAGGTCCACTTAACAAAAAGTTAAGATGACCACTCTGCTCATCCTTCCCATTTATCTAGTCCTTCAGCTCTTTAGGATTTGTTTTGTCCTTTTCATTATGTCAGTCAAGAATGTTAAATTTCCATTTCAGGCATCATCTTTTGATTCTGTGCTGTCCTGAAGGACAAATAGATACACATTCATGCATGTGTGCATACACCTTTCCTCCCTTAATTCTTCCAATATGGTCACATCATAACTTTGGTTTGCTCACTTTTGGGTGTTTACATCACTATTTACATGAACACTTTCACATCCAAGCAGGGTAATATACCATGATTTGTTTTCCATTCATGCACATTTTTTTTTTTCTTTCTGGAATTAATGATTTTTGTCTTGTTTGTTTAGTTTTCTGTTTTACTACCAGTTCAACCCAAAACTCTGCTTAGTTTTAAAATATTTTCTTAGTACATTTAGACACATCACATACGTGTTTTTTGAGACATCTCTCCTAGATACTCCTGACCTATTTCAGTTCACATTGCATCCATTCTAAGCCTTTGCCTTTCTTATATGTCAGATTCTGTGTTTTGGGCATTCTGTGTCTTTCTGTCCTTTTGTCTTTTAGTAGAATACATCCTCCAGTATCTTTTGTGTGAAAGGATTTATAGGAGGTAATATTTTTAAGACTTTCCATGTCCAAAAACTGTTTTTAGTCTATTCTCACATGTAATGATTATGGCTAGATATAAATTTCTAGATTGGAAATAATTTTCCTTCAGGATTTTGAAGAATTGTTCCATTTTCTCTTTCTTCCAGTGTAGCTGTTCAGAACCCCAAAGCTGTAATTTTAAATGTATTTTGTTTCACATTTTTGTTCTGTCAGGAAGCCCTACAATCTTTACTTTATCCCTAGAGTTCTGAAATTTCAGTAGTATGTCTTAGGGATAACAAAGGGAGAAGGAGGACTCTTCTGGATCCTATTGTTGTGGGAGATGAATGGAGAAAGAGAGCCAGACTTCTCCACATTCTGTTACATACACAGACTTTGACATAATTCCCACTTTCTGTATGGCGCTCATTTCTGATCCCACCCTCTTAACTCTGCCTGCTTTCTCCAAGTTCCAAGATCCTCTGCAGATACTAAACCTTTTGTTGTCTATTGGGGGTGAGAGAGGAGGTACATTCATTTGGTTCCTTGAAGTGGGGAAGTCTAATTGCCTCTTTAAACCAGTCCTATTATTACTGAGCAAAAGGGGCTCACAGCCTGGTGCACTAGAAGCCAATATTCTTTTTTTTTTTTTTTTTTTTTTTTTTTTTGAGACGGAGTTTTGCTCTTGTTACCCAGGCTGGAGTGCAATGGCGCGATCTCAGCTCACCACAACCTCCGCCTCCTGGGTTCAGGCAATTCTCCTGCCTCAGCCTCCTTAGTAGCTGGGATTACAGGCACGTGCCACCTTGCCCAGCTAATGTTTTGTATTTTTTTTAGTAGAGACGGGGTTTCACCATGTTGACCAGGATGGTCTCGATCTCTTGACCTCGTGATCCACCCGCCTCGGCCTCCCAAAGTGCTGGGATTACAGGCTTGAGCCACCGCGCCCGGCCAGAAGCCAATATTCTTATACCAGGTTTTTGAGGGAAAAAAAAGCATCTTATTGCAAGTTGACTCACAAGAAGAACATAGTCAAGCTCAAATCTGTGTCCCCATGCTGGTTTTAAGGCAGTAATTTTATTAGAAAAGGTTTAAGGGGGTGGATTCTGGGATTAGTAAGTGATTGGTGGAAGGAAAGGGTTCTGGAAAGTCTTCAAGCATATGCACTTTTCATGCTACTTCTTGGATCACATGTGTAAGTTTGAGAGGAGTTAATATGAAACATGGTAGAAATTTGGGCAGTGATGTAAGCACACTCATTCTGCGCTAACTCTAGTTGGCTGTATTGATTCCAACCAGTTTCAGCCAGTTTTATTATCTTAGAAGCAAAGAAAGTTTCGGCTTTTCAGCAAGGTGTTTCTTTTCTTATCTACCATCCTGTAAACTCAAGAATTTCTGTTAGTTCCTGGTTTCTTTGACTCTTTTGGGTAAAATTTCACTATATAATGTCAAGTGTTATTTTAGGGGGTTTCTGGAGATAGTGGTCATCATTATGTGGTCAGTTCATCACCTTTTAACAGAAGTCTGTCACTTGTTTCAATATGTATTTTGTTGAAACCCAATTTTTCACTAGCACAAAGTTAAATAAATATTAGTTCTAATTTGCCCGTTTTCAGGGATTGGAAATTCGATGTCGATCATCTTAAACCCATTTTGCATTGTAGAATTTGTAGAAGGAAATGTATCAGAATGATAACAAAAACATAAGCTGATAATAACCAGCAATTGTTGAGTGTTAGCTATGTACCAAGTTCTGTGTTTATAGTGTACAAAGTTCTGTATTTACAATGATTTATTTCTCCTCTTTGCAACTAGATTTTTATATGAGCTCTCTCTCTCTTTTTTTTTTTTTTTTTTTTTTTTTGAGACAGATTCTTATTTTTTTGTTCAGGCTAGAGTGCAGTGGCATGATCTCGGCTCACTGCAACCTCTGCCTCTTGGGTTCAAGCAAGTCTAGTCTAGAGCCTCAGCCTCCTGAGTAGCTGGGATTACAGGCACACGCCATCACACTCAAACAACTTAATTGTTTTTTAAGTAGAGAAGGGTTTTCATCATGTTGGCCAGGCTGGTCTCAAACTCCTGAGCTCAAGGGATCCACCTCCCTTGGCCTCCCAGAGTGCTGGGATTTCAGCTGTGAGCCACTGCGCCTAGCTGAGATAGCTCCATTTTATAGTTGAGAAAGGGTGACTCAAGGGAGATATTACCTTAGAGTCACAGGTAATCAGTTACTAGAGCTAATATTAAAACGTGATTTTCCAAGAATTTAAAGTCTCTTGTGCCCTTACTTTTAAACCACCCTGACCTTATTCTAGCAGCTAGAATCAACTAAAGAACTATAGAACTGTAGTAACAGTGGCTGTAGAATTTAGAAATCCTTTGAAAGGTCACAAAGACTAGCTCCTAGCCTGGTTGACCTGTAGCATCAAATGCCAACCCAACATGTAATATGTTAGTAGAGGTTAGTAAGTGTTGAATGAATGAATGATCTGGCTAATAAATACATGGAACAACTAGCTAAAGTGCTGGTAATTTTGCTTTGGAATTAAAATTTCCCTTTTAAAAAGCAAAATATATAAATATATTTTTATAAGTGAAATTGTATTGTATTTTCAGAATTGGTTTTCAGGAACCTCTCCTTTAAGCTGTCTCTTTTTGAGTTGCCCCTACCCTTTTTTGCATATTGGATCCGTTATCCTGAGAGTCCACACAGGGACTTGTTAAAAAATGTGACTGTTTGAATTCCCTCTTCTCTTCAGCTTCCATAAAAATGACCTAATCATTATAAGAGGGAAATTTGATATTATTATAGAGCTAGAGAAGAGACCATCCATATGCCTACACCTTCAGGTAGTTTCAGTAACAGTTCAGAATTGAACCATAACTTTAAAATAGAGAGTTAATCAAACATTCAGAGTAAATATGCTATCCCCATCTACCACCTCCGTAGAAAATAAAACAATGGTAGAAAACTTTAAAAACAGAAACAACAGAGCTGTAATGTGTACTTAGATTCAAGAAGAAGATATTGTACCAAAACAGGAAGTAAGATATCATACTAAGGTAGTGATCAGAATTAGAAGTGAGGAGGAAAGACAAAACATGTTGAGAGTATATCTAAATGAGAATTGGACAGATAGAAGAGACAGTAATTGTCAAAGAAAGAATGAAATTTTCTCATGTTTGAGAAAGACTTGATTTTTCATTTTTTTTAAACAGATGTATAATACCTAAGACTGGGAACTGGGCTAGGGAAAAGATACAGACATTAGACAAATAAATATACAGAGAGAATTATAAATTGTGAAGGTCTGGAAGACGAAAGAATGGTATTTGAGATTAGTTTTAGATTGAGAGGTCAGAGAAGGCCTAGATAAAGTGTGTTTTAAGCTGATATTTTAAGGATGAGAAACAACCAAGTAGACTAAAAGTGAAGACAACAGGATGTGCAAAGGGGCTGCAGCAGGAAAGGTTTTGGCATTTCAGAGAAACTGAAACAGGTCATTGTGGTTGAAGCATAGTAGTAAGGAGAAAGATAAAGTTCAAGAGGAAGTCAGGGGCTAGATTGAATATAGGTTCTTGGTAATACTTCCTTGCTGGCAGTGTTAAGGGTTTTTTTTACCCTAAAACAGTGGTATGAAGGATTTGAAACCAGAAGTTGTATAAATGCCTTAGAGGAGTCAAGCTAGGAAGGGGAGGAACTAGTAAGGTGTTTGCTAGCAGTAGTCATAGTGATGGCTTGGATTTTTAGAGGGGTAATGCTGGTAGAAGTAAGGAAAAATCAATAGACTCAAGAGTTTTGAAAGTGAAATTGACATGCTCTGGTGATGGATTGCATGCCCAGGAGTGAGACTGAAGTGGATTGTTGTGATGAGTAGGATTCATAAAGGAAACAAAATTATCCCCAAATGCTACCTAGAGTAAGAGTACCACAGGGAATGACCTCATATGTAATTATAAATTGATTCTTTCTGATGTAGAAATGAAAACCTAAATCAAAAAGAACCAAATTGACATTGCAATTCAAGAAATGACATACACGATCTCTTCAATGTAAAGTTGCATACTTAGGAGGCTTTCCTGCAATCAAATACTTGAATTGGAAATGCAGAGGCATAATGATAAATAATACCATGAAGTTTCTGTTTGAATAATTTGTATGTTGTTATTTTTATCTGTCTGAATAATTTGTATGTTGTTGTTTTTATCTGAAATTATTTGGGTTCTTTTGGATGCTTATGTTTGTCATGGTAGTTGTTTGGCTTTTAAGCTATCTTTATGACAAGCTTTCCTCTTTCTTTCTCAGTATGACAACATTTTAATGGAAGAAGCCGCTCAGATTCTAGAGATAGAAACTTTTATCCCTCTTCTTCTACAGGTAAGAAATATTAAGAAATATAAGATCTGAGGCAAAGAAAATCAAGTTCTAAGAATGCCGACGACAACATCAGAAAGCTGTACAGTTTGGGTGTGCTCATTGCCATAGTTAAATATTTTCCTTAACTTTATTATGTTTGATGTTCTATTTTAAGCCTGTAAACTTTTTTTGATCCATTCACTGGCTATTTCATAGTTATTTTGCTTCCAGAAGTTCTATTTTAAAATTCATAGTTTATTTCTGTAGTTTTGAAAAGATCCAGTAATTTTAATCAAAATTATATTGTTGTACAATTTGCTGGGGAGAGGAGCTGTTTCTTAATTTCTTTTGTTATAATTGTTTGTAGAATTATTTTTTGATATTCACCGACTGAATTGCTTTTCTTTATGCCTAAGTTTTTGAGCTAAATGGTACTATTTAAGAATGTTTTTTACTGTACAATATTCTTTACTATTGAAGCCTTAAAACGAAATGTGGAATTCCCAACTTAAGGATAGAGACCACTCTAATATGCAGATAAATTGAGTTCCAAAAGTTGTTTTTATAAGTCAAACTACTTGGAACTTGGAATGTATTCTATCAGGATATGTTTCAAGGAATAAGGAGACATATAGAGTACGAAATTGAAGTCGTAGTGTAGAAAATTAAAGAAGGTAGTGTTTAGCTGCTTTGGTGGGTTCAGAATTGGTCCTCAGCTGCTCATGAAACATGCTTATTTCTCGTCTTTCCATTTCTCTTCTTGGGCTTCTCTTTTTTTCTGTATACTCTTTACCTAATGCTGACCTAAGCCTTCCAGACCTCTTTGGATTACCCTACCTATTAAAATAGGGTAATTCCATGCTTGCCTTCTAAATCCCTCCATTCTCCCTCACCCACTGTCACCCAAGAGCAATGATATCCATAGTTGGTTCACAAATTGTTCTATAAATTTGCCAGACTCCTCTTTGTGGAGCTGGTAAAGATTGGTAATTTGTAAGATAAGGAAGCCTTTTGGTGAAGAGTCAGTCTCTTGGGTAATATATTGGGGACTATAGGATAATATTTTGCCGTTTCTTTATTTTTTATTTCTAGAATCCTCAGGATGGATTTAGCCGACTGAAACGATGGATTATGATTGGTGATCATCACCAGTTACCTCCAGTTATTAAGAACATGGCCTTCCAAAAGTACTCAAACATGGAGCAGTCTCTCTTCACTCGCTTTGTCCGTGTTGGAGTTCCGACTGTGGACCTTGATGCTCAAGGGAGAGCCAGAGCAAGGTAAAGGAAATGGAAAAAAAATCATTTCTACTTAAGGACATTTGTTCCATGATCCAACCATTTGTGAATAGCTTTTGAATAGGCTGTTAGCATTCCCAGCTATCCAGGAACTTGACTATCCGTAAATCCCAAAGGACTTTTGTCGACTTCTGCAGGAGATATGAATGGGCCAAATAATTTATTTTCTTCATTTCATTCATTAAGATTAACTTATAATCTAAAGGCTTCTTTTCATTGTCCCTTCCCCTTTCTTCATGTCCCCAAAAGATATGCAGTTAATATAATTTTGAAATCTAAAGAAAAAAGTGAATAAGAGGAGAACACACCAATTCTTACTTTATAAAAGATGCAAGCCCTGTCTCAGAGTTACCCCCAATTGTCCTCAACTTTTAGTCTCCCTTGATTTTTTAATTTGAGGAATAAAGATAGCATTTACCTCAGAGAGTGTAATAAAACTATCGTTTTTGTAGTATCTTCAATCTTCTGACCCTTGGTTACCTAAAGTAGGGAAGCTAAGGTTGGAAAAGCATTATTGTTTAAAAGATGAACAGAAATGGCTAACATGAAAATTTAAAAGAAGCGCAGAAACAGACAAACTTTATGTATATTAAACGAGATTTTATACTGCTAATGTTTTCTGTTTGTGGGGGGATTTGTCTTTGGAAAGCTTGTGCAACCTCTACAACTGGCGATACAAGAATCTGGGGAACTTACCCCATGTGCAGCTCTTGCCAGAGTTTAGTACAGCAAATGCTGGCTTACTGTATGACTTCCAGCTTATTAATGTTGAAGATTTTCAAGGAGTAGGAGAATCTGAACCTAATCCTTACTTCTATCAGGTAAGAAAAAAGATGAAGCTTTTAAATTTATTTTGCATTTGCTGGCTGACATATGCATAAATCAATGATGCTTAACCATTTGGCCATTGAGAAAAGGAAAGTTGGAATGCCACCTTACACACAGCATACGAAAAATCAATTTCAGATTGATTAAAAATACATGGACTAAAGAAACTATAAACAAACAGGAAACTGCTAGAAGAAAATATTGATGAATATATAGTGTTGGAGTGAGAAAGGTCTTCCTAAGCTTGTTACAAAAGCAGAAATCATAAAAATGCTGATGGGAGAAAAAATTTATTTTCAATGTTTAAAATTTATTTCAATGTTTAATAAACAAGTTGAATTCTGAATATTCATATAGAACTCATCAATTACTTTTTTAAAAAATCAAGACTAATTGAAAAATGTGAATATGCAATTTATATTTTATAACAAGTATAAATTAATCACATTTTTACCTCTTTAATAATGCTCAGTGTTAAGGTAGGTTTGGGGAAATTTTATTCTCATACAATGCTAGCAGGAAAATAATTTGGTGGATAAATTGTCACTGTATATTAAAAGCAATGTTCTTACTTCTAGGAATTTATCCTTAAAAAATAATTGGGCCGGTTTGCAGACTTGTATGTTTAATTTTCATCACTGCATATTATTTTAGAAATAAGAAACACCTATATCTGTCAGTAGGGATTAATTGCACTATTACCTATTCCCTATAAAAGAAAAACTAGATAGCCACTAAGAATGATAACATTATAAGTGTTTACTAACAGAAAGAATGTTCATGCTATATTATGTGGAGATAAATTGCAAAGTATATCTATAGTATCTCACATTATTTTATTTTTTATTTCATTTTACTTATTTTTTTTGAGATGGAGTCTTGCTCTGTTGCCAGGCTGGAGTGCAATGGCATGATCTTGGCTCACCGCAACCTCTGCCTCCCAGGTTCAAGTGATTCTCCTGCCTCAGCCTCCCAGGTAGCTGGGACTACAGGCTTGAGCCACCATGCTGTGCTAATTTTTCTATTTTTAGTAGAGGCAGGGTTTCACCATGTTGGCCAGGATGGTCTTGATCTTTTGACCTCATGATCCACCTGCTTCGGCCTCTCAAAGTGCTGGAATTATAGGTGTGAGCCACCGCACCTGGCGGTGTCTCATTTTATTTTAAAATAGAAATATGTGCAGATAATCCATACAAAATAATCTGGCAGTATATACATCAAAATATGGTATTTGGTTGATAGCATTTGGAGTTGTTTTTCTTTTTTTTCTCTCTCTCTTTACAGCAAAATATCCAATATCGGTTGTTACCTAAATTAGAGATTATGAGTTATTCATGAACAAGCATCATATATCATCATCTTAAATGTATATGTATACATATAACTCATGCAGATCTTATTTTCCCTCCAAATATTTGGTTATATTAAATCAAGTTACTATATTTGTGTACTTTTTGCCTGAGAACAGATGTGACCTTTAAATGATAACTTTAAAAATATTAGAAAACGGCTGGGCACGGTGGCTCAAGCCTGTAATCCCAGCACTTTGGGAGGCCGAGGCGGGTGGATCACGAGGTCAAGAGATCGAGACCATCCTGGTCAACACGGTGAAACCCCGTCTCTACTAAAAATACAAAAAAAAATTAGCTGGGCATGGTGGCGCGTGCCTGTAATCCCAGCTACTCAGGAGGCTGAGGCAGGAGAATTGCCTGAACCCGGGAGGCGGAGGTTGCGGTGAGCCGAGATCGCGCCATTGCACTCCAGCCTGGGTAACAAGAGCGAAACTCCGTCTCAGAAAAAAAAAAAAAAAATATTAGAAAACATCAGTAATCAACTGATGTTTTCATTACATAATGGTTTTTGGAATTTCTCCTTTGAGTTAGTTTCATTGCCTGAGTTATTCTGTAGTATTGATTGAAACATTTTTATCCAGATTGGTTATCTATTTTTCTTATTCATTAAGCCTAACTCTGGGTGAGTTTTTAGTGTTTTGAGAAATATATTTTCAGATGATGATTTGCCACTATTTTTTTTTTTTTTTGAGACAAGAGTCTCAGTCTGTCACCATGCTGGAGTGCAGTGGCACAATCTTGGCTCACTGCAACCTCCGTCTCCCGGGTTCAAGTAGTTCTCCTGCCTCAGCCTCCCGAGTAGCTGGGACTACAGGTGCACGCCACCACGCCCAGCTAATTTTTGGATTTGCCACTATTAAATATATTTCTGAAGAGTTAAACACATTATCCCCTAAAATAAGAATACTGTGTATTTAAGTGCTAACATCTGAAGAATTCGTGTCTGAGAGGGAAAGACTAGGTAGATAAATGAATAAAAGTCACTAATTTGAAGGGGACTCAACTTATTTGGAGTGAGTTCTAAAATATTTGGTCACAATACAGTTCATGTTGTTTTATTGTTAATGCTTCATGTCTAACCTTTGGGCAAAGTACCAAATTGGGCAATGTTAAATAACTAGAAAACTTAAATGAAAGATGTAAGTAACTCAGGCTGTGTGTCAGAAAGAACCATAATATAAATGATATTTTGATAAATCTTCCAGTAATTTTTCTGTTGCCTTTGCATAAAATGCAGCATCCTTTTTTTTTTTTTTTTTTTTTTTATGTGTGTGTGTGCTTTTATTCTTATTTTACTTTCTTCTTTCATCCAGTACTTTGGATTTAGTCTCTACTGAACTGGACCAAACAGCTTTATGTATTATTCTTCACCTTTAAGTTGAATAAGCCTTAGTTTTAAGTGCCTTCCTTGTCTCTAATTTAATGGTAAACCAGACTGACCAATTTGAGGTAACATCCTCATCCCACCTAAAGTGATCTGGTAGAAGTGACAACCATCATTAAGAGAACAGAAACAAAGCACACAAGAAACATTGTGCAAAATTGTTTTTTGTATGCTTTGTTTCTGTTCTCTGAGTGACAGTTGTGCAAAAGGAAAAGAATTGTGCAAAAACTGAGTCAACTATAATATTGTTAGGTATATATGCTATTAAACTGGGTATCGTATTGGCTTCTTCGTTACTCTATTCCTTTATAGTTTTGTGTCTGTATGTAACTATAGTTGCAACACATTGTATAGATTTTTTTTTTTTTTTTTTTTTTTTTTGAGATGAGGTCTCACTTTGTCACCAGGCTAGATTGCAGAGGTGTAATTGCAGCTCGCTGCAACCTCCACCTCCTGGACTCAAGTGATCCCCCCATCTCAGCCTCCTGAGTAGCTGAGACTACAGGCATGGACTACCACGCCCAGCTCATTTTTGTATTTTTAGTACATGTTGTCTAGACTGGTCTCGAACTCCTGGACTCAAGTGATCTGTCTGCCTTGGCCTCCCAAAGTGCTGGGATCACAAATGTGAGCTACTATGCCTGGCCAGAATATTATTGATCTATATTGTGATTGTTGTGGTCTTAGGAATATTAAGCCTTTAAGTTGGCAAATTTTATTTTATGGTTGTTCCATGTATTGCAAATATATTGCAAATGTGAAAGTTTTCATCTATCAGTGTTAATGTAGCATAAGATTATCCCTCAGTTTTATGAAAGATATTCACTTATCCAAGTTACTGAGTCTTCACTTCTTGCGGTATACAAAATGAACAAATTGTGCTTATCTAGGCGAGATATTTTCTCTATAAAATTGAAACAAAAGCAAATAAATGCACAATCTGATTATGTTTGCATTACAGAATCTTGGAGAGGCAGAATATGTAGTAGCACTTTTTATGTACATGTGTTTACTTGGTTACCCTGCTGACAGAATCAGTATTCTAACAACATACAATGGCCAAAAGCATCTTATTCGAGACATCATCAATAGACGATGTGGAAACAATCCATTGATTGGAAGACCAAACAAGGTACTTTTATAATTATAATGTGTTCTCTTATTCATCATTTTGGCAAGATAGAAAGGTTTATATTGTTCTACTTTTTCTCTTTGCGATCTCTTTTTAAGATATTTGAGAAAATGAAATAATGGGAACCATAAATAATTCTCTGACAGTCCTATCTGTCAGTCTTGCTGGTTTGCTGTGACCATCTATCTCAGTTACAGCACACAAGATATTTACTGATGGTAACAGAAATAAATGTTTCTGAAACTTTTTGTTCATAAAATGATATGTAACAAAGTTACATAATAATTTGTTTACTGTTACTAGGAATATGTTTGCTTTGCTTTGCAGAGGTATAATTTAAACTGCTTTTTATTGTATGTAGGGGAGGTTGTCTCGGGAATAAGGGAAGATGGTAAAATGTATTCAGACCTTGGGATTTTAAAAAATATTTTTTATGTTTTTATACAATGAAAAGTGATGCATAATAACAAATAAAATGATGTTTGTTTTATTAATGATGGGTTGAAAAAATTAGAAAATAACATAAAGATTACACTAATGATAAAGTTAGGACTTTGGTTGTGAACACGGCTATGTAAAGCTCACCTTTTCTGGAAATTATGCAAAAGTAACAGGAAAATGGGAGAAAGAGGGGACAAACTCTTATTTTTATAGACTATCTGGACAGTAGCAGAAGAAAAGAGGGCCTTTTATTATGAAAACCATCCAGCCTTCAGAAAACAGCCTTGCTCACCCCATCTTAACATCTCGCACATAGCTAATCTAAGAAACTTACTTATTCAGTGACAGATAGTATGAAGGGAACTAGCACAAGCTCAATTTATAGGAAAAAAAATGAAAAGCAGCAAAACATGGATAGGATACATGCTCCAGAAAACATGTTGGCCTGGAAAAGATGACATTTTCAAATACACATTTTGCTGTAAATTGGAAAATACCTAATAAAGTAACCATTTCTTTGAGGAAAAGCTATAAAGCAGAGAAATGTAAGAACTCAGAAAGAAATGAAATGTAAGCTGGAAGAAAGTAAAATCAGAGGAATGAAAACAAAATCAAAAGGAATACAGGGAAGAATAGACACTGCAGAATACTTGATAAGGAATAGAGTGAAACTGAGAAACTAATAATTTTGCAATTTTAGAAATAGAAGGACCTCAATATTTGAGACCTTTTATGGAAAATTTTACTCAAATAATAAGAAAAGTTACTGTCTCTCATAACAAGATGGAAATAGGGTTGGTTCCAAGGTTGGGTTACAGGGTAGCTCAATGATGTTATTCTGCCCTGCCAATGTCAGTATGTGAGCCCAGTTCTCCACATGATCAGGTTGGCAACAGAATTTGCAGGTAATATCCACACATAATAACAAGGGACTTATATCCAGAATATATGAACTCCTGTAAAAGCTATTATGAAATAAGGCTGCCCAATACAAAATGGGCAAATGACTTGAACAGATATTTCACACAGGAAGACCTACAGGTAGCCAATATGATGTGAAAAAGTGCTTACCATCATTAGTTGTCAAAGAAGTAGAAATTAAAACTACAATGATATACCACTGCCTACTCAAAAGAATGAGTAAAATGATAAAGATTGACATTATGTCAAGTGTTGGCAAGCATGTAGAACAACTGAAACTCTAGAACCGGAACATTGCTAATGTGTAAAGTAGGATAGCAATTTTGGAAAAGTTAGATTGTTTCTTGCAAAGTATGCACTTTTACTATACAGCTCAGCAATTTCCCTCCTGCATCTTTATTCAAGAGCAATGAAAACATGTCCACAAAAATATTTGTACATGAATATTTATTGCAACTTTATGCAAAATAGCTTCAAAGTAGAAACAGGCCAAATTTTCTTGAACAGGTGAATGAATAAACAAACTGTTGTATATTCATTCAGTGGAGGAATACTCAAAATAAAAAGGTATGAATTTCTTGTGTACACACAAGAATTATCTCAAAAACATGAATGAATATATCTCAGAAACATTATGCTGATTGAAAGAAACAAGACACAAAAGAGTATATCCTTTTGATGCTATTTTTATGTAATTCTAGAACTGGCAAAAAATAATCTATAGTGACAGAAGGTAGATCAGTGATTGCCTGGGGCTGGGGGATGCAGATTTGACCAAAATGGGGCCTGAGGTGATGGACATTTTTATTGTGGTGGTGGTCACATGGGAAAATGTGTTGTCAAAATTCATCAAATTGTACACTTGAACACATTTTATTGTGTATAAACTATGCCTCCATGTAGTTGACTTAAAAAATGTTTTGTAAACTTCCTAAAGATAAAGAGACCATAAATTGCAGTTTCTGCAGGGTAAGCAATAAAATTTTTGTTGAATTGATGAAAAGATAAACGCCTGAGTTGCCAGTATTAGTGACCGAAACCTTTCTGAACTTCCCTATTTGTACATACACTTTTTCTTATGTTTTTTCTTTCTTTCTTTTTTAAGAAACGGGTCTCATTCTGTTACACAGACTGGAGTGTAGTGTCACAATCTCAGCTCACTGCAACTTCCATCTCCTGGGCTCAAGCAATCCTCCCAACTCAGCCTTCTGAGTAGCTGAGCTATAGTCACACACCACTGTACGCGGCTCATTTTTGTATAATTTGTAGATGGGGTTTCACCATGTTGCCCAGACTGGTATTTAACCCCTGGGCTCCAGTGATCTGCCCACCTTGGCCTCCTATGTACATATATTTTCAAAATGAACAGAAAGTACTATGAGGATTATTTATTTATTTTTCTTTGATAGAGGAATGCTGTAGACATGTACTGGTGTTATGTTAAGTAATAAGCATGCTAAGTTACATTGCTGAGCATCAAACTGGAATACCAGTTAATAAGCTAGACATAGTCCCAGCTCTCATGAAGTTTGCAGTCTAATGGGGGAAGACTGTTAATTCCAAAACTAGTTATTTAGTTATCAGCAAAAGTAAAGACAAATGCCGTAAGTGTGAGTAACTTAAGGATGTAGTTTAATCTGGTTAGTATGGTTTATTTAATAATGTTGCTTAACTTGTTCTTGGAATTCCAAGCCTATGATTATGTTGCTTTTGGGATTTATTATTTTAAGGGTAAGATGTTTGTTTCTAGCACATTATTTAAATGATCTCTATAGTCTTTTGGCTTTTGAAAATGCACCATATTTTCCATTTTTTTATTTTTAGGTGACAACTGTTGATAGATTTCAAGGTCAACAGAATGATTATATTCTTCTTTCTCTGGTACGAACCAGGGCAGTGGGTCATCTGAGGTATGTAGGAAAAAACTTTCATAATAGTTATCAAACTTTTCTATCTACTTTAATTTTGAAATTCTGTGGCTAAGTGTTCTAAATATTTTTAAAGTTCAAACTATAGTTACTATGACAACTTTTGCTGCTTTTGGTTGGAATGTAACATCAGATTCCTTGTAGTAACCATTGTCATTGCTGCTGAATTTTTGTGTTCTTCAATGTTTTAGTAATTTTAAGCTTTACTCTTTAGTAACACTCAGAGATAGCATTTTATCATAAAATCTTAATGTGTCCTGTATCTGTTAGAAACTTAGTATCAGAAATTAAAGGAGATAAAGAAGTAAAAAGTTTTAAGAATAAATTTTCATTGTATAATACGGTTTCTCATTTTTTCTCATACACAGTCTTTCAGCTTCAGTGTTAGAGGACAAAGGAGCCGTTTGTCTCCCTGGATTAGGAATTGTCAAAACAAACAATAATCTATTTTTATCATTTATTGTGATGTATTTATGTGCTAGAGATTTATGGAAATAATATCTTCTTATTACAAAGCCTCCATTTAGTTTTATATAAAGCTTCATCTCCTATGACTTACTAATACAACTAAGGAGACTTTATTTTATTATTTTATTGGATAGACATAAAAAGAAAATTCTCAATGCTCTTGTAATGTTGTCATTAAGATCTATTTGGAGCTTAACCCAGTGACCAGGTTCATGAGATTGATAACTTTTATGAAAGAGTAATTAAAGATGTAATGTTTTAAGAAATTGTTTCACATTCTAAAATAGTTTGCTTTTGTGTATTGTCAAGCAAATATTTAGAGATTTAACTTTTCTAAAAAACAATTCCTTCTTCTCCTTGAGATTTATAACTGCCATCTCAATGGGCTATCACTATGGTTTACCTAATTAACATCTCAAAAACTTACAATATGAATATATGAATTCCCCTCCCTACCTTTTTTCTTAACTCTGGTACTTGGTCTTCAAATTCCAGTGACTTTAGTCCTATGCTGTTCTTTGCCTAATTTTTCTGTAACTTAGGAAAAAAGAAAGGTTTTGATAATAAAATGCTTATAAGTGAAGGCTTAAAATAAAACCTGATTTCAGTATTGTCTTGCATATCAAAATTTTCTAGCAAAAATACCTGTATTCCAATTAGTTACATATATTTGTTTTTGCCAAAATTTTCCTTTTAAACTCCGACTTCTTAATCAGGGATAGTATGGGTGATGGTTGTGCATAGAGGGGATATGTCAATTTCACTATTATTTATGATTCCAGTTACCCAGGTAGCTTAGCCGAGGGATCTTAGCTAGAATTTTATCAAACTTTTAATAAAAATTTCTGACTTGTAGAAAGCTAATCTTTCATATCCTTCCTATTATATATAGGTAAGAAACTGTTTCTGTTTCAGGATAACAAGGAAAGCTACTTCCTGCCATGTTTTATTTTTTAATAACTTTATTGAGATGTGATTTGCATACCATACAATCTATCTACTTAAAGTGTGCAATTCAATGATTTTTTTTTGTATATTAACAGTTATGTAGTTATCTCCACAATCAATTTTAGAACATTTTCATCACTCTAGCAAGAAACCCTGTACTTAGCAATCATTTCCCTCCCCTTTCCCCTAAAACCTTGGCAACCACTAATTTACTTCTTATCTCTGTAGATTTGCCTATTTTGGACACTTAATATAAATGGAATCATATAATATGTGGTCTTTTGTTACTGGCATCTTTCACTTAGCATATGTTCAAGGTTCGTTGTTGTAGGATGTATCCGTACTTCTTTCCTTTTCATTCCTGAATAGTATTCCATTGTCTGGCTATGTCACATTTTATTTATCCATTCATCAATTGGACATTGCATTGTTTCCACTTTGTGGTTATTGGAATGAATAATGCTGCTATGAATATGCATATACAATTTTTATGTGAACACTTGTTTTTCTTTCACTTGGGTATAGACCTAAGAGTAGGATTTCTGGGTCATATGGTAACTGTATTTAGCATTTTAGGGAACTGTTAGATTGTTTTTCAAGTACCTGCTTTATTTCTTTTGCTCACACCTTTTTTCAGCCAGGATGGACTAATTGGGTGATTGGGTTGGAGCCAGTTGCAGTTCCAGAGGCCTGTTTTAGGACAATGTGGAGCTATTTAGAAGCCAGAGTAGTGGGACAGTTCTGGTCCCTTTTCCAGCATTCATTGTTCTTGTACTGAACTGATTTGGACAGCCTAGCTACCAATAGAAATGTGTGTAACCTGTTCTGAGCCAAGTAATGAGGCTGCAGCTTTCCTCTGTTGTTTCCTCATAGGGGTTCTATCAGAGTGTTGGCATTGTTGTTTAACAGTGCTTTTTCTCTCCAGCCGTTTACTGGGGACTAAGAAAGAAGTTAGTAGTCAATACTGCCCTGCTTTCAAGACGTAACTCCAAGGAACTCTGCCTACTCATGTTACCATCCTTTGTTTTTTTTGCCTGGTAGTTTGTTGTGTTCATAGTGTTTGGTCATTCATTTAACAAACATTTTCATATCCTTCTACTGTCTGTCAGTGGGCTAGATTCTTCATATATGGTAATAGATGTAACATTCATGATCTCTGCCCTTGTGGCATTTAGGGTCTAGTGGCAGATTCATTAATATACCTTTGAAAGATACCTACGTTTGAATCTGCAGAAAATTTTTAGCTCAAATCTCTTCATGTAGAACGGAGATCACACTTACAAAAGCCACTTTATTGCACTATAGCACTGAAGACTGGGGAGTTGTTTTCTCAGAAGAACCATACAGGGGGCATTGCAGCAGTGCTGTTTCAGTGCTCTGTCTAGAGACAGGGGCTTCTGATGTGAGGGGGATCACATTGGTTACTATGAAAATAACAGTTTATCACCTGCTTCCATCACTAGCCCTTTTTCGCCCTAACAACATTAAATTTCACCATAATTTTCTTGATAATATGTCTGTGAGAACTTACACTAAGTTTTCTAGCAGTATCCTTTCAGTTACCAGTGTTGGAACCACCCAACTGTAGTATGAACCCTTGGGGTTCTCAGGAAATGTGGCAAAAATAATAATTTGGCTTACAGTAACCTAGAAAATAATATTTCCTTTATGAATCCAGTGTGTCACAAATGTAGAGATTCCTCAAAGTTCCCGTAAAGGAGTATTTCTTTTTCTTCTACCTAAATGAACATGTATTAATTTTGTTTGTTGCTGGGGGAAGGGTACCTATCCCCACTCTGTCCCCTCACACACATACATATAACACAAGAATATAAGTAATAGCATATGCTGGTGTCACACTGTACCTCCTAATAAAGGAAACTAGATTATTTTAAGACCATAGATTAGTCCGTAAAACACCATAGAAAGTGAGGCCGAATTAGGCTGGGCACAGTGGCTCACGCCTGTAATCCTGGCACTTTGGGAGGCCGAGGTGGGCTGATCACCTGAGGTCTTGAGTTCAAGACCATCCTGGCCAACATGGCAAAATCCTGTCTCTACTAAAAATACAAAAAAAATTAGATGGGCATGGTGGCAGGTGTCTGTAATTTCAGTGGCTTGGGAGGCTGAGGCAAGAGAATCACTTGAACCTGTAAGTCGCAGGTTGCAGTGAGCCAAGATTATGCCCCTGAACTCCAGCCTGGGTGACAAGAGTGGGACTCTGTCTCAAAAACAAAAAGAAAATGAGGCTGAATTACAGATACTCCCCAAATATCTTGGATTACACACAAAAAAGTTATTAGATAAATGTTCCAATTCCTGGTTCTCTCTGTCTCTCTGAATATTACAGAGAGTAATCTATTTCACTCTTTCATACTTTATTTCAGAGATTGGAGGTGATTCTCCCAGACTTTATTATTATTTATGAAAGTCTTCACTTGTGCAGAGTACTCAAAAATTTAAATAGCCATCTGAAAACATCCCAAGTAAAAAACTATCCTCTGCAGTTGAAACCAAAATGATCTTTTCTCACTAAGACACATTTTATCTAACATAGAAGTGAAATTACATTAGCCCTCTTTTATACATTTATTTGATTCGAACCTATTGTAAAGAAACTTAGGTTCTTTTTAAAAAAAAGAGATTAAAGAAAAATGACATTGTTTGTCAGATAGCCATTTTACATGTATAGTTTGATCATTCAGTTTAACTGTTTTCACTGTTTATATGAACATTGAGTACCTATTATAGGCCAGGCATTGCATCTAAATACTAGAATAAATACATCGATAAGACATGTTATAGGCTAACTGTCCTTTATCTGAAGTTTCAGATTTTGAATCTTCACATTAGGGATGCTAACTTGTATACTATATTTCCATATGTACTCATTATTGTAAATAAGAATAAAACAGTGTGATAAGAGTTATCTAGGAAGTAAAATTTTACCTTGATGGAGCCTGGGATTTTGGTAGGTGAAGTGGAAGAAGAACTAGTTAAGATTGACTCAGTGACAGTGATATAGTAAACCGGTAACTGACAATTGAACTATACTGTAATACTAATATATTACTTAGACCTTTTAAGTAAGTGCATTGCTTATTTTGTGACCCTCCCCCCAAAAATAACAATAAGAGGTTAGTAATGAAACCTTAACTTTTACTTGGTTTATTAGTCACGTAACATTGATTAACTTCTATTAAATTTTTAAGAAGCTTAACTTTTTATTGCCGTGGCTTAACAGGACTATCTCGTGAAATATGTGGAAAAAAAAAAGCTGCATAAATGTTAATAATCTTGAAGTGTGCTAATTATTTTGTTTATTTCCCAAAGGGACGTCCGTCGCTTGGTAGTGGCCATGTCTAGAGCCAGACTTGGACTTTATATCTTTGCCAGAGTATCCCTCTTCCAAAACTGTTTTGAACTGACTCCAGCTTTCAGTCAGCTCACGGCTCGCCCCCTTCATTTGCATATAATTCCAACAGAACCTTTCCCAACCACTAGAAAGGTAGGACTCCTTTCTTCATGTTATAGAACAGCATTCCTCAGAGGGGGAAATTGGGATTTTCTTATAGGTGACCACATTAGCTTGGAGCATTATTATACATAATTCACTTACTGGTTTAGAGGATGTTGCACTGAGGAACCGAGTAGATTTTCTATGCAAAAATAGTATCAGCAGGGCTCAGTGGCTCATGCCTGTAATACCAGCACTTTGGGAGGTCGAGGTAAGAGGATTGCATGAGCCCAGGAGTTTGAGACCAGCCTGGACAACATATAGAGATCTCATCTCTATAAAAAAATAAATAAATAAATGTTAAAAATAGTAATTCAGCCAACATTTATTTATCTACCTGTATTAGGCAGTTCATTCTTTACATACATTGCCTCATTTTCATCTCAGTAACAACAGCCTGTTACGTTATTAGATTCTTTTATTAATCCCATTTTACAAATGCAGAAACTTAGGGTGAGAGAAGTTAAATAGTTTGGCCATGCATCTAGCATAGAGGATCCAAGATCTGAAAAGCTAGGAGGTCTTTTTTAATAACATCCCCCAGAGTTCATGTTATTTATCATTATACTATACTGTTTGTCTTCAGCTTTGTAAGGAGAGCTTAACTACTTATTGAAAATAGAGCAATAAATAGTTGAGTTCTTAAGAAGCTTACATTCCGGGGAAATGAGGGAGGAGGGAGCACATATATTTAATGAAAAGATAGAGAAGTACTAGTCTCTTTAGTTTCTCATTGATACTTATATTCCTTTCCTATAAAGGAGAAGATATATATTTATTTTTATATCATTGTCTTTCTTGCGCAAAGGTTATTATACTATAGACTTTTGAGCTTTGCTTTTTTATTTAATGAATTGTCCTAGGGGATCCATTGGATTTTAAGTAACATTATTTTAGATGTTCACAGTATGCATCTTCCCACCACCTCTCTAAAAAACAATTAAATCTGTGTGTTTATTAATAATAAGTACTTTTTTAAAAATCTGCATTTTTATTTTTAAAGAAATGCTGCTGTGGAGAAGTAGCAGGAAAATGGTGGAGAGAGATCATGGGTGGGAGGGTCACATAAAGCCTCAAGTGTCAGGCTCAAGTCTAGACACAATCCTATTATGTCTGAGTTTCTCAATCTTTTGTGCGCTATTGAACAGGCAAATTCCTGACGAGAGGTCTGGGACAGAGCCTAGGTGTCATGATGTGTAACAAGCTCTCCAGGTGATTTCTATGTAAGGGCTACATGTCACACCTGAAGAAATCTGGAGTGTAGGTCAGACAATATCACTGAACAGAAGACTTGAAAACCCATGCTTTAGGTAACACTCATAAGTTCAAGGCCCTGGGGAGGTTAGGGCTGAGAACATCCCCCCATCTTCTGCTCAAGAGATAGTGAGGGGCAGGGAGTGCTGCATCTTGAGGAAAGGCAGCTCTTGGCAAGACTCCAGAAATTAAAGCAAGCAAACAAAAAGTTTTCCATGTTTTGAAGAGAGCATTTCCTAGTCAAAATAGCATGGCAGTATTTGTACATACGAGTTTTGACCATTGCAGAAAGTGACCATTAATCAAAAGAATACCTGCTTAGATGAAGTGCTACCATCCTGCTTACTTCTGAGAAATGCTGTTTAATTTACTAAATTATTTCTAGCTTGATGCTCCTTAAATAATTTGTGACTTTAAAATTAAACCCTCTTTTTGGGTGTATGTTTTTTACCTTAATGGTTTTCTAAATTGTTCCTGCCATAAGAAAGGATAAGACTTTCTAAACATTTTATTAGTAACTATAAATAGGACAGTTGTTAACCTCTGTTTTAGGGTGGTTTAAAAAGAAGTGCAAATTTTGTATTTTATTGTTTGGCTTTATAACCTTACCTACACTAATAGAGCAGTGTTTCTTAGATTGTTGTAGGAAGCTATAAAAGAATCAGCTCATTCCTCCCAGACCTTCTGAATCTGAATCTATAGGGTCTAGAGCCTTGGTACCTGCAATTAAACAGTCTACCCCAGATGGTTCTAATAAACACCAAAATTTTAAAAAGAACATTTGAATATTCACCCTCATGACTCATAGTCTGTATGTTCAGTAAAAGTAAATATTAACTTCTTATTTTTTAGAAAAATATAAGTAGCACGAAGAGTGTTAATTTTTTTTTTTTTCTGAATTATCTTGTGAACTGTCTTTGGAGCATACACGGTATTAGAAACTGCTGCTTTACACCATGTTGATTTTCCTCTCTATTCAAATAATTACTTCTCTTACTAATTCTTTTATATTGATTGTAGACTAAAACCCATACTTCATTTACCAACCCAAGATTGTATTAAAAGCTAGTGACTCAGCTTTTCTAGTCTCTGATTTTTCTAAATTTCAGTGGAATCACTATTCTTCATGAAGTTTACTTTTTTTTTTTTTAGTTTAATAATCTTTTTTTAATGGGAGTCACATGGCCGGCGGGCAGAGTGCACTGACCTGGGCCCCTTTTTTATTAATTCTATTTAAAAATCTGTTTTTTAAAACATTCATGAAGTCTTTATTGGACTCTTCACACTTGCGTTTTATGTCATCTTACTCTTAGGTCTTCCAGACCCTAATAGTGCTTTTTCATAAGATTAAAAAATGGGCTTATGTTGAAGTGTTACCTTCTTGGGTTGTTTGACCAGAAATTTAACATTCTTTTTTCCTTCTCACAGAATGGAGAGAGACCATCTCATGAAGTACAAATAATAAAAAATATGCCCCAGATGGCAAACTTTGTATACAACATGTACATGCATTTGATACAGACTACACATCATTATCATCAGGTGAGTTTCTCAAAACTGACTTTTATTTTTCTTGCTGTAGAAATGATTTCCTTTTTATCAGAATAAATCTTTAAAGTACCTAATTCCTTGTGGGAAATGAACTAAAGTAGGCTGTTATTATTTATATGACATTTGTATTTTTTAAAGCATCTTTATATAGGTAGAATTCATACATATGTTAAAGTTCACAAACTTAAAATGTAGAATTTTTTATGTTCTGGCATAGGTATTTACTTGTGGAGCCATTAGCACAGTCAAGATAAAAAACATATCCATTATCCCCAAGAGTTTTGCTTTGTGCTTGTTTGTAATCCCTCCTTTTTGTTTTTCACTAGTCCCCTTTTTACCTTTCCTAGGCAGCCAAGGATCTGCTTTCTGTCATGATAGGTTTCTTTCCATTTTCTGGATATTTATATAAATGGAATCATACAGTATTTTTTTTAACTTTGTCTGCTATTGTTTATACAAGCCTTTGCACTTAATCTTGGATAGATACCTAAGAGTGCAATGTCTGGATTATATGTTAAGGATGTGTTTAACTTTCTAAGAAACTGCCAACCTGTTTTCAAAGTGGTGTACCACTTTACACTCCCACCAGCAGTTTGAGAGTTCTAGTTGCTATACATCCTCATCCTTACTTGATATGGTAGGTCTGTTTTAAATTTTGACAGTTCTAATATATATACAGTGGTCTCAGTGTGGTTTTAATTTTCATTTCCCTAAGGACTAATGATGTTGAGCAACTTTTCATATGGACATTTGCCATCTGTATATCTTTAGGGATGTGTCTGCTCTGGTTTCTTGCTCATTTTTTTTTATTTGGTTGTATGTTTTATTAAGTTTCAAGAGGTTTTTTTTAATTTTTAATTTTTTAAATTTTTTTATTGAGATGGTGTCTTGCTTTGTCGCCAGGCTGGAGTGCAGTGGCGTGATCTCAGCTCACTGCGATCTTCACCTCCCAAATTCAAGCAATTCTCCTGCCTCAGCCTCTAAGTAGCTGGGATTACAGGAGTATGCCACCACACCCAAATAATTTTTGCATTTTTAGTAGAGGCGGGGTTTCATCACATGGGCAAGGATGGTCTCAATCTCCTGACCTTGTGATCCACCCACCTTGGCCTCCCAAAGTGCTGAGATTACAGGCATGAGCCACTGTGCCTCACCTCAAGAGGTTTTTATTTATTCTGGTTACAAGTCCTTTATCAGATATGTATTTTACAAATATTTTCTCCCACTCTGGCTTATTTATTTTGTAAGTATCTTAGCAAAAGTTTTAAATTTTGATAAAGTTCAGTATATCAAATTGTTCTTTGATGATTCATGCTTTTTATGTCCTAAAAATACTCAGCCTAACTCAGAGTTAAAAGGTTTTTTCTAGAAGTTGTATGGTTTTAGGTTGGATACTTAGGTAGGATACATTTTGAGTTAATTTTTTATGTGATACAGGTAGGATTGAGTTTTATTCATTTGCCTGTGGATATCCAGTTGTTTCAGCACCATTTCCCTAATCAGTTATTGTTTTCTTTGTTGAATTGCTTGTTATCTTAGTCAAAATATCAACTGACCATATATGCGAGAGTCTAATTCTGAGCTTTCTATTCTATTCCCTTGTTTTGTGTATCTGTCCCTTTGCCATGACCATACTACCTTGCTTACGGTAGCTTTACAGTCAATCTGGAAATTAGATAACATAAGTCCTTTAGCTTTGTTCTTCTTTCTCAAAATTGTTGTAGCTATCCTAGTTCCTTCACTTTTCTATATATATTTTAGAATCAGCAGGTCAGTTTCTACCCGCAAAAAGCATGCTATGGTTTTTAAAAGCATATTTTGAAGGGTAGGATTGTTTAGGATCCATTTAGGACAATTAACATCTTCACAATATTGAGTCTTCCTTTCCATGAATAAGATCTCTCATTTATTTAGATCATCATTGAATTCTCATCATGATTTTGTAGTTTTCAGCATACAAACCTTACACATATTTTGTTAACATTTTGCTCAGTAGTTTTCTTTCTTTTCTTTTCTTTTCTTTTCTTTTTTTTTTTTTTTTTTTGCTTCTTTTTTTGCATGGTAGTTTTTTTTTTTATTGTACTCTAGGTTCTGGGGAACATGTGCAGATCATGCAGGGTTGTTGCACAGGTACATACATGGCAGGGTGATTTGCTGCCTCCATCTCCCCATCATCTATATCTGGCATTTCTCCCCACGTTATCCTTCCCCACCCCATGATGTTCCTACCTTACCCCCCGCCACTAACTGACCCCAGTGTGTGGTGCTCCCCTCCCTGTGTGCACATGTTCTCATTGTTCAACACCTCCCTATAAGTGAGAGTGTGTGGTATTTGATTTCTGTTCTTGTGTCAGTTTGCTAAGAATGATAGTTTCCAGCTTCATCCATGTCCCTACAAAGGACATGAACCCATCGTTTTTTATGGCTGTGTAGTATTCCATGGTATATATGTGCCACATTTTCTTTGTCCAGTCTATCATTGTTGGGCATTTGGGTTGGTTCCAAGTCTTTGCTATTGTAAACAGTGCTGTGATGAATATAACATGTGCATGTGTCTTTATAATAGAACGATTTATAATCCTTTGGGCATATACCCAGTAATAGGATTGCTGGGTCAAATAGAATTTCTATTTCTAGATCCTTGAGGAATTGCCACACTGTCTTCTATAATAGTTGAACTAATTTATACTCCCACCAACAGTGTAAAAGTGCTTCTGTTTCTCCACAACCTCTCCAGCATCTGTTGTCTCCAGATTTTTTAATGATCACCATTCTAACTGGCATGAGATGATATCTCAATGTGGTTTCGATTTGCATTTCTCTAATGACCAGTGATGATGAGCATTTTTTCATATGTTTGTTGGTCTCATATATGTTTTCTTTTGAAAAGTGTCTTTTCATATCCTTCGCCCACTTTTGAATGGGTTGGTTTGTTTGTCTGTTTCTTGTAAATCTGTTTTAGTTCTTTGTAGATTCTGGATACCCTTTGTCAGATGGGTAGCTTGCAGAAATTTTTTCCCATTCTGTCAGTTGCCGGTTTACTCTGATTGTTTCTTTTGCTGTGCAGAAGCTCTGAAGTTTAATTAGATCCCGTTTGTCTATTTTGGCTTTTGTTGCCATTGCTTTTAGTGTTTTAGTCATGAAGTTCTTGCCTATGCCTATGTCCTGAATGGTTCTGCCTATGTTTTCTTCCAGGCTTTTTATGGTGTTAGGTCTTATGTTTAAGTCTTTAATCCATCTGGAGTTAATTTTAGTGTAAGGTGTCAGGAAGGGGTCCAGTTTCTGCTTTCTGCACATTGCCAGCCAGTTTTCTGAACACCGTTTATTAAACAGGGAATCCTTTCCCCATGGCTTGTTTTTTTTTTTGGGTTTGTCAAAGATCAGATGGTTGTAGATGAGTAGCATTACTTCCAAGGCCTCTGTTCTGTTCCATTGGTCTATGTCTCTGTTTTGGTACCAGTACCAGTGCATGGTACTTTTTAAAAATTTTCAAGGCCAGGCATGGTGTCTCACACCTGTAATCTCAGCACTTTGCAAGACCAAGGCAGGTGGATCACCTGCTGGTAGTATATGTCTGTAATCCCAGCTACTTGGCAGGCCAAGGCAGGAAAATTGCATGAACCCAGGAGACAGAGGTTGCAGTGAGCCAAGATTGCATCACTGTACTCCAACCTGGGCGACACAGCAAGACTCTGTCAGTTAATAGTCAGTCAGTCAGTCAGTCAATTCAGTTTCCATCACTGTAAGCAGAGTCCCTGATGAGAAAATCACTAGACTGCCATGGGGCAAAGGGCAGGCTAAGCACATAGAGTTGCTTTAGTTTTCGGGTTGAATGGGACAGAAACCTTGTTCCTTGCTGCTCCCTCCTCCCATGGCGTTGTCTCAAGGCTGGGCTCCTCTTTACCTCCCGCAGGGCTCTTTTTTTGTTTTTGTTTTTTTTTTTTTGGAGACAGAATCTTGCTGTGTTGTCCAGGCTGGAGGACAGTGGTGCACTCTTTGCTCAGTGTAACCTTCACCTGTCAGGTTCAAGCGATTCTCCTGCCTCAGCCTCCTGAGTAGCTGGGATTACAGGTGCCCGCCACCACACTCAGCTAAATTTTGTATTTTTAGTAGAGACAGAGTTTCATCATGTTGGCCAGGCTGGTCTCGAACTTCTGATCCACCTGCATCAGCCTCTCAAAGTGCGGGGATTACCAGCATGAGCCACTGCACCCGGCTCACAGGGCTCTTTAATCAAAGTTGACTCTTGAGTTGGTTTTATAAATCAGTCCTAATCAGTCACTGTTTTTTGCAGAAATGTTTACGGCAAAGTCTGTTGCTTAAAAATGTAATAGCTTTTCATGGTTGTTATTCTCTCTGAAGATTTTATATGTATTTTGATCATCAATATAGGACATCTTTGTAGGCATATTCCTAGACCATTGTCATCAGAGGTGTTACATCTGTGGTATAAAATGGCCAGCACTGTTTCGGAGAACTCTAGAATAATAATGTGAGAGGTTAGCTTTATAAACTGTTTTTCATATTGGTGTTGTCTTTTTTTTTTTTAATTAGACTTTTTTGCAACTACCACCTGCTATGGTAGAAGAAGGTGAGGAAGTTCAAAATCAGGAAACAGAATTCGAAACAGAAGAAGAGGCCATGACTGTTCAAGCTGACATCATACCCAGTCCGACAGACACCAGCTGCAGTCAAGAAACTCCAGCCTTTCAAACTGACACCACTTCTAATCAGACTGAGACCACCCCCAGTGAGACAGGAGCCAGTTCCAATCCAAAAGCTGTCTCTGCTTTATCTGAGACTCCCACTACTGTGGCAGGAGCTGTACCTGCACCGGCAGAGGCTAACATGCCTCAGGATGCCACATCTGCCTCAGCAGAGACCAAGTAGCCAAACTGTAGCCCTTCTAAAGAAGGACATGTCATTCAAAAAGTCTGAGTAAAGTTATTTTTTGTATTTTACATTTGCTTCTGCCATTTTACTGTCACTAATTAATGTTCAGTACATTTGTTTACTGATTTTGGTGTATTGAATATATATTTGTTTACTGATTTTGGTGTATTGAATATATTTTTTTAAATTATATGTGTACTAACAATTCTAGTTTCATTTGTTCAATCAGAAGAGCAAATAACCATTCCTTTGATGTTTTGATCACTAAGTGAATATATTTGTAATCATATCTACATTAAAATAATTTTCTATAGAATATATAATATATACTTGACATTTTTAGTGAAATTCTCTAAAGAAGAGGACAGAATACACTGAACTTAACCATGAATACCCTTAAGTGTCCAAATTGGGAAGGAACTTGTTTCTTTTGTTATATTATCAAATGCTTAAATCCTGTTTTCTTTTTTCTTACCTTCATTGTCTTTATGTAAAGATATTAATAGCAGTAAGGTATAGGTTTCTCCAGTTTATCAGAGTGGTTACATGCATTTTCTTCTCTCAAATCTTAGGATGCCTTAGAATTACCCAAGATGTCTGTTTATTCTTGAGACACACCTCAGACCAAAAGAGTCAGAATCTCAGGATTAGAGCCCAAGAATCTATATTCTAGGAGGTTCCCCACACCACCAATTGTTTGGGTTGCTGGCAGTGTGGCATCAGCCAAGGGTGGTGAGGTTGAGCCAAGATTTGTCATCAGCTAAATAGGAAGACTCTGCCAAATCAATCTGGGCAAGAAGCAGGATCCTGAATCTGGGCAATGAGAGTCAGAGAACTTAACGCCTGTGTGCAGGGTAGAATTCTCCCATGGCAGAGATTCTGAGTTTTTCTGCTTTATTTTTCTTAGGATAACCAGCCACAAGGAGACCTTTAGGTAAAATGTGGTTCTAATATGGGAAGGCAGAGGTACCTAGGACATCGCTGCTCAAGTGTGATTTGTGAACCAACAGCATCAACGTCGTACTGAAGTTTGTTATTTATAGAAAAGCAGAAGTTTGGGCTCTGCCCCAAACCTATTAAATCTAAATCTGCATTGCAACAAAGTCCCCAGGTAATTCATATGCACTTTGTTGTTTGACAAGCACTGTACTAAGATTACTGCGTAGTCTTCACATGAATGAGGCTATAATGGTAGAATTACCAGTGAATGTGACTAATGTTTTCTGACAAGAGACCTCTGCTTATAAGGTCCCTGGGCATGGTGCCCAGAACTGAGAAAAAAAAATGGTTTTGTGACTGTGTAGAGGGGAAGATTGCCCACTAGTTCTCTCTTTCCCATTTTGATCATCTGCTAGAGTATCTAAAGGGGAGCATTTCCCCAAAATATCCCCTCTAGTGCATCTACCTGTGGGCCTGGCCATGTCCAAGAAATCTTTGAAGAAACAAGCAAGAATTGTACGCTACTATTGAAATCCTTCTGGTCCTGACATTTTGAAGGAATGATTGCTTCATAAGGAAATTAAACCCAGAAAGTCAAGTCAGTTATATTTTTGAGTAACTAGTATTTGCTCAACTGTACCAGGTTGTGGTGAATATGGTCCAGACTCTCATTTTACGATGTGTCCTACTGTATCAGGCCACGTGTGTCAATGTCAGTTGAGGAGGGGGAGATGAAAGTGATGAGATAATGAGAGGAGTCAAATACAAAGATGTGATACTAGGAAACCCAGGTCTATTTGTTATCAGAGTAAGGATCCAACCAGATAGCCTGTTACGTAATTTCTCTGATAAAAGATTTTGAAAGCAGGTGCTGGGGGCATAATAGCACTCATAGAATTATTTTCATTTGTAAATATATGGTATCAGGCCAAGCAAGGGAAAGAAGCTTTAACTGTGTTACCGTCTTTCCTGGAAAAGACAAATTTTTCTCTCTACCCTTAGGGAATATAAGATATGATACCTGCAACCAAAATAAGTGGACTGTTAAGCTGCTCTCTTCGTAACTATTTTCTAAGCACTGTATATCAATCACTCTTGCCTAGCTGAGTGATCATACTTTTTCCTTTGCTGCTTGATTTTTCTGTCACACTGAAAAGCAAATTTAGGTAGAAGATGGGTAAGTCCTTTGCCCTTGTCAAAAGAATTAAAAAGGGGTGAGGCGGTGGGATTTGTGTTCTTTTAAACTGTTTATTCATTGGAAAGGCAAGTGAGTTGCAGTTGACTGTAGAATCTTGGAAGTTTTGAAGGAATTTAAGAGCTCTACTTACTTTAAACAATGAGGAAACAACCAGAGAGACTTAAGCACGGTGGCAACTGTGGAAGACTGGGGTAGAAGCCAAGTCTACAGTCCTACGGCAGCGCTTTATTTTTTTCAATCAAGCACACGTGAGGGATTGCTTAATAAATTCAGGAGTTTTCTATATAATTTGAGATTACTACAGATACAGGTATTCTAGCTATTTGACTATTTTATATTAGTGTTCCCATTGCTCTTCATCCTATTTTTCATATCTAAATATGTCATGATTTTAGAATCTCTTTTTAAAGAAAACCAAAAAGATGCATGCCATAAAGAATTATCATGAAATGAAGCAATTCAAGTATTTAGAATTTCTTTCTTCTTTTTTTTTCCCCCAAAATGCTGAGCTAAGACAGTTTATTGCCAACAGTTGAGAATAAATAGCTCTGTTGATTAGGCAAATGAATGAGAAGCTCTAAACATTATCAAGACTCCTGAAGTTGGTGTAATAAAAATTGAGATGTTTTGCTAGATGCTGAGAGAAAAGGCACAAATGGGCCATTTGTGCTCCTGTAAACAAATGAAATTTTGTAATGATCAGTAGACAGCATGATATTGTAAAACAGACTTTGGACTCATCCAGACCTGGCTGAGAATTTTACCTAATTTGCTTATCAGCATTTGGTTTGACCTTAGACAAATTTTACAACCTCCCTAAGCCCATTTTATCTATAAATAGCAGGGAAAGGATCTGTTTGGATTTGGGGAGGGGAGTTGTTCTAGATACTTAGAAAATACCAGTTTCTCTTTCTGTTTTCTTCAAAGCTTTGTTGGCAATGTAGGATATTGCCAACTAATCCTTTGACTTGAGTCCTTAACCATGCCCCAATCCAGGGAGCATGAAATATGATCAAGAAGGGGACACCTAGTGGCAGTTGACCTTTGAGGATCTGTCTAGGATCAGGTCTGCTGATTTGGAACCCCTGAATCAATACATCATAACATCGAGGATGATCTCTGCCAAAATTAAAATTCTGGCAGAACAGTATAAGCAGAAGGAAGACACTGGGTCTTTCTGAAATATGGAGCTGATAACTTCTATCAATTCTGAATTCTCTACTGTCCCACCCCCAAATCATCTATATTGTTGCATGTACTTAGCTTTCTGCCTTGAATTGCTGTTTCCTTTTTCTATTGCACTCAGATGGTATTTTTAGAGATGTTTCTTCAATCAAAACAAGATAAAAAAAAAAAATAGTGACCCTTTTGCATAAACCAGAAGAGCAGTGCCTTGCTTCCTTTGAGAAATGCTTGGCAGTTAGCCTGCGTAATTATTTAGCAATCATGTTAATAGATGTTTAAGAATAATGGAACTGGAGCTGTACTGAGCCAAGGATGGAAATGAAGACATGTGAGACTATTTTTTCTTCATCTACTGATACTCTTCAGTTACAAGGATTTAATTTAAAAGGGTTTTAATTAAATGGGATCCAGAAGCTTTGGATGCTCTAGTTTCTCTTCTTAGAGACAAACCCCAACTCCGTTTCCTGGAGCTTGACTCAGCATGCAGCATGGTACTCCTGACTGATAGTGTGCCAGCTTTATTCACTTATCTCTCTACCTTTTGGCTAACATTTATGCTGGCTGACATTTTGAGCTTACGTACAAAGATGGCCGATACCATTTTTTTTCAACATATATTACAGAAAATACTACTCTTGAAAAAATACTCTGAGAAATATGTTGTATGGTCAGATAAGTTTGGGAAACACAATGAATTATTGTTTCCTCTTTGCAGAATCACAGGGTACTGTGAGCTAATTAATGGCTCTCAGATGTCCCACTGGAAAGAATCATGTTTAGCTTTGTTTAACCTAGCACTTCCCAAACTTGCTACGGTAGAAAGCTTTTTAAAAATAAGATACCTTAGGTAGCTATTTCCTTAGAACACAGTTTGGGAACCAGTATCTTTACATCGGTCAGAACTGTGACTCTCCCTTTAAAAATAAGCCCAAATACATTTATTTTCTTACCAGGTAACCAGAGGCTGAAGTAACACAGCTGAGGAGGAAACCAGAAGTGAAGTGATTTGTACAAAATGTTATAGTGTAATTTATTGACTGTCATGTGGTATTAATAGCAACATCCTGAAAATGCAAATGAATAAAAGTTTGGTCAATGTACCATGACATTCCTTCATGTGAGCCTCCTAGGAAAAGGTCACTGAGCATTCTCTGTTTACATTTTAATTTTAGACTCCAGAATTTCACACTAAGTTTTTCTTCTCATTTCTTATGCAGTAAAAGAAGAGTTCATATTTCCAATGTGTCTTGCTTTTTGTTCTTTAATTTTTGTTTCCTTAAAAAGTTTAAATTCCAAAAAGAGAAAAGAATTACTTAGCATAAGTAGAGGTGGTCTGGAAATAATAAAAGAAAATTAAGGCAAATGTAAAACATAAAGACAGTTTCTTCTCTTAAGAATGTTTAACACACAAGGACCCCAGAAATTACCTTGCATGAAACATATTGAATTCTTTCTAGATTTCCAGAAATGACTGTCCCCACAATCCTCTTCCCCTCCACCTTTAACATTGTGCACTCTCTTTATTATGCTTATCTCTGTGTTGTAATCTAAGTTCAGGAACCTCAAAGGTATCTGCTTCTCTTTGAAAGATGCCTGTTGTAACATAAAAAGCTCTTTTGAGAAGCTGAATTTGTTGACATTTAAAAAAAAAAAACAGTTCTGGATGGGAAGTGAACCTTTTCTACTTTAGTTCACTGGTTCATTTGGGCCATTTTTGATTGGTTGGTTGGTTAGTTTTTTCCTTCT